TTATTAATACATAAATTCAGCATAATTATTCCATTGGAATTAATTAACGATTTTGTTGATAAAACAGTAATAATTATTGTTAAGTTAACAAATAATATAAAAAAGAACAAGAAATAGATTATTCGATAGAGAAAGTGAATACTTCCTTCAAAATTAAAATATTTTCCATCAAAAGTTATTTCAGCGCAGTAAGAACAGGAAAAATTTCCGAGATTTAATACATCCATATTTACATGCGATTCCACATCGAAAATGAAAAGGTTGTGCCTTTTCGACGCGCACTGAAATATATTTATATGGTATAGACATAGACACAAACAAACTTTTTAAATAATCGCTTTACATTACGGAAATTTTCTTTGTAGTCTTTCTCTTCTGGTTAAACCAGATTATTAAGAGGCTTTTCATAATATTCTTATGAAATAATATAAAAAAGTAAGGTGTTTCAAAAAAATAGAATGATAAGATTAAATACAAAAATCCGATATGCATGTAAAATACTACCTATCCTTAAACTTTTAAAATATTCGCTCTTGTTTGATATTTTGATAAATCTTTTGAAATAACAAACTAATCTGCCGTATATCATTTTCATTCAAATTTGTCCAACAGAAAATTAAATGGATCTTTTTCAATAATTAGTATAATTTAATAGTTGCTGATGAAGTAATAAATTATACTGTCATATAGATATATTTACTGTATATACAGAGTCTATTTATTGTTTACTAAACTATTAGTGTATTATCTCTACTCTGTACGTAAATTTTCCTACCAGTTTTTGCAATCAATATACTTTTTTTTCCTTTCACTATTATAATTACATTATTATTTCACATGACAGAGAAGCTCTATGTGATATCAGTGTGCTTATTAGAGAAAATCATAGAAAGCTGTTATTCTAGATAATTTTCATAGACTTACAGATTATATACAACATTTCTTAAAAGAAAATTAGGGAAACTTCAAGAAGAATTCAATCAAAGACTAAATCAGGCTTTTCTTTTGTGTTAAAGCAGGTATTTCTATCTTCATTTTTAAGTAAATTTATTAAGATATATACAAAATTGTTAGTATTTCACTTATAACTTCATAGAGTCTAGGCAGTATGTAAAACAAGTAAAATCTATTTAATCTTTTTTCAATCGGCTAGGATGAATACTACTAATTCAAATGGCTGGATATCAGCCCCACTTGCAGTTTACATAACTGTTTCTTTCATTTCGATACTATTTTTTCTGGGAATATTTGGAAATATTCTGATTCTGTTAGTCTATAAGAAGAGAGAGAAAAATAGTTCAAGAGTATTCATTATGACATTAGCTGGAATAGATTTATTCACCTGTACTTTTATGATACCTTACAGTATCACATACATATTTGGATTACTAACAGAGGTCCCGCACATAATTTACACTGCTGTTATGCAGTATCTTTTTGTTTTAATGGGAATTGTATTTACTTCAATTTCTGTTGATCGATACTTTGCTCTTGCAAAACCTCTTTTATTCGCTCTTAATGAAAGAAAAGCTATTAGGATTGTTATGTTGGATGGTACCATTACATTTTTTCAAGTCATGGTAATGATGTTTTTGCAAAGATACATCTTGATGGCTTTTAGGATTTACATACTAGCTTGTTTCATGATCCTATTGATTATAGTTATAACAATGTATACTTTGGCCTTTAAAGCTCTTCGAAAGAGGGAAAAAAACAAAGTTAGCCACACTCCATCTACTCAAAAAGATATTGAATCATTAACAACTGTTAGTTTAAGCACTGGAGGTCATAGTACGACCGGTAAACCTACGAAAGACAAATCAAAAAAGACTGAAAGTCGTAAGGGAAAGGAAGCAGCTAAAACGGCAAAAATTTTAATGATTTTAACAACTCTCTTCTCTCTGGCATATATTCCTTTCATCATAAAAGGAGTAATGCCAAAGTCATTTAAAGATGTCATAGAATTTTTTTTTTTCACAAATAACGTCGTTAATTTTGCTGTTTATTGGATATTAAGTATAAGATTTAGAAATGAATGTAAAGCTGTTTTTAAATCTCTAAGGAAATAAAAAGTTTAAAGTTTTTCAAAGATTAAAACATTGACATATTAGTATTTCAATTGACTTTCAAAAATTCTCTCTCAATATTTCCCATCAAAGATTATGCTGTGAAGAAAATAGTTGTTACTTGTAGTTATCATTTCTTGAATGGATTGGAAGTGTCTTAAAAATTTTACATATTTTTACATTCGCTAAGTAATTGTTGTAAGTGAAATTTCGTAAGAGTTGTGAACCTCAGCACATTTTTATAAATTTTCTGAATTTTGATACGAAAACTGTTATAAATGTTCTATTTGTTCCTCCATATAATAGATTATTAACAATGCCATATTTTAAAGCTATTAAGTAGCCAAAAAAGTCGAAGTACGGATTATTTGTGTATCCAAAAGCTTTTAAAACTATGTCAGTGGCCTTCGGTGCATAAAAGAGATAGAAGGATATAAGGATTAAACTTGTTGTTTTCAAACCTTTATTTCTTATTTTGTCCTTTCTATGTGGTGTAGAAATTTCGCTATTCATCACTCTTGTTAGCTTTCTCAGAATTATATACAAATGAACATACATAAAACATAGTAAAATCGAGATCAAAAAGAAGAATACACCTAAATAGACAAGCCATAGCTCTGTTTCATTGTAAGGAGCCACAATACATTGAAGAGTAACTACGTTAAAAGCAATACGTTGCTTATTATAATTGAACTTTGATAGATATATGCTACACCAACAAAGCGAAACACTCACGCATAACGTCTTAAAATTAACATATGTATTATATTTAAATGGTTTTACAATAGCAATATACCTATCCAAATTTAGAAGAAATATTGAAATTAAAGATAGAGCACCTATTTGGGGTAAAACCGCTGCTTGACCAAAGCACACTTCTTTCGAAACGATGCCAGTTATTTCAGCATTTATCATTCCTGATACTGAAAATACAACCAATAAAATATCGATAATTGACAAATGAAGCATTAATATTCCATTCGGAGTCCGCAATGACTTCGTAGATAAAACAATATAAAATGTAATAAAACTAAATAATGCAACAATAAATGAGATCAGATAAACGGATCTATGAAGATTAGAAACACCATCTATTAATTCATATCCAGAAGAAGTAACATTCACTACCAAACAAAGTGAACAAGAGGTATTCTTTGAATATAATATATTCATACTTCTGAAAAGTTTCTCTATTTTTATTATTACATCGTCAACCATATACAATCAAATGAAGAAAAAGATAATAACTCTGAAATATTGTCAAGGATTTTGTATTTTATAATTTACAATGTCTATTTTAAATCTTTTTTTACCTTTTAGCCTTGTCTCTCTAACACGGTATACATTAATTAAATATATATCTTACTTGAGGTGTGATAATACCTCTTTCGTTTATTATTTTTTTGCTGTTTTATATTTTTTATTCTTTCTTTTCTTTACATTTTATATTTTTTATTATTTTTTCAAGATTTCATCCCATATTATCTCCAAAGATATGCATCTCTTTCAAGTGTAAACATTATATACAACTCCTATATTGTATATACTGTAGAAATGTTTCTTTTGCATAGTGCATTAACAATATGTACAGAGTATATGTAGATATTACCAAGAGAAAATAGGCAAATATATTAGTGTATGGACTAAAGGAAGGTTTATGTTTAACAGACAAGAAATATTCGCTTTAAGTCACCATTTCAATTTCCTTACGACTACTTTATCAGTAAGTTGGTTTGTTAATATGATATTCCAAGTACGATATTACCTTTCTGTCATTGCCTACTCTAAGATGGGCATCCGTTGATTTGCTCTCGACCATTTCGTTAGTAATAGGCCTCGTAAAGATGTCTACGATAAGATATAATCAATGTGGAAGAGATAAAACTGTTTCTATATGCGATTGTCTTCTACAAGAGTTATAAGCCAAAAGAACAAGAATCATATACTGCATAATCTGTAGAAGCTTTTCTACAAAGAAAATAAGAATAAATATAGTAAAGGTCTCATCTTGGTTTACTATAACAAACTATTTATGTATTTAATTCAATAATTAAATAAAAAAAACGAAGATCGTTTTGAATTTCATAATTGTATCACTTCAATTTCATTCTTAGTAAGCAATAAATAGATTTAAAGAGTAATAATAAGCTATTAATCCAGATGACAACATTTCGTGAAAGACATCAACCAGCCAGATGAAATTTATCATACAGAAGAAATTCATAATTAGATGTAATAGTAATTTATATTTAGCTTGGATAAAGAATGTGTTGTGCCTTATCTCTCTAAGAGTTCGAGGAACTCATAAATTTTTATCCTAAATGATTATCTAATAAATAATGAATTATTTTATGATTTTCTAACCTTTTGAACAAAAGAAATCTTATTTACTTTCAATTTACTGAAGGATAGAATATACTTTCGTAATGAAAAAAATATACAAAAGCAGTAAGATCTCTTATTGTTAATCTTTTTTATTTACAAAATTTACCCTGGTTACTGAATCGCTTTATCGAACTTGGAAGGAGAAGAGAAAGAGATAGACATAAAGATAGACTGATCAACTTATTGGGTTTTATTTGCTTTACAATTACTTTCTTCATTAGAGTTGATTAATATAGAAAAAAAAGAGCTCTTTCTTTACTTTTCCTGTGTCTTCCTTAAACAATCTTTAGCACTTTCCTCTAATTGTAATAAAGGACAAAGAGTTAATTAATGTATTTTTGATTAATTTATAATAATTCTATGAAATCTATTGTAAAGTTACAGACCTTCTGTGTCTTACTCATCTTAATCTAAGCCAAAGAGAAAGTATGAATAGTACCTAAAAAGAAGTTATTTTTGCAGATGCTTATTAATTCTAAGCAGTTTTGAATTTTTAACGTTCCTGTCCCTTTTTTAACAAAATTAACAATACATTTTGAAACAATAATATAAGAACTATACGTTTATTATATTTTGATACTCCAACAGAGGGCACTACCGCACATCATCATCCAACAAACAGTTTCATTATTTATGTTTATATTTAAATTTTTACATTTATTTATAGAAAAGTAGAGTTTATAAATTATAAAATCAACAAAGCAGCATTATTATATTTTGAACGAATTTTATTCAATAACCAAACTTAATATAACACGTCATCACATAGTATCAAAATAAACAGGATAGAGAAACTATCAATATCTTATAAATTAATAAAAAGAAAAACAAGAAAACATAATAAAGACTTTTGTCTTATTTCATTGAAAATATGCGTGGAATTTTTAAAAGAAACTTTTTAAGAAAACAGATGCCTATTTATCATTTACGAAGGTAAATATATCTGTTTTTTACTGGTTGAATTAGAGAACCTTCGCTGGGTACAGTAATATCCATTTGAGGTTGATATAGTCCACTCAATAATGTTGAATCTCCAATTTTATTATGTTCTTCTTCCAGATGCTTCTTAAAATCATTGGCAGAATTTGATGCAAAATTAGAACAATACGGGCAAGGATAAACTTTAAGCCCTGCATGTTTTGCTGTTTTAAGTATATGAAGACGTATATTGCTGAAGGCGTGAGCCTTGTAATCGCAGTAGGGACACTTGAAAGAAAAACGGCAAAAAAATATTCAAATTAGTTAAATTTCAACTATAGATGGCAGCAGTATTAACTCCAAGGGAAAAACTCGTGATAAGTCGTTGACAGATGATAAAAAAATATTTTCTTATAAAAAGTTCTCAGAGATTGAAATGACAGAGAAAAAATGAAAATACGTCGGGAAGACTGCTACCGACGCCCTGATGATTCTTGAAATGAGAAATGGGCCTAGGTGGACATGTTCATAAAGCGAAAAACTCATCAAATGCATATCTATAATAGATATTTTCCCTAAAGTAATTACTCTCAGAGACGCATCTTCGTAACGGGTCAACCCTTTATTAGTAGTTATGTTCTCTTTCTTTTCACTCTCCCCTCCCAATCTCCTTTCTTTCCCATGTCTTATTACACCATCCCCTTACCCACCTACCCTTCCCTACTCCATCTGAATTTTTCTCCAGAAAGTAAGAAAAATGCTATTATGAAAACATTCAAAAGGATTGACAGAACGAACAATAGACTGATACGTAAAAGCATTTACGTGAAATTATTTCCGTTTTATAGTCAGATGATTAAATGGGTTCATGGAAGGGGAGAAACAATAATTAGATACGCAAGCTCTAGTAGAATCTAAATGAGATTTCTGAATCATAGAGGCAATTAGGAAAATAGGAGATGAAGGAATAGATCCCAGAACTTTTAAGTAAAAAGAGAAGTATCATACCTGATATGGTTTACTGGCTGAATGAATTCGCATATGTTGAGTTAACGATGAACCAGAACTCGCCTTAAACGTACAATAATTACACGGATATTGTTTTTGCTTAAAGTGCACTCCATTCACGTGCTTCGTCAATAAATCGTTAGTTCTCGCCTTGTAATCGCAATGGAAGCACGTAAACGGTTTATCACCAGAATGAATTCTTTCGTGCTGACTTAGTTGATATTTAAAATGGAAAGCTTTTGAGCAATGTTTACAAATATACTGCTTACTATCTTGAGTATGTTTCATCTATTAAAAAACATTATATTAGTGCAACAAGTAAGATCCGAAATAGTAAAATAACTAAAGTAAGATTTAAAGGTATAACCTTTACGTGCCTCCTGAGCAGACATCCGGTAAAAAACTTTAAACCGCATCTTCCACAATTAAATGTTCCGCTTTTGCTGAAAATACCGTGCTTTTCTTTCATATGTTCATCTCTCGGTTCCCTTTTATCGAAAGTAGCTTGGCATTTAGTACAAGCCCATAAGTTCGTATCATTAGCTTCTGGATTGTGACAAGTTGACTTATGGGCCTTTAAATCCAGATCATCCAAGAAACTCTCCTTACAAATTTCGCATAAGAAGTCAATAGAATGGATCCTTTTGTAATGGTCTTTTAAAATTGTGCATTTTTCAGTCTACGTTTAATTTTTTATGTGCAAAAGTATTTCCGAAGTTATACGAAGATAAAAACTTGAAAAAAAAAATTTCCTAACAAAGGTAATAAATCAAAGTAGCATAGATAAAATGACTAGAAAAGCAATAAATCTTCAATTTCTTATTACTCATATTATAACTTCTTATGAGATCATTAATAATTTCTTAGGGATCAAGCCTCTCTAGGAATAAAATACAGTTTTACCTTAACTACAAAACTTGTAAATTATGAAAAATAATATGTAAAAATAAACTGCTAGTAAATGAGATATCTGTATTTTTTCCAAAGAAATTATCATTATTGCTCCTTTTCTTTCCTATTTTAAAACACTTATGTTAAAGGGAAGTAAGTATCATAAATTACAATGAGGAAAGAATATATTTCTTTTTCTTTCTCAATTGTTTAGATAAAGAAAAATACAATAAAATATTTACAATTATTTAACAAAATCTTCTTTTATAAAATAAAAATATTTTAAAATAGAAAATGCAATGGCAGAGAAGGAAGCAAATTGAGTAAATTTCTTGTAATATTTATCTCTCTAAACTATTGTTAGATATTTATGTAAATGATAAAGCTTTATCAAATAATATCAACCCAAGATTCTATCGACTTTTCAATGATCGTTTTAAACGTTTTATCTAATGATTTTCGTTCAGTTTCGTATAAACTATTCGTGACTGAAATACTAGAAATTAGTTTAAAACAGAAAAATTGCAAGTGAAAGCTGATTAAGATTCTACGTTATTCGGCCTATCTTCCTTTACTATCACTTCGGAATTACTTTAAATTCACAGCGATTGCATCTGTAAGTTTCGAAAGGTTTTTGCAATTTACGAGGTTTCGTCGATTTGGAGCGATGATGTTTTTTACTATTTTCGTGTGAGAATAATGAATATTTATCAGAAAAGGATAATTTACAGCTAGCACAATTGAATCGTTTATCCTCCGAATGTTTTCGGACGTAGTGTAGATTTAATGCGAAATTCGATCGGCATTTTAAACCGCATTCCGTGCAGATTTTCGACTGCTGGGAAAAGCGTTTAAGTGTTGACGGTTTGGTAGGTGATTTTACGCTGAGAATGCAACTTTCATTGGCTGAGTGATGCGCCTAAAAAATAAGTAGCAAATTTACTTCAAATATTCATAAAGCCTCCATACTAATCAAATAAGAAGAAGCACTTTACAACCTATTAACATATCCTACTTAATGTCTAGAAAGATTGTGAAAATCATTTATGTTTATAATATCTCTAAGAAAAAAGTTATTCTTATAGAAAGGGATTAAAATTAAAGGATAATAATTGAAATTTTACCTCAAAATGATCTTTTTCTACTAATTTTCCGCAAGAGCAAATAATTTCAATTCCGCTCACACTCTTCAAGTGCCCATCATCCTTCAAATGTCCATCAACATCTTCTTTACTATCGGTGCAAAATGAACAAATTCTACAGCTGAATAGAAAATTTTTTCTTTTCGAATGCATAGCGCTCTTCATGTGCTTTTCAAAAGTGTATCTATTTGATAATTTCACTTGACAGACGTCACAGTCGAAAGACATACTGGCGAGTCTTTTTTTATGTAAACTAGTTCTGCAATGTGCATCGTACGAAAACTTTGACAGTAAATCCCTTCTACAAGTACCACAATGGTATATTGGTCGAGCTTTATCAGCGTTTGTTTTACTCAATTTATTAGTTGGTTCGGGAGGTAGAGAGTTTCCTAGATTTTCTGGATTCCTTGTATGACACATATATATACTTTTTCCTTTACCGCCAGCATATGCAGGAGTTTCATTACTATAATAAAATTAAAATAGTGTTCGCTTTAATATTTAATTAATCAATTAGAAGTTTTAATACAGTAAATAATCTAATTTGTATGTAAAAATAAGACTATTTAACAAGTAATGAAACTATTTAACTATTCCCTGCCTTTCCTCAACATCTTTCATAGCACTTCTTTATGATTAGCTTTTAAAGAATACACCAAATGAAGAAATAGATAAAAAAATATAATTTTTATTGAGGAGAAAGGATGCTACAAGTTCAGATTAGTACATCGCTGTTCTTTATTGTTAGAAATGGAACACAATTTCCCTTACGGTGATAGAAATGACACTTATATAAGCCTTAAGATGAATATTCTATAGTTTAAAGAGGACTTTACTTTTATCTGAAGGAGCATTATATTTGGATGATGAACTTACATCGATTCTTCTATTTCATCTTCGTAAATCTTCTTACCAATTCCTGTACGCTTAGGTGTATCAAAGACTTCTACATCTTCCACAACACTTTGGATAAGTTTATCATAATCCAACGGATCCAATTTCTTCAAGTTTTGCTGAAGATTCAGGGAGGACAGAAAATCAATTGTATTTTGATCCGTTTCCTTTGGTTTAACACATTCTTCTCTTTTATGTTTGATATATTCTTCTAAACCAGTAATAGACTGCTTACAAACAAGACAAAGATGCACATCGTACTCGTCTTCCATAACGAATTTAGCGAACTTCACGAAAGTACAATCATTTTTAAGGTTTTTCTAATCCATGACAATTTGCTACTTAAAATAATAAACTAATTTATGTATAAATACGTAAATTATTTATAAGCATCAGGTGATGGCAATTTTGCTAACTAATGCAAATCATAAAATAGAAATATCCAAGTAGTGAACGATATAGCAAGACATATTAACAATGCGCATGCGCCAACGGCGAGAAAAAAAGAAACCCGGTCTGCTTCCGTCAGTCGTTACGAAGACTAGAGAGCGCGCGTACAACGGGAATCAAAAGTTAATTGAGCAAATTAAAAACTTGTTTATATACAATTGACATCTTAAGAAACTCGGACTTTTGTGTTTGTTTACCATTTATTGATATGATATCCTAATGACAAGAAGAAAACAGCAAGCTCCTAAGAAAGTTAAATGTAAGTTGAGTAGAAAAATTTTTCGATGCCTGTTTACGCTGTCAAAGCCCGTTATAATATATGAGCTTGTAGTTATGTAGTTGAAAAGAAGATTATAAGACTAAAACAAGCGATATAGATTTAATCGGTGGTTCCTTTCAACGATTAGGCATGTAAATTATTATTATTCAGTTATTAGAGGATATGTTTCATAATGTTATATTTATGATTTTCGTGTTATTCTAATAAGGATATGTTTTCTTTGCTACGTGTGAAATAGTTGATATAAATCTTTGTGAAGAATAGGAAAGGAAGAAAGAGAGATTAATTGCTAAAAAATAGCCATATACATACATATATATTAGTATATAAATATATATATATATATATTCTGTATATATTAAAATGTCTACTGTATTCCTGAATATTTAGTAAACAATGTATATTTACACATTTTCATTGATAAATTAGAGTTTTGGATATAAAAATTCTTTCGAAAGTATCTATATTGGGATAATAGGGTTCTCTGCAGCGCGTTGCCTTAGTGGTGTTACACGCATCTGGAGAGACATCTATCAAGAATTTCATATCCCCGTGTCAATCAGCTGTCAAAGCGGCTTTTGTTGCCGCCGTCATCCATCAAACAGCCCAAACAAAGCTTGAGAGATTTATGAGTGGCTAGTCGGGCAGCATGTTGGTAATTGCACGAGAGTGATGGATAGTGACTGTTATCACTCAAACTCCACTTTATATCGAGCTAGGTAATGCGGCCGATGACTAGGCTTGTCATTTCTCTTGGTCACGTGGTGTATTTTTTCTCTTGCTCTCGTTTGCCTTTTTTCATTTATATATATATATATATATATATACCATATAGAGTATACGCGTAGGGGGCATCAATTTTGTTAAAGATTTGCTACAGGGTTATATTTGTCGGTACTATTACCTACAGCGATATTTTTGATCCATTCAACATTAATAAATCCGATGTCAAATTGGTAGCGTTTCTATATTAGAGCTTTTCAACACTGTCGTTTTACATGATAAATGCTAATAAAAATATTAATATCTATATACTTTAAATGTATATTAATTTATAAATATTTATAATGTTTATTCACTTATTTATGCATTTAACAAATCCTAGAAATGTAATAGTTGGGTACTTGCTCATGATAGATTGCGTGAAGAATCTGTTCTATATATATATATAGATATATATTTGTTCCTATTGTTACATTCTGTGCGTTCATACTGCACGTGCAACTTGGCGTCTATATAAAATACTTCGCGCGCTCTTCTTCTTTTGTAACAAATTCTATATGAAGTTTGTTCCCGTGGGATCTTATAACATTCTTTGTTCCAAATCAACCCTTTGCTTTAAAATAAGCTTTAAAGTAGACTAATTATAACTTCATAACTACAATTTGGTGTTTAGTTATCTATCAGCAACGTTGATTGCGTAATCTTTTAGAATCTTGTTTTAGTAAACATAAATAATATACAATAAGTGATAAAAAAATCAACGATCTCAAACTCGTATTGCTTGACAAGTCAATTTTGCTGTTACTATGCAGAATCCAATGGTCATTTGACGAAAAAATAGGGCTCTTATCAACTAAATAGGCCTATTAGTAGTTGAATTATTATTGGCCCGAAGTCTTTGTTGAACTTAAGGGACTTTGGGAAAAGACGAAAATTCCTATTAACTAAAACTTGTTTACATTTAAATTTTCCTTATTATTGACTGAATAAGGGTTTTGTTAAGTTATATAATCAAGAATATTTTAATTCAACAATAATAGTATTCAAGCCTACAAGCGTCTATTTATTTAAATGCAAAAAATTACCTGAATTTTAATTAGAGAATGACTTGTGCATTTGTGACATTTTAAATATAGAAAATTTATATAGCATATCTATTTTTAGCAACTTCATTAGCTATCGATTATACTAAGTATTTAATTAAATCATCAATTAATTAATCAGAAAAAACTATCACTGAGTATCAATACTTAATAAACAAACAAAATGTATTTGTTCTTGTAAATTTGTTTTTATAGGCTGAATTTTAAGTAGTGAGTTCGATAAATTACATAATCAAGCGCCACTTTTTAATTTAGTTTGTCAGCTTGTCTGCAGCTGACAGGACTCCGTTGCCTCTTTATAGACGTTGACGTTGAGTCTCGAGTCTGCAGGTGACGTTAACTTATTATAATAGAATATATCAGTGACGCCATTCTAACATATAGACGATATCAGCTCTGTGTAATTCTGTTTTCGAGTTGACAAACACATACCCTTAATTATTGACTAATTACTCCCTTTGACAATTCTTTCAATCGAGTGTGTCAACCATGATCGGAGTACAAAATGGAGCACAAAAATTCTTATTTTCCTTGTAAAGATTCAGCTAGCTAAAAGGGAAAAGTTTCAGTATTTATGCTATAAGCTAAACATTCGAACGAGGCTATATTTCCTTTTTATATTCATATTTACAAGCGTAATGTCTGTTCATTCAGTTGTAAAAACATCTGCGCATTTTAAGGTAGAATTACAAAATTCTTGTCCCAACAGAATTTTGTTATCATCTACAGACCTTTGAAGAAAAATTATTAGCTTATGCCTTATTTTCCCTAATGGTAATAAAAAGAGTAAAAAACTTTCGGAATTGGATAAATGCAATAGTGCTTTTCCATCTTATTTAGGGAATGAAAGATTCCTTTTTTATAAGGGATTTTAAAGTGGCTCTGTTTAATATGTTTTAACGTTCCTGTACTGTTGATGTTTTATAGTTTTATATCGAACCAATTTACGTATTTTCGTCTTTGAAATGCGAAAAAAGAGTAAACGAAGAAAAGGGCTATTGGTAGAACGTCAATTTGCTTATTTTCACACACGATGCATATTGTGACATTATCTACATAGTTAGTTTTCGTTGACGTTGTAACCCATAGGCTACGATATCACTTAGATGTTATTACCCTCGAGCAGACGTTATCAGTCTAAAGATAGAGAACAGTAAGATCAAAGTAAATTAGCAAATTTCTCATCTTTTCCAGCAGATAATAATGAAGGATAGCAGACTATAGTTTACCATACATGTCATGAAATATTCTAAAAATCGTTAATTTTCCATCGCTCTTGTCCAATAATAAGGAAGGATAGAGAGACTTAAAGATAAGAGGAAAGGTATATTATAAACATATATTTTATTGCGAAGAAAGAAGAACATATGAGATCAGACCGCGAAAGATAGAAAAAGACTAATTATTATGGCATTTCTCCTTAAAGCAGGCAAATATAAGAAATTATTGAAAAATGTTATAAGTTAAAGTGTCGTTTATATTTATTTATTATACCTGTTGATTTTTTATGGCCTCGGGGTGTGTAATCACTTGAAGACAACTGCGAATAACCGTGAGAAATTATGCAAATAATCAAATTGTATTTTATATTCGACTTGGCATCTGACATTTTTATTCCGTTACTTTTTTCATTGTAACTTTTTATGTATCATGTTTATATTTTCATTTTATCGTGTTCACTAATGCTTCCTATGGTCATTAATAGTTTTTATTATAAGCGGAAGTATTTCGTAGTCAAAATTAGCCGTTAAAATTCGATATATACAAAATGGGAGGAATTTCTTTACACTAATAATTCTAATACTCTCATTGATATTAAATAAGCGGTAATAAATGACAGTTAATTTTACTTCAAGATGTTATCAATACCAAGCTTACGCATACCATGGCAAAATGGGTAATAATTAAGGACTTATAAGAAGAAATAGGGTACAAAAGATGGGCGTCGCTTTTGGATCCATTTATATTCAATTTTCGTGTCATCTAAAATATCTTAGATACGTAATTCACTTAACGTTATCAGCTATTTTCTATATGAAATATTTCTATAATTACGCTATCAAGAGATTATATGTAACTGTTAACCTTTCCTAAGTATATTTCTTATGTCCTTTCTGTTTCCTTCCTCGTGTTTATCAATTTCGTATAAGAAAACTTAATTATTTAGTAAATTAATCAACTGAGAAAAAAAGGAGAGTAAAAGTAGAATAGAAAGGGACATAATCCCTTGTTACTAATAAACATTTTTTATTATGAGCTGACATTTGACATTTCTACTTCAGTCATTCTTTTGTGTATGTGAATGACACGTCATAATGTAAAAGTGATATTTTTGCCTAGGGTGTTTATCATCTACAGGCAGTCCTTAATATTATCTGAATTGTTGATGAGGGCATCATCAGTAAAAAATGTAAAGAGCAAGAAGAAAACACTCTACATATTATTACTTATTGATTAGACGCTGTGACCCTGTTTCGAAATTTTTGTGTCAACGACTGATCGAAACCCTTATTGGACAGGATTCCATTACCTTCTTTTTTTCAGAACTCAGTCATTTACTAATAAATCACATTGTTAATTTAATCTCTCATGACTTATTTAACCATTTAACAATTCAAAGATATGTGCTACATCCTCAATAAACCTAAAATATTTAGGAATCAAGCGTCCCATCCTCCTTGTTGAGAATTATTTTATATATATATATATATATAAATGTACAACACGAACGGGGCGCAAAAGACTATATTAGCTGTCGCTCCCGCAGGGAAAAAGAACGCCCTTCTATAATTATAGACTGTGCGCAACGTCGTCGCCGTACCTGTCAACGGCACATGTTTGTCAGATTGGTTCCGACAAGCTTTTGTACCCGTTTTGTAATCTCTTCGATTGTGCCAAGGCGCGACAAACAGGTCGCTAAAAAGGGTCGCTTGCCCTTAGGGCCGTGTTGCGTGCGACTGGACGTGCCTGCGAGTGACGCCTTGTGACGGCTTGCCACAGCAGATCACGTCACTCTGTCACAAGTAGTTGATGCGCGATCTGCTCGGTCGGGCGTGACTCATTTCTTGTTATACTCCTTAGTCTATAGTACTGGGTGTTTGTCATTTGTAATTCTCCGCTTCTTTTACTCTTCCTTTGATACGAAATCTAATGATAATGTGTATTTTAGTAACTTTTTGCTATCAAAAGCTTAACCTTAACTTAATATCTCCATTTCATCTAAAAGACAATACCAATTTTTATTCAATTGTAACGTTTGCACACTCAATTTCTGACTATCTTTACTTTTACCTTTCAATTGCCATGTGCCAGGTCAATTTTTATCCTACCCTTCACTTTTGACATTTCGTCTTTTGTCAACTGACTGTTTAGTTATTTCTTTTATTTTTTTTTGCAATTAGTCTAATTCGTTTTCTTCTACGTATGTTTGTCGAGTTGTCCTGTTTAACTTTACGCTAATTAATCAACAGTTTATAAGGTTTTATTTTATTAGAATATCCTAAATAATAGTTCGTACGGTTGAAAGATTAAAGAAATTGCCTTCAGAAGAAGGGCATTGAGAGTTAAATATGATATTTTATAGTTTATATAATAAAAAAATTATCCATTATGTCAATAACATCTATTGAACTGTGTCCCTGGAAATATTATCATAATTTTTTGTATTACAGACCATTATAAATTATAGATTTTAGTGATTTTTAATAAAAAATAATCAATAAAAAGACTATAGTTTTTGTTTTTCAAGCTTTTCACCACAAGCTCTACTGGTTAAATGCATTTACTTTTATTTTCAATTTAGAAAGCGGGGGAGGAGATTGAAAGAGTGATTTTTATGCAGTGTACAAGATAATATTTTTGACTTTATGATCCAATTGATCATAAGGGATTTATAATGGGAAAAGAGGATAGAATTGTAGGTGAAGAGAATATTGAAGATGATGATTTTTTTCTTCTTTTAAAAGTTTTCTACTTATTTAGTTAGATGTAATTTTATGGTTGAGAAGTTCTTTGAAAGTATCACTTAAGATATACAAGCCAACAATAAAAATAAACTATCCGCTTGAACTACTTTTATCGGAGAAAATGATGCAATTGGGTCACTTCGTTTGAGTACCGCTCATATATTCATCTTTACTGCGCATGATAGCACATAGTTTGTCATTGAATGCGACATTGATTGTTTGTCGCTGTTCTATTGGATTTGATTTAAAATTGATATCATGCAGCTTCTCCATTATTTTTCCTTTTTCTGTCTTTTATATTTTGTGGCTAAATTGAATTGTGTTTTTAGGTTTGTCATTATAAACTTGTGATTTTGTTTGTAACCGACGGCCCTTGGGGCAAACTAATCAATATTATAAGCCATTTGCGTTACGCTAACTGTCATCATTCTTTATCATCGTTTCTTGATGAACAATGAAATTTTTCCATCCAAATCGATCGTCCGTATTCGTCAGCAGGGATTTTTGTAGGCCTAATTTGATTTCTCATTAAATTTGAATGCGGCGCCATTTTAACAAAGTGTTTCGCATTGTATTGTCTATCACTGTTGCATACGCATCGATTTTCTTTGCCTTCAGTGAAATCAAGTTGTCATTTTCATTGAACGTGATGAGTAATTGCCACTTTTTGTCATTTTTTCCATTAGAGACGTTTCTAATTGTTTGTCATTGCTGTGTGGTTATTGATTCACTAACATTGTATGTCTTCGCCATTTTATAAAGAAAGAGAGTAGTTTTACAGAAAGCCGATAAATGTTTAGTAAAATTACTTACCAATTTTTTTATCTTTTCCTCGGTGATTTATAGTCGCTGCAGGCCTATCTACTTGTTTGTCCTTTTTGCAGAAACATTGATCCACTTTGCAGTTGGTGCGGAAAAACTACTTAAGTTGTCATTACTGTTGAATGCATCCCGTTTAGTCTTTTTCTTTTTTTTTGTATTCATTTGAAGTAGAGACAGGAAGAAATAAAGTAAACGATAGTACTAACAATTTAATAGAGATTAGCATATAAGTGTAATTATAAATCCCTAAGTAATGATTCCTTTTCGTTTTTATTCTGAAAATGGAATGTACCATTCTAATGCTTCTTATTCATTTCCCACTGGTTGACAAAGCAATTACAATCATTGTTTTACTGTACTGTTACAAAAATTCTTTTCTCTCTTTCCCTTCCTTATTCTCCTTTAGTCATTTATTTTTTGCAAAAGTAATCAGATAATTAGTATTTCTCATTGCCATTATCCTTTTCTATATCAATTAGTAACTATTTTATTAAGGTTGATTTCTTATCACACACAAATATACTTACAAAAAGTTTTCTGACTACGTAAAGAACTTTATCATTGAAAATCTATTGTTCAGAATCATGTTTCACCCATAAATTTCATTATCTTGTCAATACTTTTATTTTTAAAGAAAAACAGACCTTAAAAACTATCAGCTAAAAAGAAATAAAGGATATTGATATTTTTCAATAATACATTTTTTCTACTAAATTTAGTTGAGTGTATTCAAAATGATTCATTCAATTTTAAAATTACATTCTTTCATCATCAGAAATAGTGAAAATCTTTGATTGTACAAATTCAAAGTGGCTTTTTTTTTTTAAAAAAAAATAAAAGTTGAAAATGTCTAACTGAACATAAAAGAAAACTATCATGATTTATAGTTAAGTTAAGGAAAAGAGGCTCAACTTTTTAAAGTAAATACATTATATTCATTTGACTAAACATATCTCGATTTGTGTGTGCTGTAGCAGTTTCTGTAATTTGGCATCCGTTAAATATATCCAGATGCCTTTTTATTGATACATCAAAGTTTATTCTCCCTATAACCAGTACGAATAAATAAATTCTTACTTATAAGTATCCTGTTTTTCATCTTCTCATGATTTTTTGTTAACATAATAAGAAGAGTTAAAAAAGATAGAAACGTAAATAGAAGAAGAAAGGAAATAAACATCTCTTTATTCTATTCTATTTACTTCAAATGTCTGCTAATTAATTCATATTTTATAACCGATTTATCTTAATTAAATAAGCCATTAAACACCTTGAATTCGTTGAAAAGATTTTTATAGATAAACTATAACATTCATTTGTTGATCAGTGTTCTTTAAAGATTCAATGAAAAAAGAAAATCTATAAATTTAGCATATTTATCAGTTTAATTTATTCATTTTATTTAAAAAGGTATAATATAAACTAATACGGATTAAAATATGTTGGTTATACGAATTAAAAAATTTCCATTCCTAATTATTTATTGATTTATAAAATTTTCAACAGTCGAAGAGTCTTCTGACGAGCCTCTAGACTTGTCCCTCAAGAGTAATTCGGCTTTAGACCTAACAACAAAGAAAAAGGCAAATGACTCGTCTGTCTCGTCTTTAAAGAGCTTAGAACAAAAATTTGGAGGAAACGCCTTCCTGACAGCAGAAAATAATAAACCAAAACCAATTAAATCCTCAACTTTAAATTCAACGTTAAACTCTTTTGGCGGTCAAGTTTACCATGCTGCTCTGTATGGTTCTTGTCTACCATCAACAGTGCCTCTACGCCAACCTACTCCTCGCCCTTCAAAGTTCTTCGCTCTAGCAAACAAATTCACAAGTTATACTTGCCAATGTGGTGCCACCTTCGATTGTCTGTATGATCTGACCGTCCATATGCAAAAGACAAAACATAAACCGACATATGGCAATAACCAAGGCACGGAAGATTTACCAAAACTAGTCAGAGGTCAGGACATGTGGTTGAGTCAAGGTAAAAAAAATTACTCTTTTTTTTCTTGTTCAGTGATATTCTATCATTAATATGTAAAAACAAATGTCAAGGTCGGTCAACATATTCAAGTATTGGCGTTAAAAGTATTTACTCGGAATATAATCTATGCAAATCAGACCTAAGTCTCTTCAAGAGGGAATTTTTGCCGCAGACTGCGAAAAAGATAAATTCCCTCAAATTAGAATTGATTTGAATAAATTTACATAATAAGTATACAAAAATTTAAGAGGAGGAGTGAAAAATGAGAATAATATTCTTATTAAAGGCTTGTTATGATTGATCAGCAATAAATTATGAGCAGAATATGTTATATTAAACAAGAGAGCACTTGAATAGTCTTGGATCATATATTACCAAGTGTATGCAACAGGAAAACGCCGCCTTTAAGACAGATATAAATATTGATAATATTCCTTAGTTTATCCACCGTAACTCGTTAATCATTCTTTTGTTTCTTTCTTATTCCTATGTATATTCTCCTATCATATTATAAGTATAAAATAATAAAAGAGGCTGGCTATCATTAATTATACAATTTTAAAATATACAACTTATATTTAACTGCTGCATTTGTTGTTTTTTTTTTATCAATTTTTAACACTAGGTTAGATTTTTATTGCATGTTATATACGATTTTCAAGTCAATACTGATTAATTCTTGTCTTCTCTTCTATCATTTTAGGCTCTGAACAAACAAGACAAATTCTTCGATGCATCACCTGTTGCGAATCGTTTAGTAGTCTTGCAGAATTGACGGTCCATATGATGCACACTAAACATTATTCTAATATCTTGCACGAAGTTAAGTCATCGTCTGGCAAGAAAGAAGGAACTCTACATTGTGAAGTTTGTGGTCAAGACGTCGAGTGTTCGAAGTTTGGAGCACACGCTCAGCAATGTGTCAAACGTGATAATTCAAAATCTCCACAGCAAGAAACTGAAATTGAGAGAAAACCTTCCCCTTTACCTTTGGTTGAGCCTGCCGACGAAGACGCACCAAGCGCTCTAAAGGCCATGCAGAGCTTTATTGAACGTAGCTTTTCAACTACTCCAAAAAATTCATTACCTAGCTCGAGATCGTCTTCAACAAGTCCGAAAAGGAAATACATTGAAGATGAAGAAGTTCGACAGAAAGACAATGAACATCCCCTTAACTCCTTACAAAGATTAATTAAAAATACCGAAACAACATCTTCGTCAACACCAAATATCATACTTGTAAACCCTATTGTAACGGTTGTCTCGCCCTCTGAAAAAACTCCCCCAATTGAAAAGGAAAATTCTGAATTTACATGCCCCGTTTGCAAAAGGGCTTACGTTTCAAAAGGTTCCTATAGATATCACGTAAGCAGGTGTCACGTAAGACCTGGTAAACGAAAAATGGATGGAAAAGGTGAAATCGGAGAAAAATTGACTAATTATTACAAACTAGCAGCTGAATTATCCAGTAAATAAGCACGAACTGGAACGATCCTGTGTAAAAAGATTTATATCTATATACTGTTCATCTGTATGTACGTATATCAGCCATTATATTATAATAAATATATTAATAAAATCACTATGATCTTCTATTTACTCTTGTTTCATTCACAAATTTATTTTAAATAACAAATTACACCTACTTTATATTATATTCTAACTTAAAAAAATGAATGAATGACATCTATTGAAATTCTTCTGTTAGGCTTTTCAAATGCCATTGAAAATTCAAAAGGTTAATGAAAAACTACTTCCCTTCACTCATTTACAAAGGGAAGTGTCACAAAACGAATTTGATAGCTAGTTGAACCCCTAAAACGAAAGGTGTCCGGAGTTTTGAAAAAAGAGTAAGATAAATTGATTAGGTTCACATATTTTTTTAATTATAGTACTTCTTTCTCCCTTAGCATTTCTTGCCTTTTATAATTGAACAGTTTTATATAGAGTAGGTTTTATAGTTCTACAATATTTTATAGCTTGAAAACGTTTAGTTAACTTATTGGTAAAGATATATAAATAAATAAATAGGAAATCAGTAAAAAATGTCAGTTTTTTATTATTATTTCTTATTATGTTAATCTTCTTATTAATATAATTAATTAATTAATCATTTAGTAATCCTAATACAATTTTAATGACATTTTTTAGTCTTTTTCTCTCTTTCTTACTTTATTCATAGCACGTTTATATTGAAAATAAACTGTTAAATTCCTAATTTAAATAGAACATTTGATATTTACGTAAATATGAATAGCTTGTACAACTGTCCACGTAACTTGGGTTTACACAATCTAAGCCTATTAAAAAGTATATTCTCATTTTTCCTTTAGTACTTTTTCTAATAAACTACTTTTTTTTATCCAAACTTTCTCTCCTATTACCCCTTTCTTCACCTTCACCACCCTCTATGTCTTTTTACCCCCTGTATAGTTCTCTTTTCTGTCTTTCTTTGAAGCCTAATACAGGTAGATTATTCTTCTTTATTTTCTTCACAATCAATGGACTAGAGAATTAAAATCCGTGCCTCGCCGATCTCTTTCCCATTTGTCAAAGCAAAAAGTTTGAAAATAACTTGTTTCTAACGCGTAGTCTGGTGCTACTTTTTGATAAGTTTAATATAAATAAAATTATTTTCGTATTTTTGTATATATAGATAAATGTTCGAATTAAAGAGAAAGAGTAATGTTGAAGTTCTGGTAAGAATCAAAGTAATAAAAACTAAAGAAGAAAAAGTTGGCACAGTGGAAAGAAATGTACAACTAGAAGTGTACATTTGGCAGATTTATGACGCGCCTACATCACTCGCCTTTCACTATCATTTATCAAGGAAAGAGATAAGAATGAACACGTGCGCAGTGTGTGGTCCAAGGAAAGAAACGCGACGTCTCCCCTCTGCTTAGTTAATAGTTTAAATTTATAATACTTGTTAATAAATAATTATCGCTCTATCTTCATTAGTAATCTAGAAAAATAAGTTTGTCATATAAACCAGTGATCATTAGTTAAAAATTTATCCTAGTTATCTTATTCTTTACTTACAAACAAGACATTAAAAATGAATTGTACAGGAAAAGATTCTATAAAGAAAAGGTTATAATAATTTATTTATAATATAGTTGAATAATTTGCAAACACTACATTAATATTTATATCATTTTATATTAAAAGTTCTGATTCTAGGAATATCTTAAAGAAATTAAAGAATATTTTAATGTTGTTGCCATTGTTGGCTTTTAATAATTATTATAAAAACAGAAAATTGTATTTTTATTTATGAAGTGCAAAACAACAGATGATTGCAATAAATTATCGCAGTTTTAACATCAAGTAGGCCTAATATTTGGTTTGTTATTTCTTCGAGAGGAATCTCTTTTTATGATTAACTTCCATCCTCATTTCGTTCTCTCCCTCTCTCTCTCTCTCTCTCTCTCTCTCTCGCTGTCTGCCTGTCTATGTGTCTGTCTGTCTGTCTGTCTCTCTCGCTCTCTTTCTTTATCTCGTTCTTTTATTCTTTACTGTATTTCTTCGTCTACCTATTTGTCTATCTATCTATCTACTTAATCAAACTGTCTAAAGAATCCGTATCAATATTTTTTTACTAGCTATTTTAAAATGTAAAAGTACAATAGACCAAAATAGTAATCTGTATAAATGGAAAAATGTTGCGTAACGAATTCCCTTTGGGAAACCTAAAAGACTCGCCGCCAAAATATCAAAAACAGTTATTCTCTGGTCTATTAAACCTTTGAAAGGTAATATGCCTCTCCATTTAAATCAGACACATCTTTTTGGGCCACACTACTCCCACGGCCACCCTATTTAAGATCGTCAATACATGCACGAAATAAATCAAATGATAAAAAAGGACTCTAAAGAGTAGCTATTACGCAATAATAAATTGTGTTCTTACGCTCTCTTCAAAGGGATATACCATCTATAATTGATTAATTTTGGAAGACAAACTTCAAGGATTTCGTTACGGGTTGTAGGCGTATATTTGCCAAGACATAGGCGAAAATAAACAATGATCTTATAACGACGTTGTTAATAACAATCAGCAGATTATCAATAAGATACGAAACGCAATTCAGCGAACGGAACAAAGCCCTACTTTTTTCATAATGACGAAGATGTCAAAGATAAGAATCTAGGATTGAAAAGTTAAAAGGACTTATTTCTTATGCTAATTAATTATCATCCTTACTTCAATAAACTGAAATTATTTATACAGTTTATCTATTTAATCATTTAATTAAAATAGATTAATTATACTAATAATAATAATTATAAACAGGTAATTTTGAACTTTGCAATTTTTAAGAATTACCACAATAAAACAGCTTGTCAGGGGGAAGTCTTTAAACATATGTTATTAAACGATCCAACCTTATTTCAGCTCTTTGATAAAAGTACTTAATAAAGCCGATCTTTTTGGTTAAATCGAGGCTAATATCGGGGAAAAAAAACAATAATAAATCTTAAATTGTTATTAAGTCGTTTAAAAACTATAAACAGCATAGTAATAGGTTAATTTTTGTTCGTTTAGATATTTCTTTATTACTGCTATTCGATCCTATCCATTTCTATCTCCTTCCATTTAATACTTAACCTTTTTCAGTATAGATTTACAAAGCTTTAATAAATTGTAAACCTCTAAAATTATTTAACAATTCATCTATTAGACCAAAGCAAGCTGCTTCAATGGTTTAATTAATATTCAAAATTTGAATAATATATTCTCAATAGACTCGTTTTTAAGTAAAGATACCAGACTAAAGAGGTTTGGAATGAAAGAGGAGTAAAACCCTGTAGTACCAGTCAATCGTCGGTGTGTATAAAATAGTAAGCTCGAAAGTTGACCCCATACTTCATTTTGATTTATGAATAAAACGCTGATAATAAAAAAAGCTAATAAATTATGAGTACACGCGGGCCGTCAGTCACCATTCCGTGCGGGTCCTGACAAAACAGAATTTATGACCAAAAAAAACTCCTTACAAATGAATAACTCATGAAATAAACGAATATTCCGTACTGTAAATAATGAAATAAAGCAACTAAAAAGTGAACCGATAGAGATCCAGTTTGCCGCAGGTACAGGCTGTCTTGACATGACATCCATTGAAGTTGGATCATATCCCCTCCGACAACCATCTCCGTTTAGACTCGTGCTTAACACGTAAAACAGGTGCGAGCCCGTTCGTAACAAGATATAGATAAATGCATAGAAATACTATTATTATTGACTTGTACCCCCATCTGTCGTTTTTTTTTTACTTTCGTTCAGGTAAGAACAAAAGAAAAAATATGAGTTATTTCTTCTCTTTCACTCTCTGCACGCTTGTTTCTTTTCTGTTCTATCGTTTGTCTTTAAATAGAACAGGTGAAGACCCTTCGTAGCTTTTGTTTTAAATTTAGATTCATCTTTTCAATAACTATTTAACGTCTCCTTTCGATTTTTAATTAGAAATAGAATCTTTTACAAAGCCCACTTGAAGGAGTGTAAATAAGGAATATTTACGTTCATAATGTATATACAGTATATGATTATGTATGGATAATTTACATTAATTAGCATACTTCAAGCTAAAATATGTTCATAAGAGCCATATACTATATAACACGCGAGCTTAATGCTGGACCACCCATGCATGTATATTGATATCTATACATTATATGTTTATATCATAGTATATGTATAGCATTACACATTTATAATACTAATGGATCACTACTACCCAGAGCTATTTCTAACCGCTAGATGGCATGATAAATATGAAATATACATATTAATTTCAACAATATTCAATATGACACATTTACTTACAAGTTCGTTAATTGTTTATAAATAGAACAATGACAAACGCTACAAAATTGTAAGTTCCTTTAATAAAACGCTTGCTAATTAATTCAATTCGCCTTTTACTGTTCTTTAATAAACAAAAGGCATCTTTCGTATTCACTCTATATCCAGTTCTTTTTTCTTCTAATTTTCTAAAGAAGTAGACTTTTTCTAAAAGAAAACAACGTCTTCCTTTGACGAGAGGAAGTCGTATAAGCTTAGTGGTCAAAGGTCAAGAATCTGTAAAAAGCAAAATACATGTAGAAGAAAAGAAAATAGGACAAAATGTAATTAACAGAAAAAAAGGTATGATTAATTTTTTGCAGTAAAGATACAACAAGGTTTAAACTGTAGACCCTATATAAAATTCACTTGATTTTATACACTATACAAACAACGCAGAGACAAATAAAGCGACATCATCGTTCAACAGATAAGATTTATACAATTATATATATAAATATATATTAGTATTATATACTTTATATATCTTCTATAAAAAAAAGTGCCTCTTTATTTTCAATTAGTTGATTAAATAAATAATCGAAATCCTGTTAGACAATTCCTTATATTAATTTTTATAAAGAATGAAATGATACTGCATATACAGTATATTCGAAATCTTATCAAAATATAATGAATTGCGAGATTGAATTTAAAATAGAGGGGCTAAACAGGATATAAATAGAGAATTCAGACAACCGTGCAAAAACAGCTGAATCACTAGACTGAATCGTATCAATTTCGAATAAATTCAATTTATTAAAGATTGTTATAAGATTATTTCTCTTTATCATTTTTTCCACAATATTTAAGCAATAGGAATCCAACGAAGCCTATATCTACATAATAGAGAAGGCTATAAGGAAAAGATTGGCTATATAAATAGGCCTATGAAAAAGAGAGATAATGAGGATTTAGGACGGTAAAACAGCATCGATATTGAGTAGAGTGTGGTAAAATTATATACATTTCTAGCGAGTGTTGTTTTCAAGTATGTTTTGTATGTATAGAATGCATTAAAAACTATCTACAGTATAATTTCTGGATGTAAAATTTCGTATAATATATCAAAAAAAGAGGTTATAAATTTAGTCTAAAATTTAAAACAGGTTTCATACTGAACAACCTAAAGGAAAAAGGGGAAAAAGGAAGAGAAAGAGAGAAAAAACCATAAAAGCTCTATAAATTACATTGAATAAAATAAGTTCGATACAGGACGTTGTATTTAATAAAAGGTAGCTGTACTTTCTAAATGACTTTCGACCGTATATACTATAGAGATGCGGCATGTCAGATTGCCATTATGAAAGGTGATTTATGAGACAGTACCCGGTCAGGCAGTGCTTAGTAAAAAGTGGAAGAGATCGAAGAGAAGAGCATATATTTACAGATTATATATATATAAATTTGTATTATTGCCATGCAATGAATATATATAAGGATATAGTTATAAAGAAGTATATGGAATATAATATCATAACAATCGTAAACGAAACAGAAGAGAGCACAGCATAATTAACTTTAAAGTATTCAAAGACTTAGTTTATTTACAAGAATGAATAGTTGAAATTATGAATTATGATTTAATAAAGAGAAAGGGATTTTTGAGAAATATGAGTGAAAATTATATGAATACAAGCTTGCATACTTTATAATATCCAATATATACAATACATACCTTATGTATATTTACACATACGTTGTCTGATAAAGTATGATATTTATAATACGTTGTATTTATAAAAATACTCTGTGTAGGTATATTGATCTGTAGATTTATAAAGATTATATTAGTACATATATATATGCAGCATAATTGCATAATGACTTAGATAAACTGTTCATAAACGATTACGTTTTTTATATTTGGAATATACTGCAAAATATATTCCTATTTCTAAAGGAACGTTTGCAGACTATTTTTTTACCTCATTCTAACGCCACCCCCATCCTTTTTAAAACATTTCCCGTCAATCAAACTATACAGCTAGCGTCTCTGCAGCTGTCAGACGTCTATTGACGTCGCTCAATTAGTAGTGACGTGCGCGGCGTCACATGCCAAACTCGGCTCGCTACACTTTATTACGACGTAGTCCTATGAGCAATCAACGTGATTGATGTATACAACTTTTGCATATTTTCACCAGTGACAGAATGAATTGTGTAGAATAAGTTTCTTTCTCTTAGAATAAATATACCTACAAACGCATATTTTATATATGAAACAAACAGACAACGAAAACATTATACATCTTATAAATTCCTGTATCAAACAAGACAAAAATACTTCGATGCAACGAACATGACGACAAATAAGACAGTGTTACTCAATTAATTGTAACAAAATTTTTAACAAGATAAGAATACTGCAAAAGGATAAAGCCAAATAAGAGGCGAATACACCTCTTTTATCCAAATTTTCCCCATCAAATAACATACATTTCTACAATATTGATACAACATACATCTACATTTATACTTTAACTATAACAACTCTCTATTAAAATGTTTTGTTGTAGTTGACAGATTTGAAGTTTACCTATCGTCGTCAGCTAATTCATCTATAAAATAGTTATAAACTCAATTAAGGGGAAAAGTTATTAACCTATTTTTTCTTTCATTTCTGATCGGTTCTAACAAATCGTACAGGAAGAAGAAAATCAGAAAATTGCGGTATTTAGAGTGTTTTTATTGAAAATTTATACCTATTTATCAAACGTATAAACTAATGCGTAAAATTCATCGGTTAAAGGAATTTTATATAGTTTCATAATAATAAAAAAAGAGAAGATGAGTGAAATGAAAGGCCTCGTATAATTTGAGAAAACGGAAAATTTACCGCAAACTCTTATCACTGACAGTATGCTGTAGTTTTGTTATAAATTTTACGCAAATTAGAAAGGTTCACATAAATTTTACATGATAAAAACTGCAAATCTGCAAATAATTATATAAATATCAAAGGCGCTATACAAGTCTAATAACACAAAGGGGTATCTACTTTATATTAATAAGTAAACTAGGTTCAATAATAAATCATCTTATGCATTTAGAATTTTCTAAGTAGATGTCACTACTACTAAAATTGACGTTGACAAGCAATAAATTTTCAACGTCACATATTCTCCATTTGGTTCTTAATTTATAAAAAAAAACCAGTTGTATGGTTTATTTCATTGAAAGAATGAAGAAAAAACTTTTTGGTTTTTGTTTCAAAATTCTGATAGGAGAAACCACATTCACAGTTCAATAAAAAATTGTTAAGTGTATGCTAATTTTACGCCTATTTCTGGATAATTTTAAACAATTTATCACTAAAAGTAAATGATTGTAATTCGTTCTTTTCGTTAGTCCCTTTATTTTGTCAGCTGAAAGGCTAACAGATGGCATCACTGCTTAACTTTAACTTTAGTTCCCTAAATATAACAGAATAATTAAATCTGTCAAACTAGGCTTCACAAAATCTTTAAATAATAGATGGCATTCAGAAAGATATTCCCCTTTGACAATTTAATCCTCCTGTTAAATACTATATGTATACAATAACAAGGTAAATCAGTCTTCGAATATTCTTAGAACTGTTAATTAAAGCCATAAAAATCAAAATTTTATTACCTTAGAGGGATTCGACGTATTGGAATTTTCTTTTAAAAGTACATCTTCTGATCCCATAATTTAAATGGTGTGTGAGTGTCTTTCAATACTTTTTTTAAAAGGGATAATGAATAAATTGCCATTGCATTCCCTTAAATAGGCTTAATTACTTTATTGACAAACATTTAAAAATAATTCTCCCTTTAAATGAAATTGTATTGAACTGTAAGCCTGAAATGCTTAAGCAGAATTTAACTTAATGAATTATCAGATATTTAATTTCCCTTGGATTCGTCGTCACTGTCATTCTGTTGCCCTTTTTCTAAGATATTCCACTAAAAAAAGCGTCAAATAAATAAATGAATGAATGAATGAAGGTTAAGAATTTAAGCTACTATTTTCTCTTTTAATTTTTAATAAAGTTTTCTCAACGTGTCCTCGCTCATTTGGGACAAAAGAAAACATTCAATTAGGATTGAATTTGCACTGTTTACTTCTACATCTTGAATACATTTAAAGCTATTGTCGGCAGATGTCACCTTCTCTCTCGTTCTACGTCTCTCCAGCTCTGTCTCCCTATATAATATATAAATTCTACAATCCAAATCCCATAGATGGAGCTTGTTTTCCCGCTCAAAAACTTTACTTATCAGTTTTAAGTAGGCCTACGGACTTGGTGTCCTTTACGAAACAATCGGACCACTTCGAAAAACTTCTACCTGTTCACGTACAAATCATCCATAACTTTAACTACAACTGGAAAGATTAAAGAGGATTTTTGGAAATTTGTTCTTAAAAGTTTAAATCATATCTCCTCGTCTGTTGGAAATAACTTCTCATCAAATAATTGTCTTCGTCCATCCCTCTTTCTCTCTCTCTCTCTCTCTCTCTCTCTCTCTCACTCTGCTCCCTTCTCCCCTAGTCGCTCATTCTACAACAGTTTTATACCTTAGGCGAAAAAGTCCCTTTTTCAGCTTTATCCAAGCGATAAGGTTTTATCGGACCTGAAAAATAGGGAAAAAGGCGCGTTTGCTATCGTATGTCATTACTCTCACTGTGAGTAGGTCGCGCGGCAGTATAGCGTATTAAATTTCACTTTTTTTTAGACTACGTCTGTCAAGTTTGGCTTGACTCGAACTTTGGCGATGCTGCGCAGATGTTTGTCATTTCATCTCAAGTTTTCGACCAAGTAAAATTCTCTCTTAAATTTCTATCTATACATTTCCCGCTCTTCTATCTCTATTCTCTATCCTACTTGCCTCCTCAACAATCATGCAGAGAGATTTAAAGAATGATTTGGAAAGAAGTATTCTCAATACTATCGGAAAGGTATTGTCGACCAATTCCAGTTCAAGCGCAAAGAATCTATGTATTAAAGGAAATTTCTGTGTTTCGGATGAAAAATCACAAATGTTGGCATGGGTTCAATTAGATCAGACTTTCAAGCTAAATAATAATAATAATGATAATAACAGTAATAATAATAATTATATTAAGGATAATGAAGAAGATGAAACTGAGGATGATATTATTTCCCAAACACCTACAGAAGACGAAGCAGATGATGGAAGTGATTTCCAAAAGGAATGGAATGAAGAGAGTTCAGGAGACAAAATAAGAACTACAACATCAAGTATGACATTTAAGACGAGTCTATTGCAAAGTAAGAATTGTCAACCGTTAAAAAGAGCGATCGATGTAAGCATGTTCGATAGTCCTAGTATGGTATCACCACCATATGAATATGCTAATTACGATGAGGATGCCCTACCTATGGATCTCACTATTGAACAAAAAGTTAAAGTCGACGAAGAACGGTCCAAGAAGCGTACGAAAAAGCGTAAGTTGATAAGCCTTATTTCTAATTCAATTTCTTACGCCCGAGATTTTTTTCCCATTATTTCTTTGTACACTTTAAAGTCATCTTGTTTAAGCTAAACATCTGGAGATTGTTTATGGGAAAGTTTGTTGTGTGAGTTAGCGGGGGACAATCGGTCTGTTGTTTGTAAATTGTTTTAGAGGCGTGTGTGACTTTTACAATTTCGTCCTTCTAAGTCACCTGATAAAATTCAGAGCAAAACTTGCGACATATATATATGTATATGTATATATATACAGTATATATATATATATATATATATATATATACATATTTAAGAGATCTCTACTGTATATTATCTATAATTAGGTGTATACATAAATAGGTATTTTAAACGGGAATATTCAATATAATACATGATTTATACGTATGTATATCATAAAATTATACATTTAAACAATCCATCCATTCCCACTTGTATAAATCTATCTGTACACTCTATGGAGATGGATATACATATGTAATATAAATACATGACATATGGAATTTCTTATGGATCTTTTGCAATGTCATTCTAAACGAAAATTAGTAATTTTTTAAATCTGGTATTTCTCAAAGAAAAGTCAATTTCACTAGAATTTACAATGCTAGTCATGTGAACAGAACTTAGAAGTTTTCCAAAAGCTATAATTGTTTGTCCAAGCCGAAACAAAAGCAAGAAGCTGAAAAATTTATCTGTTTATTGTTATAGCACGACTTTCGAATACATCTGACTTTGAAGGATGAAAGTCACGTGACATTGTACATTGTTTATAATTAGAGAAGGCGTATAAGAAGGGAAAGGAAGGGTAGAAAGGCAATATAAAGATTCATTGCCCCCATTTGTATATTTTTTTAACGATTTTACTGACAGTAAAAGTTGGTTAGTATAAATTAATTTAATCGAATCTTAAAACTATTTACAATCACTCTTTAAGCGACTCAAATTTCCCTATTTTATGATTACTCTTCCAAATGACATTCTTTATTCTTAAGAATTTTAAGAATAGCGTACAGTAACTGTTTTTTCTTTTTTTTTTTAATTTTCCTATACAACAATTAGCTTTTATCCTAATCATCATCTCTTGTTTTCAATTCTCTTCTTATTCATATATTATAATTTTCTCATTTTATTAATCATCTAAAAGCCTTAACTATTACAAGATAAGTTTACATAATTAAAATATCATGTAAAAATAGCGCAAATCGTGAGATAAACTTATTTATCGTTTGTATACTAAAATGTATTTTATATAAAAAAGAAAATGTTGATTGAATCATAGCGTAAGTGATCTTATGTTTGTTGTACATTTTGTATAAAAAACAGCCTACAATAATCTAGTGGCTTAAGACAAATTATATGTTAAAATATAATAAGAGGCGATGGTGTTCTATATCATTTATATATAAAGATATATATATATATAGTGCATATATAATGTAAAGGCCTATTTTCTTAGGTTGTTGTTGCATGTAGTAACAACCTAATTCTTTTCACTTTCTCCGTCTCCTTTTGCAATTTTTACTATCCATCTTTAATATTATAAATAGAATTTTAGGAAAAAGGCTCTCAAAAGGTTTTCATTTTATAAAAAGAAGGAAATCGATGCCAATTCGACTTTTCATCGCCTAAAAAAACTGTATGTGTAAAAGAAAACAAATGTTTTGAGCTTGGGAGACCGTTAGGAGGTCAAGCTGAAAGTGATCTTAGTAGAGGTTGAGAGGTTACTTGTTGCACATGAATTCTTTAAATCCGCTTAGCCATTTATCTTATTCCTTTTTACACTTCGACCGAATTTTTGTCGTAAAAGTCCATGACTGGTTCATTATTTTTGCAGTTTGTAGCAAAGCACTGAAACCTTTCGATTTGGATAATATCTTATATAACTCTTTTATTTATTCAAATAAAAATTTAAAGCCCTTGAGTTTATAGAGATAAGCAACTTCAAAATCAAAGTCAAGCGATATACCAAAAGTAAATGGTACCGTTTTTTATAAACAATGTAAGTTATACAACTAAACAACAGCTCTGAATAAACTATCACGTGATGTTTATAGATTTTTCTTAAAAGTAAAAAAAAAAGGAAAACTTCTGACTTTAAAGCAATGAGGAAGAATGAGTAGGAGAAAGACAGACTTATCATCTCTTTCTTGATAGATTATGCATTCAACGGCCAAATAAACCAAGATAGTTCTCATCTTTTTCGATCTTCATATCAGTATATTTTTAGATTTTATTTATTTTTGTTATAGTTTAAACTATTTTTTCTGACACCATTTCTATCCAATTTTGCATTCTATATCTCTCCTCTAGCCTTAGCCATCCCCTTTCCCTCTTATTTCACGCATTCGTCGAATATCAAACCTGGCAGCTTAACAACTCCATCTATCGAGGAAAACAATTTTGTAACTTTTAGAACAATACTCGACCTTGATAGCCTGTTGAAATTTATTTCATTTTTATTTTCTAAATTAATGTTTAGAGAGTTTAAGCCTAGATATCTATATGCTTTAACTTTTATAGTAGAATTTCTATACTAGTTTGGCAATTTTATTTATATTTTTTCTTCTAAAACCTATAAATAGATCGCAAACTAAAAGGAAACCGACTTATAAGACGAAAATATACATTACATAGGCAATATTTTTTGAAGTAAATAGTAACAAGAATGTTATATCTAATCGTAAAAACAAATATTTACCTATCAAAGCTCTTTAATTAATAAGATCTTTTAAGTTATAGTTTGCATAAATAAGCTCTTGTAGCTAGTAGACCTAATAATATGAGAAAGGAGAGACACAGATAGAGAAAAATGCGGGATTTGGTTATCAGATTAAACTGTGACTAAAGGGAGAATATTAACATTGTTTAGGATGAAAGAATACTAGTATTCGGTTACGTCACTCTATTGTTTGTCATCAATCTAAAGCATATGTGACTTTTATTGAAGTATCAAATTTCTGAATTGTCCCTAGTCTCAACTTATTACTAGTCTCCTTTTCCCGCCATTTTTTTATACGAGATTAATAATATTTCTTAAAGTTTCATCTTACTTGTAGAGTATCGGTAACATTTAAGGGCCATTTGGACTTTTTATTCAAAGCTCTAAAGTAATCGCAATTTGTATGAAATATGTTATTTAAAAAGCCTATTCCTTGATTCGTAATGATGCCGGATTGGCTTAAGGAGTGATTTGTTACTATTCACTTAAAGTGTACAAAGTTTACTATGACTGTTATTAAAGAAAAACATGTTTGATTTATTGATTTTTTTATAAATGATTTCTCTTTTCGCTCTTCTAGCTTCAGAAAATAATAGTGCTGAAATTTCGGCCAAGTTTGCCGACAAACTACAGACTGTTTCTGAGATACGGGATGGAAAGATAAGGATAAGGCCAGTTATGTCAGGAAATGGGCGTTATATGTGCCCTTGGAAAGGGTGTGACGTTTCTTATAAACATTACGGAACAATGAAACATCACGTTCAACAGGTATTTAAATCTCATATTGCATATAACCTATTATTAAAAAAAAACACGACGAAAGAGATATAGTAATAACTTTGCGAAGTAGAATTAACGCCATCTTTCGGTATCTCTAAAAAACAACAACAATAAATTCTTATATGTTGCTTTGGTAAATGTTTAAATATAATAAATATCGCCATCTATCGCATTGGAAAAAGTAGTAAAATATTGGAAAATTACCGATAAAATATGAAAAAAAACTCGGCGAATTTAAGGGAAAAAATTCTTATAAAAGGTTTTTTATTCAATAAAAACCTTGATTTAGTGCTAGAATCATAGCATTTTATCATTTATATAATTTATTTAATTGTCTTTTTTTGCCCTAGACGCATTGCGGTTTGAGACATACCTGCAATTATTGCGGTCAAGACTTTCAAACAATTCAAGTAAGTGATAAAAAGAAAGAAAAATAAGCAAAATTTCAATATATAAATATATATCTATTTATTAAGTGTTTATTATTTATTAATTAGGGTATGAGTCTTCACAAGAAAACCAAACATTGGAATATGATGAAGTTTACTTGCTCCAACTGCAGTGAAAGATTTAATACACAAACCGCAATGGCCCAACATTATAACAAGGTTCACGAAAAAAAGATTCAACCTAGTATATGAATTTTTTATGCGTTTTTTGGAACTCTTGTAGACGAATTTCGTACTTTATATATAATTATATATACAGTATATATGCAGTCTGTATGTTGTATGTGTGTGTATATATATATATATATGTATATACAGTATATATAATGTAAGATATATGAATATATGATATATAGTATGCAGCACATACATATATTTATATTAATTTTTGAATACAGTATCATAAAAATATATAAATATACTACATCTATATATATATATATATGCTTATATATGTGCTGTATATACGGTATATCTATGTGCTATAATTTTTAATATATACATATATACATGTATATGAAAACTATGCAAATATATCTTCTCACCGACTCCTTAAACCTTTATTAATCGTGTGAATATCTAACAAAAAGACTCTAAAGAAAAAAAAATACATTGAAAAAAAAGTGATTTAAAACGATTCCACTACTAAAAAATAGGGGGCGCAGCTAGAGTTGTCATAGAAAGTATAACACTTAAAGCTAATTTTTAGTTGCTTGCTATGTGATATAGTAGCAAGCCATTTTCAAATCTTGAAGAGATATTGCAAAGGAATTAAAGCAGGTAATAAAAGAAAATATTTTAATAATTATTCAATATGGTACTATAATAATACGAATTTTTAAAATATATATATCTAATATATTGTAATTATTGCTTAATTGATTTAATGTTTATGCTACATTCCCATTTTGTTAATCAAAAAATTTCTAACGCTTTAATATTAATGATAGGGCTTACAAGGGGTAGGAGATCGCAATCGATCCGAATAGTGTTTTGGGAGTATCAGCTTGTCTATTTCTTCTTTTTCTTTCTCGAGTAAAATAGGTCAATTTCTTGGTGTTAATAAAGTAGTACAAGCGTTTTTTATGTAAAAGTATGCAAATATAAATATAGATGTATATACTAATAAATTATAATATATATATATATATACAGTATATCTATATATCCATAGAAAAGTATATAATACTAATTTAACATAATTGAAACTATAATTATTGATTTATTGCGTATAACTGTGTTTATATGGAGAGGTAGAATTAATTATTTAATATTTCTCATTTGTAATATTGCATTTGTTATTTGTTCCAAAACTGTAGTCCTTTTTTTTAAACTCAATTCATTAATATGGAGAAAATCTATTTATAGACATATTCAATTCTTTTACTCAAACACTGTTAAGTCTATGTAAACTTGATGATCTCCACTTCAAAACTCATCAGTATCAATAAAGTCTAAAATGAATGAAAACTTCATTAACTTATTATAGTAAATTCAATAATAGCAGTTTTATATATATATATACTAATATATTATATTAAATATTTTATGATAATTTAAAAAAAAACCAATTGCTTATTCAAGTAAAAAAATATTCGAATATGTAGTAATTCCATTTTATCAAAATAGATAAGAACTCCGATAGTAGGAAGCTTGTTTTCTTTAGAAAATAATAATAATAATATATCTATATATATATATACAGTATATTTACTATTGTTATCTTTATCTCTTTCAATGTAAATTGCTGTTACTATTCAACCATGATGGATGGAAAAAGAATAATCTGCGATATTATCACCAGGTTTAAAGCTGTTTAAATTGCTTTATACGAATAATAGGTTTAATTTTCGAAATAATATATAATCTTGGTTTCCTGCTCCATTAAATTTTGATGCTGTCTATTATTAAGCATAAAAGAGTAACGATAACAACTTATAATGCCATGTAGAATGAAATCTTGAAAACGTCTCTTTATCTTCCCAGAATATTATATGAAAAGAAAAAAAAAGTTCCAGTCCATTTGCAATAGAGACATCTAGTAGAGAAATTTTCTAGTTTGGCTTTCAAAAATACTATTGATACTAGAGGATAAATAGCTGCTTGACTTTGCTGTTAGGACTAGAAGAGGTTACTTGACAAAAATTTGTATTTATATTATATATTTTATGTATTATAAAACGTTTCTTTTAAGCTATTTACAATTAATATCTAATTATTCATTTTTAAAATTACCTTTTGTCATAAAAATTAGCTAAATACATTGAAATAGGAAAGTTAAATATTGAGATATAATTAAAATTTTTGTTTGCAATGTTTTTTATAGATATGGCTTTGATTCTCTTACCTGCAACATCTATTTGTATTAGCCTCATTCTAACTTTTGTAGCCTTCTCGCGGGCCAAATAAAAGAAGTTTAGATGAAAGAATATTGCTAAATAGACATATTGCTGATGTATTTCTTTCATTTGGCATAAAGTTTACCTAAAGAAGTAAATAATTTGAAGCAATTTCTTCAATTCTACAGAGGGACATGCTACAGCACAAATGTCTTTTTGGAATATGTCCCTAGCGAAATCTTGGAAATCATCAGATAAAGCTCAATTCTTTCTCCCTTTGTTATAAATTTTGTGACATTTCTTTCCCAAAAGCTGCCATGAATAAAAAAAATCTGTCTCTTTCCTCTCCTTCAGACTTCAGATATGTTATTCAACTATGAAAATCTTAATAAAAATACTGAAAATGGCTTGTAGCTATTTAAGTAATTGGCATGAAAAGTGTAAAAATAAGATATGATGATTATATAGTATATCAATTACATATTTATTTTTCTCTTTATCTGACCTTTACCTTTATAAATTTTATTCAGGACTTATCTTTGAATAACTATTAAACAATACAATATAACAATTCCAAGATTGTTGGTTTAATATATTATTTTAGGATATTTTGTTCGCAAAATGTCAATTATAGTTTACTAATTAACAACGTAAGACGAATATGATTGATAGGAAAAAAAGAAGATTTATAAAATACTAAAATGATCATTTTCTTCCTTTTATAATCATCTTGGGTTATGTAAAAAATAGGAAGATAGAGAAATAGAAGAAGAGAAAGAACAAAAACTTAGACAGTTCGTTCTTTTAAGTAAGTCATGGTCATTAGGGATTGTTTAGTTAGAGTAAAATGATCTATATCATTCAATGTGAATTAATTTATCAGGATGCTTTTCCCAAATGTTTGGGTCACTGTTTGCGTGTTTAAATTTTAAAATGTGAACTTTGAAAATACTGCAATGTATTTACAGTTGAAGAATTAATTATAAATTACTGTACAATATTACTTTTGATGTATTTTAAATAAGGATAAGTCTATATATTTCTTTATTAACAATTTAAGAAAAAGCGATTGTCCTATCTGCAATGCACATTGAATAATCTATCATACGCTATATATAAAATCCTTATCTGAATAATTTCATTTCTGCCATTAGTTTAAGATTTTCTTTTGTTTGCCAATAGTTTATTATTGCATGTACAGTATATATAGTTTATATAGTGACAATTTTCTGAATAATTTCTTTCTGTATGCAGTCCATATTATTAACAGTAACAAAAGTGATTGAACTCTCTCAGTTACCAGCTGGTAAATTGTTACTTGTCATTTTATCCAACCATCGACTTCTAGGTTAATAAAGACATGCTTTTCTATATTTTTTATTATTATTTTTTATTTCTCTCTTTTCCTTTTGTTTCTATTCATTTTATTTTACTTGCAACATTTTTATTAGAATAACAAACAAGTAAACAAAAAAAAAGAAAGAGAAGAGAAAACTTCCTTCTTACTAGAAAAAAGCTTCTGGAGAAAAGATTTACAAGTACAAAATTTATATTAGAATATATATAGACATAGTTTTTTTATATGTTGGGAATTTTCATCCATCACTTGGGAATAAACTTCGAGAGATAATAAAGTTGATATTTCTGACAAACTAAATGCAACCATATTGAATAGTAGATATTGAATTCTTAGTAAAAATTCTTTTAAAAATCAACATCTATTATTGGTAGAAAATTTTAAAAGATGTCAGTTATACAAAATATAATTAAGCTAAATTATCAAAGAATGATGATATAAAATGTTATATACCTGACTATTAAATAACTAAGTAATGAAAGAAGCAATGTAGACAATCTCTCTGGGAGTTATTAAGCCGGTATTTTACACGAATCGATGATTGAACATTCTCTTTTTTGCAGTGAAAATAAAAAATTCTAAAAGTCTTCTTTTTGAAGAATTTTATTTATTACCTTTCGAATAGCAATTAAGTAACATTTTAATTTTGTCCTTTTGTGATCTATAACTAGATGATTAATTATTAATCATACGTTTTGTTACAATAATTAATAGTGACTGGAAAAAACAAGGGAAGGGATTTTTGCTTAAGACTTTCGTTGACCTCTTCAATAGACTAAAACGTTTAAAGAAACTATTTATTGTCTCTTTTTATAAAACTGCAAAGTAATTCGAGTTATGTATTTATTTAATATATTAATAGATATATTTATAATACACTATTAAACAAACATTTAATATTCAATTATTTTCTAACAGTGTCTCTTTGAATGGCTATCGTAATAGGGGATTTTTGGTATCGTCACACTATTAATAGAATTTAATTTACTTAACCGTTAATAACGAATCAAGTGTTACAGACGATAAAGACGATATTGTAGGATTAAAACATAAGAAATCATACGATAGTGATTGTTGAAATTTTATATAAAAACCATTCTAAATGACAACAAACAAAAAAAGCTCATGTTTTATAAATATTAATTAAATGCTAAACTCTTACTTGTTAATATTTAGTATAGAATATAATTCATCAAACATTCTACAAGATAGAATCTGGTTGTTTGTCTTTTTTTTCTAGTTTTTATAAACTACAGACTTTATAACTCTCTATAAACTAAAAGGAAGAAAGAGAAAATTTAAATTTTTCACGTTCATTAAGATATGTTATCGATCGATAACTAACAAAATATATATTATTAAGAATCTTGTAGTATTAAGTCCTATTGTTTGGCAGACCGAAACTATTGGGAATAGACTAACAAAAGATACAGAAATTATATAAATATCTTGAAATATTTATTAATAGTTTAATATACTTATAAGAGTATAAACTATTAATATTTACTCATGTAGAAGGCTTATTGTTATTGTTCTATATATCTCTAAGAATGTTGTTTTATTGAAATTTATTCCTTTTTAAAACAAACTGTAATGGGATAGCTTCAAAATTTTAACTAATATCACGAACAAAGAAATCGAATACGAAATTTCAAAAGAACTTACAAATTCTTAAGGTTATTGTTTCTCTATAAAGGCAGAGCTGATGTTGAGAAATTAACCGATAGATGGCATTATTAAACATAGTAAATGCCTCGTATAATGTAGATATAGAGTTGTACAATATATACAGCAAATAAAATGAAACTAGCCCTATCGTCGAAAATTAGCAATAGTCAACTAGATGTCACTCCTATATGATTAAATGTTGTAGGCGTTAAGTATTGAGGGAAGAAAGGGAATGAAAACTAGACCTCTAATGTTACATTTACATAACAAAACAGAGTTAGAATTTATTTTTGTACTAATTATTAAATACCGTACTAATATATTTATACATTCTGATTAATATGTTGGTGTTACTACGAAAAACGTCAAATTTACATTTTCACTATTGTTGAACGGTGTTAAAAAACTCAGAATAAAATCTTATAGATGTATTACCATAAGGGTAATTATTAAGTGTAAAATGTATATAAATATATATATATTTCTATATATACTTTATATAGCTGTATAATTTTTCAATTAAAAAATCGTATTGAATAATCAAGTCATAGCATCACCTTCCTAATATTAATTAAATTAATAATTATTTTCTTCTAACTAACGAGTTGTACTACTTTTATGAAGAGGGAATTTGTAGATGTACTCTTAATTTAAAGGCGTCCAGAATGCTAAATACCTTTCTTAAAAAAGGGGGAGTTTATCGCAAAGAATGAAGAAAGGAGCCAGAAGAACGTCTAATTAATGTAATTAATATGCGAGTAGTCCAGAAACGGTCGAAATTGTAATTAATTGAGTTGAAAGGGGTGACTAGCCATGATTAGTGATTACAGCGTGCAGATTCCCCTAAAGTTTTACAGTCTTTTTAAAATTCGATATATTAGCATCTGGAGGAAAGAGCATGTTCTTAGCGCTTGAACATCGTGTTTTATGTCCGTTATACTGAACAATTGCTCTTTGCCAACAATTTTTTGCTCTACATCAATCAATCTAGATCTGGTAAGCGCCGTCTAGTGTTAGACGAATCTTGCATTTAACAGAAAAGAGGATGAGGAGCATACTGCTATTATCACTTTTGCAATTTTGCAGTCCAAGGCCAAATATTTTTTTAATAGTCGTTGATGATTTGGTTGGTACAGTTTACTAATTTCACACCTGTAACTTAATTCTTGGATTATTTATTCATAATAATCGATTAAATAACTGCCGAAGCTGTGAAAGTGACGCTTATTCAATACTTATATAGCTTTTAGCGTTTTCGATTTTCTATTGACACTCAGCCGGGATTAATACATATTTTTTGCTTTATTTCTCCATAAGGGATGGGAAGACGTCAGTTTTCACGGATCCAAGCAAATACCAACGCCTAATATAGACTCTTTGGCCTATGATGGTATTATATTAAAAAATTACTATGTCCAGCCAACATCCACTGGTTCCAGAGCTGCCTTAATGACTGGGAAGTACCCTATACACCTAGGTAAATAGATGCTCTAAAATGTTACTAACAATCAATATGATTATATCAATTTCGCTATCACCCAAAGCTCGAATTAACGCCATTGAATACCTCTTTATTGTGTTAAATTATCGAAAAACATTTATAAATAATATTATATATTTATAGAGTTACATATCAAATTTTAACACATCCATATTAGATGAGAATAGAATGGCTGATAGTTTTATTTTAAAGTCCTAATAATATAATATTTTTAAAGATAAAGAGTTGTTTTCACGGATCTATATCTATTGATACCTATTTAAATATATATACTTATGTTTATATATATCCCGTATTTTGTGTACATGATAAATAGTGAAAATAATGAAAGATTTAGTTTTGGGATCTACTTTTATCTATCAAACTAATTTACTCGAATGAATATCCACATTTTAGGGTAGAAATTTTCATCTCTCTTGTTTCTCTGACTAATATTATTTTAGGGTTGTTAATCAACAGTTTGTTTGTAGAAAGTTACACTCCGTTCATAAGAGATTGCTATATAGTGTAATAATATGCGATAAATTGAGTGTTACGTAAGATTTTATCAATAATAAGTAAGAAATATTAAAGAAATTAACAACGGATAAAGTTTTATATACAATATATGTATAAACAGTATAACAGCAGAATATATATTACGTATACCTATACTAATATATATTTATACATTATATTCATGTGTGGTGCTTATACTACCTTAAGCGTTATATCATGTTGACTTATAGCAAACAAATTGATTGAAAACGCCTTTAAGAGATAAAAAACTTTTTAAAAATGTAGTAGAAAATTCTGGTATTGTAAATATAATCACGGAAGCTGGAGGAGTAACACTAAATATTTACAAATTAATCTTTCGTTAACGTTATTATTCATTTTTCTCTACTTTTTGAATTATTATAGGCTTGCAACATGGAGATATACTAGCCGATCAACCATACGGCTTACCCTTAAAAGAAAAGATATTACCCCAGTATCTTAAAGAACTTGGATATAGTACTCATCTTGTTGGTAAAGTAAGTTAATAGTCTCTTCTTACATGCTGAATATATTTGCAAACAGAGATAGATAAAGCTATTGTCTTCCTTTCAATAAAGGAGAATAGTTTGAATTATTTATCAACCTAAATCGAATAAATTGCTAGTAAAACCAGTAAACATTTAATGAACCGTGAAGAAAGTCAACTTAAAATACTGTGTTTATAATGATGCTTTATTGATTATTAATAAACTACTAATCACAAACCAAAAATTACAAGGGTTAATAAATATTTTGAATCCCCTACGTAGTGGAATCTGGGTTATTATAAAGAAGAGTATTGCCCAACAAAACGTGGATTTGATAGCCAATTTGGATTCTATAATGAATATGTAGATTATCTGAACCACGAGCATGCAAAGAATGAGAGCAAAGTTAGTAGAAATTTGATATCAGCATTTTTAGCTGTAAAGCTTAATTAAATTTTTATATTTTTGTTTGTTTTGTTTTGTAATAAATTCGAATAGAGAGAAAGTTGGGGTATAGATTTCTTTGAAAATGATAAACCTATTAATATATCTGGTTACACCACACATCTCTTTGATAAGAGAATTAAACATTTAATTGAAAAGCGCGATAAATCGAAGGTAAGTAAACATATATTATGTATATTCTATACATTAAATTAATCGTTTATTTCTTCTAAAATAGCCTATGTTCATGTATATATCACATCATGCTGCAAATACAAGATACCATACTGATTTACATATACCAAAGAGTTATTTAAGAAGATTTAAACATTTTTACCATAATAGTACTATAACGAATATACAAAAGTTTGCTGCTCTTATGGCAATTTTGGATGATTCTATTGGAAAGCTAGTTAAAGAGCTACAAAGAAATAATATTTTACAAAATAGTTTCATAGTATTCACAACTGACAACGGAGCACACGATCAATTTCATAATAATCATCCATTCAAGTTAGCACTTTATTGTATTACATTTGATTTAACTAGTTAAGAGTTAAGAGTTTTGCTTTCTATTTCATTTAGAGGGAAGCAGAATGAACTATGGGAAGGTTCGATCCGAGGAACTGCCTTTATTTGGACAACGGAACGAAAAAAAGGATACACATCTAACCAATTAATGCACATTACAGATTGGTTACCAACTCTTCTTCAAGTGGCAAAATATCCAAATATCAAATTTTTTAGTTTGGAAAGTCAACTGGATGGCTTTAAGCAATGGTGGGACTTAATGCGTGGTAAAGAATCTGATAAACGCTTATTTATTCTGTTAAATATTGACCCGATTACAAAGTTATCGGGTTATAGATATAAAAATTGGAAATTGTTATTGGATACCAATTCTGAAAGTACATCAAAAAGAAATGATCGTGGTCGTCAACGAATTTTTGAAGGCTTTAATGGAACGATAGTGCGATCTAGTCTAAGCACTTTAGTAGAAGAATTTAATCAGCCAACAGTCGACTGTGTGCTCGAAATGGTCACTAATAATTATACACAATTTTTGAACTCGACAAAACCTGAATTGAGAGATATTCTTAAACAATTACGACAAATTTTCAAAAGGAATGCACCTTTCGCTGATATGAACGAACTAGAAAGCGATGCGGCAAAATGTTTACATTTAATTGGCAGAAGATTCGAAATGCGTCCCCTTTTAATTGATTGCAAAAATATCGAACCAAATAACATAACGTGCAATAACGGTGGCTGCTTATTCGATCTTGAATCGGATCCTTGCGAGCGGAGAAACGTAGCTAACGAAAATAAAAAAATAATGAAGTTTATGTTAAATAAGTTGAGGTTTGAGAAGATTAGCAATAGATATATCAAGCCAATAAATCGCAATTCAGAGCCTCGTTCATGGCCTATCTACTATTCCAGAAGGTGGATTCATTGGGGTGACGATTCAAACTATAAGTATAACATTACTACAAACTCGAAAGATAACTTGGAAATAAATATTTCCCGTAGAAACTTTGCTATGCGATCAAAGATATTGCATCCCTTTTATAGAATTGTTATAAATTTATTATTTATCAATTATCTGACCTTAAATTGACCAAGTAACAAAAAAAATATAACATTCATGCTAACATACATATATATATATGTATATATATAGTATATAGAGTATGCAATACGAAAGTCTGTACATTTATCTGTTCTTGTTTAACATGTTTTTTAGTTTTTCATTCGCTTTATGGGACATCTAAAAAAAAAAGATTCCTATAAAATATATAAACATCAAGAGTTGTGAAGAGACTTAATCAAGAGTTGATTTATTCAATTCCTTTGATATGAAGAAATTTATTGTCTAAGATAGTACATCATACTTTAGTTAGTTATTTATATATCTATTTTTATAAGCATTGTTTCTTTTTATTTAAAAAGACATTCAACATTTTCACTATAATGGCTTTTTCTTCTTCGACTGTTTCATCTTCCTAAAATTAAACATTTAAACTACTTCGTCTATTCTTTTCAACAAGTTTATACCCTCAAAATTCAATGGCAATTGACACTCTTCGGTTTTAATAATTGATTTTCAATCAACACTTGTTGTCATCATCTTCTTTCTCTACTTCATCTGGCAAATTCCCCTCTTCATTTGTAACTGTACGTTTCTTTTTTACTTTCGGATCATCTTATTTCATATCCCTTACTTAGATTTAGAGATATATCGCTACATTGACTCCTTCATATATTTCTTAACTTTATTAACCGTTTAATATGGTTATATAGGTAAAAGTTTTTGACAATAGACCTTGTCCATATAATAATATAAATACAGAGTCTATTAAGTATTATTCAGTTCATTTAATTGTAAATAATAATGCAATTGACATTGCAGTAGATTTTAAATTATTAACTGTTGAGAAAGAAGTATATACATTATCAATAAGTGATTAAAACTACTCAGAATTGTTAACGTTAAATCGAGCTGGTTATAGGTTTTCTGTCATACAACATGTCGGTACGATACGTCGTCAAATTTATTTTATCTCGTTGACTGTATACTACTGAAATTTGCCAGTTGTATACATCATTTTGACTTATTTCGTTGTCCCATATCTGAATGCTTGACATCGGTCAAGACTCAATAGCTAACGAAATTCAAAACTGTGTCACCATTCATGTCTACTGTTTTACATCTTAACTTTCATACCTCATCCATTACGAGTCACAAATCATAGATTATAAACATGAATCACGAATTATAAGTCATACACACACACAGACGTATGAACTGTAAATCATGCATTATTATTTGTCGTTCATTGACATAGGATGATCTTGATCGATTGTCTTGTTCAAAAACAATACAACAGTCAAGTACATCATAGGATCATCCTAAGTCAATGAAGTAAGTATTAAGTATTAAACTAAAAAGAAATAAAGAGAAATATAGTAAGATATTGAAAAGGACGTTTACCCAGTACTTTATATTTTTAATAATTTATTTACATTGAAAATTGTTGTTCAATAACTGATTGACTTAGAGATAGATCTGATATTCTCTAGAAGTATTTACATTATTCAAAATTTTAAGAATAATTTACTAGATTTAGTTAGAAATAGACTGAAATTCTATTCAAATGTATGCTTCCCTTTAGACTAAAATATAAGCAGCAATCCATATTCTTTTACCTTTTGCTATCGATAGAATAAATAGTACGAAAGTTATTGTGCAGGTTGATTAATCGTCAGTACAGGACGAAATTATTCTTTCTTCATATTTTCTTTTGCTCATCATTTATACGCTTGTTTCTTTCGTACTGTTGAAAAAGCCACCTGACCTTCTTTTCTCCCTGCATAGAGTTTATTAGTTTCACCCAGATATTTGCCCATAAATGGACACACTGAAAAGAATTGGGAATATTTAATATAAATACTGTCTTAATAATTTCGTCATTTTCTATAAGTAGCCCACGTTATTAAATGTCATAAAATTATTTCTCTAAATTGATTATATACTTCTTCATCCTTTCGGACTTTGAGATTTCTTCTCTTTTTTTATTCTCTGAAAACCTTTGTCAGCTCCCACTCTCTCTATATACTTTTTTTAATAGGATACTTACAATGACAGACCAGCAGTAAGAAATTACTAGTAGACTAGCCAAAAGAATCTTTCCTTTTTTTTTCTACCACAGTCCCACAAAATCTCGGTAACTTTCCTCCTAAATCCTTAAATTATTCTCTACGTTATTTATTCTTTCCTTTTACGCTTGTCGTCTATTCCCTACCGCACTACAATCATTAAGTTGGAATCCTTAAGACGTTAATTATTTGTCAAAAGGAATAATCAAAGAATATAGGTTAAAAAAAGATATATATTAGTATATATATATATATATATATATATATAAAAGAAAACACGAGAGTAACCAAAAAGAGAAGCATTACATAACAGTTGATTTTAAATGTATTAATATTGATTAATTATAAAAAATCGTGGTTTTGCATAAAGAAACATATTTTAGAAAGGAAAATAGAAATAATCAAATGACGAAAAAAGATGGAAATTGGTATATGGGAAAGAAGCAACATGAAATCCACTGTTAATTTATATTTTTCTTTATTTAGAACGTTCACTAAGGTCAAATATAAGTAGTAAAACAGTTCAGAATATACATTGAGAGCCTAGTGCATATACATCTTTTGTAAACGTAAATGTGTTGTATTATTGACTTTTAAAATATAAAGCATTGACTTTTTGCCTTGAAAATTGAATGGCTACAACTGAAATTGTAATAAAAAAGTTACTATAATAACATTACAAAGAGATGATTAAGATAGTCCCGCAAAATTAAACTATAATGGAAATAAAAACAAAATGGTATCACTTTAATTGATTATTACATATTATAGAAGAGAGGTAAAGATAATACTATCATTTGTACAGTATTATCAGTCAGTCTATTGAATGAAAAGAAATATTATGCAATGAAATACTAATTGAATATATACTTTATATTTATATTTATAATATCTATACCGAGCATATGATAATTACTTCGTTCTTTATAATTAAGTAAAGGTAATCAAACAGAATATTCGGCTTTTTTAATAGGAATTCTATAATATAGTTGGTGAGCAAATTGACTTCAACAGACTTTTGAAAGCACAGTTTGCAGACTGATTATATTGAATAAACATTTTATTAATAAATCTACAACCAACACAAAAAAATTGCATTCGTTCTTTCAATCAGTCGACGTTATTTTCTCTTCTTATAAAATCTTTCTTTCAAACACCAGATGGAGTAAACTGCAATAAAATCTCTTTTTTTAGCATTTTCTATTCGTATCTATATTTTTGAGTTAGTTAATTTTATATAGAAAGAACTAATGAATATAGTCTTTATTGTCTTCAGTGATGAAAGAGTATATTTAAAAAGTTGTATTTATTGAACAGAAACAATATATTCAAGTTTGACGAAACTATGCAGATTTTACATTAAAAAAAAGTGTATAACTTGCTTATATTAACACTTTTATTACATAAATGAATAGAGGAGAGTGTAATATCTGAATGTATTTGTTATTACTTATATATTATTGATAAAATCGTCGTTTTGATAGTTTTCAAAATGTTTATGTAATTCACTTGAAAATAGAAAAGTAGATGGCGTACGTGTACGTGCAAAAATAAAAGGAAACAGAAAATGAGGCTCTATTCTTTCATTCCCTATTTGTCTCTTTCGCTCTTTCGTTGAATTTCTGTATATTTTATATATAAATTGAATAAAATTTGAATACTAATAAAAGTAGAAAAAATTGCAGAAAACCTAAAAAAGAGTTTGATAAAAATGTAAAATTTTCCAATTGTTAATCTACGAGAGAAGAGTTCAAGATATACGAAAAAATGTTATCTGTTATATGAAAGTCCATTTCTGGATTCTGTCTTTTCTTGCTTTTTCTTAATTCTATCTTTACAATAAACTTTATTACAATATTCAAATAGTATATTAATGCATGCGTCGAAAATAAAACTGCAAGCAATCAGCACCATAGCTCCAATTTGCATTGGCCTGTAATCCAACTGTTCATAATAGGCGTCAAGGATTATCGCAACGCCTATCGACAGAATTAAACCTGCTTGGACAGCAACGTTGTAAGTTAAAGTTGATCCTATATTGGCAAATAGCGTAGCGGCAACAGCCAACGCAATAGTCCCTGCCACTAAACCGTAAGGAGGATTATTGAGTGGTTCGACCCCGGTTAAAGCTAGAGTCAAAGGTATAGGCCAACTTGATAGTAAACTGCATAAACCAACGCCACTGAGGAAGAACGCCACAGACCCAACAGACTTCGAATTAGGAGATGAAAATCTAACATATAAAACTTTATAGGTTGATGAAATAGCAGCACTAAAAACGACTAACAAAGCCGCCCACATTTTAGAAGGTGACTTATGCATATAGGCCAACATTGCAACTCCTGTCATCGAGATTATTACAGCTATAACCTGGAAATGATGGAAAGTATGAATAGTAAATCCATTTAGTTTATAGATATTAAGTATTGATGATCGTGAACATTAACAGTATTAAAATCAGTTATTATTTTTGAATTATTTGTATATTAGGTTTTATTTTCTATTCAAAATAGTTAATTTCTCTTCATTCTTATTTAGATAGAAAATGGAAAATATCAACTTTCACATTTTGCAAATGCATATTTAACATAATTTCAAAATTAAGTTAATGCTCTATTTAACAGTCGGCAGAATAATGAAGCGTCAAACATTAAATTTGAAATACTGACGAATAAATGTCTTACCAATTCCCATTACGGATGTTATTGATCTAAATTTGCTCAAGTTATGAATAAGCGATTTACGAATGGTAAGTTATCGTTACTTTCAATGTTTCTAACTGAATACAATATGGGATAACATAGGTATTATTCAAGTATATTATATACTAAACAAGTTTCTCCCAAGTTCAATGTCTCTCTCTAACTCATTTTGTGTTTGTGCTCATTGTAGTTGTTTCCCCTTCAAACGCAAAAACAAATTCATGAAGTTATTTTTAAGAGTGAGATATGTACTTTATACATTGATTGTATAAACTTTTAATAATTAAAATACGATACGAGTGCAGAAAAAAGGGCTACTGTCAAATTAGATTGATTTGCTCTATCTCTCTGGTTGAAACAGTACGTGTTATAATAAGTAAAGGTTTGATGTTACTACTTATAGAGCTAATAGGAAAATATTTATTAATTTATACTGAGGATAGTGTAATTTCGTGTAAAGAATTTTTGTATTTTTATAAGCTTTCTCTCTGTTTTTGTTGTTGTTATACATTAAAAACGAAAAACAGGCGTTTTCACTAGTCAGTGTTTCTTGTAGCTTTGTCTTAATCAAGTTTTGTTAAACCAATCAAAGATGTTGTTTCTGTTTTTAATAGCTGTTCAAGAAGATTAAGCTACAGTATTTATTACTTATAGATTACGAACAAGCGTTTTCGATTGTTTTTTTTCTTCTTTAATATTTGTAGGCCTTTTGTACTTGTAGTGTTTAAAACATTAACTATACTCATTCTGCTTACTCTCTATACGAATTTTTCTTGAAATATTTAAACAATTTCCGGTCATTCAATAACTAAATATAAATTTTGAAAGTAATTATGTTAATGAATTAATTAAATTCGTAAATGATTGACATCTGATATAATAACTATATTGAAGCCAATCTATTAATCCACATGATTGAATTGGTTGTTATAAGGCCTTAATTAATCGACTGCTTCCACATATTTACTTCGCCTATCAAGAATAATCTTAGAAAAGGGTGTTACCCTTTAAAAAGATCAGTAATTATTCAAAATACTAATTTAGCTGACTTGTGCAAAAAAAGAATAATATTTCTATAAAAAGAAAAATTACTGAAATATGATAATGAATAAGAAATACAAGATTTCAAGCTATTCTTTTATAATTAATGAAGAAAAATCAGAAAATTTCATGCATTTAAACATATGTGATTCATAAATGTACGATAAAGTCTACATGTTCTAATTTAAACTTATACTACTAAAATAAACTTACTTTCTATAAAAAAATATATTATTCGAGGATTAAAACAAAAAATTCTAATTTTAAACATCAAAAGTAGACAATCGGCTAAATTAGGTTGTAAACACTGAGTAAAAAAAAAGCGGATGACTAATAGTTGTAATTTAGATTGGAAGTATCAATATATCATGATTTAGGCATTATCATATTTTATGAATATATCTTACAACTACTGAGTCATTTCTAGCATCACTTTACTGTGAATAGCATGGAGAAAATATTCTGATGGGTCGGATTGGTTCTAATGAATGACTTTCTATCAAATTAGTCGTATCTAGGGGAAATCATCAGTAGAGTGAATAATTCCACGAACCTCACTTATAAAACTAAATCAGAAAAAAAAAACACAAAAAATTAACATATTACAGCTAAATAAAAACAAATAAGTTAAGCCTATTTGAATTGTAGACGAATAAGCAAGATGATCGATTTACAATAATAAAGAAATTTTCTTATTTCTTCAAATAAGTTAATGGTTTACTAGAGAAGAAAATTGACATTAGTTTTACTATGTATATAAATAAGATGTATATACTTCAAAGGGAACAGGAAACTAAGAATCGAAGTTATTTTTTATCAGTTCCTTTGGTTGAAATCAGGGGAAAAGCTATAAAAAAATACAATACTTGGCCTTAATTATTAATTTTATAGGATAGGCAATCTTTAATTAATGTAATGTTTATTATTTGTTTCTTATTCAATCGAAACCGAGATGTAAATTGATCCTAAATTGGAAATCATTCATCAGAATGTTTTCTATTAAAAATTTTTGAAAACCTAAAGTATGAACGTCAACAATATCAATCATCTTTTAAATTTAGAATATGCCAATAAACTCTTCTACTCTGTTTATAAAATCTTTATTAGTCAAGTGGATACTGTCTGCGAGAAGTCATAGTTTTCTCTCTCTCTCTCACTCTCTGTCTGGCTTTCTCTTACGGTTAACCTACTTTATTTTAGTAATCTCTTCAATTACGTAAATTTTTTAAAATACAGTCTTTTTAAAACAGTAGTCTTCTTTTGATATCTACCCATAAAATATTTTTAATTCTTTTATTAAGAAATCGTTTATTCATCATAAAATACAACCTAAGGTAATAAATAGGCCTAATAAAATAATAAAGTAAAATAAAAGCCAAGAGTACACTATCGATCTGGATTATTATTCATTGACAAACGATCGTCTTTGTGAGGAGCGTTTGGCAAATAGTCACCAATCATTTACAAACTTTTTAGTTCATTAACCGAAAAATAAAGATGATAACGATTATCGCGACTAATAGTCAATTTGTCTTAATCTGCTTTTATTCCGTCTTGTTTTCGTTTACTTTACGTAATTGTAAAGAAATAATGTTAAGCCATTAACTAACCTTTGTAACAACAAACTTTTCATGTAGGATGATCCAAGAAGATAAGGAGACCAAAGCTGGATTAACAGCAAATAATGTTGTAACCTCGGTTGATGTGCGCATGCTCAATGCTCCTGGTAGAGGATTAAGTAATTAGGTTACAAATTAAAATCCAAATAATATATGAGTTGTTTAAAAAAAATTCTTAAACGACATTGAAAATGATGCCTTTTTTACTTTTCCTATTAATTCAATAACGAACTGTTCTTCAAGTATTAACTATTGAAATATTATTGGAAATATCAATAGAGATCAATCCTCTTTCCTTTTGTTTCTTTTTTTTTTATTTCGCAGATAAGAGGTGGGTGGAGGGGAAAAAAGTAGGCGGAATAATATGAATTAGTTTTTTTTCTTTATGCCCGTACGAGAATAATATAAAAACTCTTTTAAGACTGCTAGCAGACTAACACTGCATTTGTCTCCATTTCTTACTCATTTAACAAAACAATCTTAAAGATAACATCCAATTAGCAGGATAAACTCTTATTTACCTACAACCAATAAATGATTAAAAAGGACTAAGTTAATGGATACTTAGAAATGATTATAAAGCTTAACAAAGAATAGTTGAATAGTAATATTCATAACTTATTTTAGCTTACATAACGATAGAAGTATTGCTATAATAAAAGTCTAGAAAATATAAAATATATACAGTAAACATATTAGAAAGACTTGAAATAAATAAAAACAGAAAAAAGGTCCTGGAATTGTCAAAAAAGTAAAGATTAAAGAATATATATTTGATTATAAATAAATAAATAACCAAGGGAAAAGAATATGGAAATTCTGAATAAAAAGTGCTTTAATTGATAAAAGACAACTTCTTTATTCTATTAAATATTACTTCAATATTCAATGATTAATTACATAATTATCTTACAAGTTGTTACGTATTGTTCTTTATTTAAGTCTATACTATTTGTCTTAATAAGTTTTAGGTGAAATAGGATTTAGAACTTACTAATATAAGAATAATTCGAAATCCATGACAAAAAACAAAACATAAAAAATTTCATTAGCATTCTTAGAGGTTTCTCATCCTTCATATAATCCCTAACGGTTGATAATCCTTTTCTAGCAATAATAAGGTAAATTGGAAACACTGGAAATAGGCAAGCCGACGTTATGAATACAAGCATGGAAGGCGACTTAAAAGTCTCATCGTTTTCGAAGCAAATACTCTTAGCAAGTCTAGTTGCGCAAGCCCAAGTGACTGCCATCAACGGCGTCACAAGGATAATACCAAATAGACGCTTCTTTTCCATAAACAGTTAAACGTGGTCGACGGCCGTGCAGCAACCAGAGGCCGTCGATTCGCGGAGGCAGCATTCCCAAACTTGAACGACCTTTAGTATTTTACCTCGCGCTACGTCGTATTGCTCAAGCTTGCATCTAGAACGCGGATGAAAGCGGCAGGGTGGTGGAGCCGTCAGGGGGCGTTCACATCGTAAACATATTTCATTCGTAGTTCTCTTTTTTATATCCTTTGTATTTATCCCATTGGAAAACATAATCTTCTTTTGGCGACTCTTTTCATTGTTTTCCTCTAAGAAAAGAGCAATAAAAACGTAATTGTAAATAGGTTATTTGAAAACAAAATCACAGAATATTATTTAAATACTGGTACAATGAAAGGAAGTAATAATTATACAAATATAGGGTACAAAGTATCTTTTTCTTTTATAGAAAAAACTAATGAAAAAGAAGACTATTTTTAATTTTTAGTCATTATCATTGCACGCCTTTACCCCATATTTTTTCCTTTAGTCTTGAAAGGCGACAGACATTAGACTTAATGACTAAATCGATAAAACCTACGAATCAGCCTGGTAAAGTCAAGTAAGAAATTTTTTTTCAAAGTTTGTTTTCATTAGTTTGTATAAAGCGACATCTATCAATTTAAAAAAAGAATATAGAAAAGAGAGATAGCTTAAAAGAATTTAATACTTATTAGGAACGCTAGCGATCAATAATATCCAAGCAGTATTAGTTTAAATTAGGAAGAAATTTTCTTTTATCAGATGGATAGTTTTCATTTATGAAATTTACGTTTACTGTCAATGCTATATCAAGAAAGAAACAACTCTGATGCATTAGTCATAATAAAACGTCATAACCATAAATATATGATGCCCTTGACTTTCTCACTGTACAAAATAGTTTAAAATATCTGTAAACTTTTCAAGATTCAAGCGTTAACTACCGAAGTTTATTAAATATTCTGCAATAAAGTAGGCTAATTTTTGAAGAATGAGCCATATGTGCTATTGCTTTTTGATTCGTCCTTTATAATCTAGTTAAAAAGAGAATTTCTAGGAAATAGCTGAAGGATGTGAGTAGGGAAGAAGAGAAACAGAAATAGAAAGGGATGAATTATTTTTTACACCTATTCTCTTTGCTAGATTTTATCCGCTAATTCTCTCTTTCTCTCTATTTCTTTCCCTCTCCAACTATATCTTTTATTCTGTAAAGATAAAAGATATGAAATCATCTATAATATATTTAATAACATTTTAGGTCAGTAATAATTTTCTGAGAAAATATATTGGATTGTTTCATTTGACAGCAAAATAATTGTTAGTTCTTTAGTAATTTGTCGTCTGATGTGGAATAAATGAGTACTTTTCTTAAATGTCATATTTTTTTTCTTTTAACCTCTGTTCAGACAGATTATCAATATTTTATACCATTACAGAACAGTACGCAGTCAGCTGTATGATAATCTATGTAACATAAATAGTTTTTAGGTAAAAATTCTCAGTCCAAATTTCCTCTATAACACTTAGAGATATGAGTTTTCGCAATAAATAACCAATGTATATTAGACACAATTTAAGTAATATGTATACTATATGTATGATATACACAATATGGCTTCTTTACATTTAAATATACCATTAATGCATACTTATATAAGATAAATGTTAAATGAAAAGCTATGACTATCAACTTACTTTTCTTTACGTTTTGATCCTCACTTGATAATGTAAACCTTTTCCTTATCGTCTCCTCAATGGGTGGTATAAATGATTTACGATTTTCTGATATATCTTCGCTTAATGATAAGTTTGTAGATGATAATTTCCAATGATTTGAGGAACTGTTCTTTAATTCAGCTAAAGACGTTTTCTTTAATTTCATACTATCTTTTAAGAGTAATGATCTCTTTTGTAAAAATTCATCAGATAAGCAATACATATTCTTTGTTTCTCGTAAAACTTCACCCATATGAATATTCTTTCGTAGTTGATAATTATCATCATGAAGACTGAAACTCACGCCTTTTTTTAATTGAGGCAACCCTGTGCTCCGTCTTGTTGGAGTTGCTTCATCGCCTACTCCTAAATTTAAAAGAGCTAGTTTCTTTTGCTGTATACCTCCGAATGAACCAACTGTCTGAACAGCCTTTGATATACAACTCATTCCAGAAAATTGAATACCCTTATTCCTGTGTTTTTGAATATCCGTTTGAACACTGGCATTTCTCAGTAACCGTCTCCTTCTCTTCGTTGCGGCTCTTTCTGCCACACCTAAAGCATACATTAACTTCCCTGTTTGACTACTATTAATTTTCCTTTCCTCTAATAGTTTATTTTTAAGCTGTTCACACTCATCTTTTAGTAGTTTTAGATCTTCTTCGTGACGTCTACCAACTCCAGTAGTCACGTATTCCATGTTTTTAATTTTATCATAAATATTTCTTGCTGTCGTGAGAGCATCTTGTGTCTCATCTCCGCCAAACAAACTTTCAATGTCGTATAAAATATCAAAAATTTCTCGAACTTTTAAACGTTCGTTTTCAACGTATTTGTAAGCATTTTCAATCTGTAAAGACGCTTGTCTACGTTCTTCTTCTAATTCAGATCTTAACCATAAAACCTATGAAAGAAAGTAAAAGCTAAACGAAACATTTTCCCATAATGTTTAAATAAAAAAGTGATTTTTTTTTCATACTACGCAATAACAATTTGAGTTATTAGTCTCTGTATATAGAATAAAATTAACTATTCTGAACAGGTAGCATTATATAAATAACTTTAATACTACAACATTTTATACAGTTATTAGCGGATACATTTCACATCAATTTGCAATCTTTCTTTTTGTATATTATATCAGGAAAGGCACTTCCTATACAGGAAATTCAATAAATCTTATGCAACGATTTTTTATCCTTTAATTAAGCTCTGTTTAATCAAGAATTTCGAAGAAGTATGTAGCGGGTTTTAGATTTAATGAAATCTCATTTTTTTTCTCTAATTATTATAATATTTCTTCAACTTTGATGATTTTCGTTGAGTGCTGAGGAAGTATATAGTATATTTATAATTAAAATTGCGTAGTATATCCTAATAATACGAGAAGAAGCAATACCTACGTGAAATTGTGTATAAAAAACCAAGCGAAATGGTTTAGCCATAGAATACATATCAATAACTTTTAATTATTTGACACATAGAAACTACACTAGGCTCCATTTTCTTTTTTAGCTAAGCAGCTAAGCAGCTCATTTATTTCTTATTGAAAATAGGAATCTATGCTAATAATCTTACCCCTAAATCTTCTAAACTGGGGTAATATACCTTGAAAAAAGATATAATATATTTTTATTATTACTATTAATAGAAAATAAGATATCTAAATGGTTTACTTGAAATAAAAATGAGATGGTTGGTGCCTTTAAAATGGACTTATTGTGCTTTATATATTATCTTAAATGTAGGACTACTTGTACAATAGAGAAAAGAAATTATAGATACTGTAAACTCTTGTGTATAATATTTTGTTTGTTCTATTAAATAGAAATCATAATTAAATAATACAACGTTTTTAATATTCAGCATGAACAGTAATGTAGTCATTAAACACTTTTGTGATGCTTATAGTCTTATATATAAAATTAAGGAGAGCATATCATATACTACCATCATATTTCATTGAAAGAGTAAACAATAAATTCTTATTTTTTTGTAATGTATCCTTGTTTTTCTTTAATTAGCATTTTAACAAAAAAAAAAAGAAATTTTCACAATACTCTTAATATAGGATTAGGATCAATGTTTCTTTATTTCTCAAACTATATTTCTCTGTTTCTCTCTTCCGCAGACAACTCTTCTCTACTGTCTCTCTTCAGAGTGCCCCTAAAAGAAAACTATTTTTTTCCGATTTAAGATTCTGCCATACGTCTGACAAATCATCTGAGCTATAGTTATTTTCATTAGGAGTGAAAATTGTGTTGTAAATGTGTATTCTGCGACGATCAGGTATGGCTTTCACTCTTATGTACTTATTCTTGCACGATTGTTCTCTTAAAATAGTTCTAATTTTCCTAACTGTCTCCAAACAACTGTAACTGATGTTGGATTATTATAGTTAAAAGTTTGCTTATTTCTTATAAAATCTGCAAAAATTTCTTCTAGAATAAAATACATCTTATTAACAGCTTATACAGCTTACAGTTGCTTTTATGCAATTAGTTATTCATATAGCTCTTCAGCGCTTAATGAAATATTTATACATTTAATGAAAAGATATAAGAAAATAGTTCGAACTGGATAAGAAAAACATATCTTCCTAATGTCTAATATATATAAATTAGCGCATACATTTTAAATACCATCTGATATGGGAAGAGAGATTAACAAGGGAAAAAATCAACTATAGACTGTAAAACCAATGGGATAGTTAAGAAATGAATAGTGAAGTATACAAGTATTTTTTTAAAAATATATATTTAAATTGGAAGAGAGATTGTCAATAAAAAATGATTTTTTCTCTCTTTTTTCTAATTTAATAATTATATTAAAAAATATAGAGAATTTTTTTTTAATCAATAAAAAAGTCTTTAAATTCGTTAAAAACATAAAAAAAACTAGATAATAATTATTTTATATTTGATAAAAGAATTGATCTTAACTAACCAATCTTGTTCGACTATCAGTGTCAAGATCTATATTAACTAATTCATGAACAGATTCAGCAGCTTTCCTAGCAAGATCCGAGTTAATAGTTTTTCGGCGGATTGTATATCTGTTGGAAATAACATAGTTGTTTTATAATTTTTACATAAACAAGACAAATTATATATAAATAAAATCTTAATATATTTATTGAAACAATGAAAAATGGATATTTCTATTCTCACGATGTATAAAATAAGTTTAATCCTTCAGGAACTGACTATAATATAATTTCCTTCTTTTTCAAGGCTAGTCTATTTCTAAAAACAATAGATGTATTGATTGACAATATTTCTTTTACTTATAAATTATAACTTTGCTTAATTGCTCTAATAAAACAGATGTACTAAGATAAAGTCCAAAAGAGTTTCCTACCTCTTCCTTTCGTTACTAAGAGACGTTGAAGATTTATTAAATTACCTACTATACTTGAGCCATATAACTATAAGCTTAATATATTAGCACTAAATATAAAATGTATATAAGCGTATATGCTGCTAGTCTCTAGTAAAAAAATCTAAATTCTGATTATCCAACTATAGCCTTGAAAAAAGTAAACTAAAATTATTCTAATTTGAGTTATTAGAAAGCATTAAAAAGTACAATTTGCAATTAATCCCTATACAAAGATTTCATATGTTACAGCGTTCTCAAATACCGTTAGATAGGTCGCCATGCATTGATTTAATCATATATATATATATATATAATTTTCAAATACATCAATGCTGCCAATTAAAAAAAGGTAAATACTGTATATTGTAATATTATATAACATACTGTATATACATAATGTGAATAATTGAATTCTATGTAATAAAATCAGTAATTTCAGTAATAGACTATTTGTAAAAAAACACTTTGTTTAATTTAAATACTGTACATTAATTATAAATCAAATTGTACGCTCTATTTCTTTTCGTTGACCAATTGATTCTTTAAAATGAAAAAAATAAGCTTGTTTAATACACCGCCATCTGTTGGACATCATATTTTGTGATGTTAGTTTGTTTATTATTTGTTCTTTTAAAATACTATGATAAACATTTATATTTGATTTTTCGTTAAAAGGTATCTATACTATATATATATATGAGATATTAAAAGAGACTTACCTAATAAACTCGTCAACTGTTTTAAATACCCTACTCTCTACGTCGTCGTCATCCTCATCGCTCGATTCACTTGTTACGTATTGACGTTCAATATGATCCATTTTCTTGAATTCTCCTAATTAATAGTTAAAAATAAACTTATTCTTCTTTATCTTGTTTGAAATTTTTTTTATTGATTTCCGCCAATTAACTTGTATAATTAAGTTTAATTTTAAAAAAACTTTAACACGGACAGAAGCTGCCGTCGTTTGAAGCGATAGAGTGAGTTGATTGTACCCGGTGGGCGTTTAATTAAGAAAAAGCGTTAGTTTAATGAACTAAATCCGATTATAGTGATTTGCGTAGGAGTGTTTTGCAAACAGTAACTTTCCAATAAAAAATTAGTACAGGAGCATTAAAAAAAGTGCGATAATAGAAAAGACGGTTAGTGTAATAAACAGCTGAAATAGTTTTATAAAATTTGAGCTATGTACTTTAAAACTATATAAAAGAATAAAAGTCTTTTTTGTTTGTTTAATACAAACCTTATTTTAAAACAACAAAGGCCCATTGCCTTTTATCATCTTTTCACTGTAAACCTCTAAACTTTCCCCAGATGCCGCTTCTCATCCATTACTTTATCTTAGTGCCATCTACATTCTTTTCTTTACCATGGAATAGCGGCTATTTATGTTTACTAATTTTCAATTTAAATCTTTTTCTTTTATCAAAACTGTCAATTGAAAAGATCAATAAAAAACCAATTAATTGTGAAGTTATCCAGAGTTTCAAGCTTATTGTTAAATTAACTTTAAAGATATTTTCAAGTGGGTAAAAATTTCTTTTCATTAACTTTTCTCTTCCTCTGTTGGTGTGTTTGCATATTTTCTGCAAGATAATAAACAATATTAAATATTTATACATAGTTTCGGGAAGAAAAATAAAACAAACGTAAAAATATTATCATTTAACGAGGCGATTTACGAAAACGATAAGGTAATACCCGTATCATTCAACTGCGCTTTAGCTTTATGAGAGTTGGCTTTTTGTTATCTAGAAAGAATCCGGAAGTAGGCTAAAAGAAAAACTTGTATTACATTTTTTACCAAACAATAGCGTCTTTCAAATGGTCAAACTATAAAGGAATTGTTAAAAAATCGATAACTGTCGTAACGCTTGACGGCTAGCAGATAAGCTAATCGGATTATTTGCTCTGATTGAAGTATAGGAGGAAGAAACCAACGATAAGGTGTTATTTTGGAAACTGTCAATCACTGATATGTTGTAATATTTTACAGTTGGAAGTGGAGATAATAAGATAAGATCTACACGGGGTTTGGTTTTGTTAATAGCAGCAAAGTCGTAAGCAAACCAAATCAATATGAAGAGTTCAATGGGGGTAAAGGAAGATAATTATAGTTTCCTTAGAGATTCAATAAATATTGCGTGATGTGTAATTTGTTCAGGTAGAAGAAGTTTTCTTCTCGCCCTTCTGCTCTAACTCGTTTACCATTTCGTTGGGCTGGCATCTGCTAACCATAAGAGCATATCCGAGAAGAAAGTACTATTAGAAAACATATTCAATTTAGCGAATGCTATTACATAACAAAAAATAAGAATATCGACAGTCTAAATGTCAAGTCAAACCAGACTTTTTTCGAAAGTTTCTTCCTTACGAAAATATAAATATTACACTCTGACTACTAAACCCCCATTTGCAAGGAAGACACAAGGAAGCACAGGTACAGAATGGGGGAGGGGGTAAAATGAGAAGCGCTAGAGAATTTTATTTATATTGAGGGTCATAAATATACACCTAGGGGTTATCACGCTCTGCAAAAGTTGGAAATTTCTAAAAGGTTCATCTAAAATAAACTCAACCTGTGGAACATTATACGGTATAGGGGAAACACTTAAATCTACACCTAGAAATAATCTTAAAAAATACGATTATTAAAGACTTTTATACAAATCGTTGAGTTTTTCAACGATGAAAGAAATAAATTGCATATACCTTAGTAATAGTTTTACTATATATAAAATTTTATACGGTGAGAGGAAATGGATATATTTCTTTCAAAAGTTGAAAGAAACGCAGTAATTTCATCTACGGAAATAATACCTAGGTAAGTTAAAAAGACAAAGTGTATAGTTAAAAACATTATATTCAAGTTTTTTGAGAGACGATTGCTCTATAGTCGGTTTTTTCAAATAAATATTAATTAATTCTATATTATATTATTAACATAAAGTAATATTTACACATAATATTTATATAATCGACAATAACTGAATGAAGGAGGTATAAAGTTGTTAAATAATATTGTTTATAACAAATACATGTAAAAGTGTCAATAAGAAATTAACAACTTTAAGAAAATGTACTATAAACAATACTTTAATTACAAAGGGAGTTATATCAAGCATTTTAAAAGGTATATACTTGATTATAATTGAATAGATATTAACGAATTAACAAGTGGAAAGAAATTGTAAGATAATAGAGTATAGAAGTAGGAAAGAAATATGTTTTACACTTAAGGCGCGTATTGGGCGATGTATACCATTAAAAAGAGATTAAACGCTCGTTAAAAATCCATAGTAAAGTTTTGAACTAACAAGTTTTTACGTTATTGTTTCTAATATAGAATATAAATAATAATAATTATAAATAATTGGCTTGTTTTATTTAGTGTTTGAAACACATTGAAATAAAAGAGAAGAATATGGAAAAAAAATAAAAGAAAAAGAAACTCTTTACACAATGATCGTATAAAAAATTCCACTTGCATAGTTAAACACAAAAATCTCTGAGGATATAATGCATAGCCTATTGAAGAATGTTTTTACAAGTTTAGCACCCTGAGCTAAACACAACTACAGTGTGTATTAGCTTTAAAATTGTAAAAAAAGACACAAGATGACATTTAGTTTTGAAATAGTAAACTCTTTCGATAAAGTGAAAGTATAAACAATAAATAAAACATTCTTCGCTATCGTAAATTTAACAAGTGACACTAGAACAAACAAAACTCATGCATATTATATAATATTTAAAAAACAACCAAATGATTTACATAATTTATTCATTTATTCACAAGTATATCTCTCTGTAAAAAGAAAATAGAATGATTTTAAAAGAGCGGATTACGCCTAGTCGTCAACAAAATCCTGTAGTATATCTGCGCAATACCTACCTATATGTTATATATTAGTATACATTCTCTTTTTACAGTATAGTCTTACTCGAAAAATATACATTCCTAAGAATTTTAGTGTTAACAACACTTAAAAAAATATGTCGTACACGTGTAGATAAGCTGAGTATACTTTGCAGTATATAACATTCCTCTCCTGTATCATTTAAGAATAATATAAACGTTAATTTATATTTTCATTTCATCTCTCAATTCTCTTTAATTATTATAACAAGAAAATCTTAACATATATAAAAAGATATGATTAATATATAAGTACAAAAATATTATATCTTTTAAAATTGAATACATTATCAATAAAACAATTGAATATAAAAAAAACTTTAAGAGAAGCCGTCGAACACTGAACGAGACGAAAGAATAATTTAACAAACCTAGTTTTGTAGAAAAAGATAGTCTCTTTAATATATTAAAAAAATACAAAACCCTAACTTGAACAGGGAAATATTAATATGAAAAATATTGTCTTTCTTTTTACAATCAAACATTTGCTTCAGTTATTAATTTTCTACCACTAAACAATTTATGATAAGCATTTTTCCAACTATTAAGAGTTTTTGTTGACCATATCCAAAATCCTGAGGTTACACCTACTATTAACATCATTAAATATTTGAGCATAAAATAAGTAAATTCAGGTTTTGATAACTTGTCCTTTGTTAAAGGACAGGAGAAACCCATCTGACAGGCTCTGGCATGCCAAGATTCCATCCAGCTTAGTCTATTATTATGTTCGTAGAAATGGCAAACAATAACAATTACAGCCGGTAAAGTATATAGCACACTGAAAACACCTATTCTCATGATTAGTTTGTCGAGTTTGTCTGTACGGCTACCGTCCGCTTTCATAGCTGTTCGTATCCGACAAAGTGAAACGAAGCCAGCGAGTAGAAAAGAAGTTCCTAATACCAAATATACCAAGAGGGGTGTTATAATAAACCCTCTAAGAGTATCTAGATTTGACAAACCAGTGAAGCAAACTCCTGACAGTATGTCACCGTCTATTTGGCCCATCGCCAATATTGCAATAGTTTTAACAGCAGGAACCACCCAAGCTAGTATATGGAAGAAATGCGCGTTGCTTTCTATTGGTTCATGCCCCCATTTTAATCCTGCAGCTAAGAACCATGTAAAAGCCAGAACAACCCACCAGACACAGCTTGCCATACTAAAAAAGTAAATTATCATGAACAGAATGGTGCAACCTGCCAACTTCGTTCCTTGAGTAATCAAGGGAAGAGATAATTGAATTTCATCGATCTCCTCTAATTTGTTCCTAAAAGGTCCAGAGCAAACCGCTTTATCTTTAAGAAAAAAACCAATAACATAGCATATCGATACCATAAAATAACAAGCAGATAGGAATATAATCGGCCTCTCAGGGTATTTGAATCTAGCCCTATCGATAACAAAAGTTAAACTTGTAAACAACGTGGATATAGAGCAGAGAATAGACCAAACAAAAATCCAAACTTTAGCAAAGTTTCTTTTCCTTATTGACTCTTCTCTTGTTCCATAGAAGTAGTCCTGTTCCTGTGAACATGGAAGACCACAATCTTTTGCCTCTATGTTTCCTACTCTTAGTTTGTAACCGAATCTTGGTGGTACTGTAAGTTGGGGAGGACAACGAAATTTCCTCCCGCCAAATGTCATATTAGGAGTATTCGGCTGATAGTGATGTTTAGTTTCATTTTGACTAACGCACACTTCCTTATCGGGAGTAGGGAACAATGAACAGTCCATATAGCTGGGCCAATCTGAACCAAACGACTTCATTACATCCACACATTTTCTTTTAGCCGCCAAGCATAATGATTTACAAGGTTTTAAAGTTTGTGTGTAGTTTGAGCATACAGGCGACAGTAAAGTGCATAGAAATACTTTTAAGTATGGTGAACATCCCATCTTGATGAGCGGATAATAATGATGTAGTTCGTTACCTGCTTCATACTGTGTTGTATGTCCCAAGATATTTGGCAATCGTGTTTCATTGTAAGGCATATCCTTACATAGTTTTATTGTTATTCGTTCACATTTCTTCGATCCAAAGGACGATGAATGTAATGACACCAGAAATTCAAAGAATATTAGAGTTACAAGTACTATTTTCATCCTTTATCGATCACGGTGGAAGTTTCACGGAGGCTCTTCTGTTATAACGGCCAATGGATATACATCAGAGAAAAGAGGAAACGGTCTTTATAGAATAACTCTTTAAATCAGCTTGTATTAAGCACATGAGGATTCGCGTACAATTCAAGAATATTCATTTCGATCTGCATCTCTTCCAAGAGTGACTTATTTTGAGAAAACTAGCCAATCCGGTGCTAGTTCTCAAATTTTAAGTTGCAAAACCTATTCTGATTGGTTATTTTTTGCGCGTTCTATTGTTATGAAAAGAAACCCGAATGACAAGTGATTTTAAAAATGGCGTCTGAGCCCTGCGCATGTCTGCCATATATCAATACAAGTGTCACTATTCATCTATAGGCTCGGCTGTCTTAGCAACAATGTAAACAAAGCGGTGACGAAGCCTGATTTGTAATGAAAGTTTACACATCGCTAATTAATTAGAATAATGCCTACATTGCAGATATTATGCAAATTTCAATGAAAATAGATCAATAAATAGGAAATGAATTTTTTCTAAACATCAATAAAAACAAGCCAAATAATAATAATTACTTTGTTACTTAATAACTAGTGTTAAATTTTCTTTTTCCTTGTTCTTTATAATAATAAAAAGCATATTTCTTATGACTATATTTATATATATATATATATATATATACTGTATATTATGTAAAAGAAAAGAATTCGTTGTATTGAAACTGAGAAAATAATATAAAAAGAATTTATGTTCTTTTATTATTTGAATAAAAATTTTGACACTTATTACTTAACAAAGAAGTAGACTAAGCTAATTATAGTTTTCTCCTCTTTTTAATGATATATAATTTATTTGATAAATTTTCTAAGGATATTATAATTTATTGTTGAGTTAACAAGTCTTAAAGAAATACGCTTTTTATGATATTAATTCACTAGTAACAACTCGAACTAATATCAATCACTTATTGTAAAATACAGTATGGTTATCGTATGATGTATAATGTTTCAATCTTTAAGTGCCAATAAATTGATTATGATTGTATTGTAACAATGCTATTCTTCTTTCTTTTTTTCATTCTCCCCCCTCGCACGCCCTAGTTTTAAAAGTGAGACATCGATCACAACAACGGTATTTTAACAATGTAAATTGTAAGTTATGTAGGGATAAATGAAAGTCTTCGTCAAACATATCATTTTCTTAAGATTTATCGTGTCAGACCAAGTTCTCACTGAGCTCGGTTAAGGGGAAAATTTTCTTTTATTATCTAAAAGATTCGAGCTTTTCCTTAACGCCTTAATTATTCAGAGCAGAAATAAGCTTTAAAGCCTTAAGGGTCTACCTTGTTAACAGCACTCGACGATAAGGCGATAACGCTGTGGGACTCTAGATTGTGAGATAAAGAATTGAATGGAAAAAAGCGGGAGCAATTTCTACCTATTGTTAAAAAACTATAGTTATACTCTATTTCTTCCTTTCAGACAATTTACCTCTCAAGCGTTTCATATGCAAACAAGTTCAATTCAGGTCATTTAGTTACTTATGTAGAAGCCATTCAAAGAAATTCACAAGGAATTTACCCATATTACGTAATCTGCAATCTTTACCGCCATCTAATCACTAAAATTACCGTCGTCTAGTCGAGTCTATTTGAAAATCGTAATATAGTTAATTTAATTGGAAAGTATTTTTTTTTCTTGCAATAGTCCTATTATTCCTTTTAAGTTTTACAATAAAGTAGCTCTTGAAGTTCTTTTGGGGTTACGAAATGACAATTTACGTTTTATTGGCCTGTGACCCAAAATTTCAAGAGAAAAACGGACTATAAATTGGAATAAGGGACTATTTTGACATATGAAAGAACATCGACAGTTAAAACAATAACAATAAACTATTAAAAGAAAACTGGGTTATCTTAACCTTTCAAATAATTGTACTATTTCTATTTATTTATATGAACTGTCAAAAGTTTATTTAAAAGATTTTAGGCATCATTTTCTATTTTATTTATGTTTAAAATGAAAAGGGAAAAGAGAACTTTTACAACAAATTATTGAATAAGAATTCCCTTCATTTTTTAATATTTCACATATTCGAGCTTGTTAATAAATTATTTTGCAAAAAAACTTTTTATCATTGAACCTCGTTTTTTATTGAATTCACCAAAAAGAGAAATTTTCTTTAACAATTAGCTTATATGAACCAATTTAAAGAGAAAATTTTTATTAGGTCAGACGCTATATAAAATCCATCAATGGGTAATTTTAATTGATATGAGACTTTAGATGAACGAAGATAAAATAGGCCTTAAACAATCAAGATAACAATAAGAGGTGTGAAGTTTAAACAAAAGAAACTTTTATCTAAGACTCTTAGATGAAAATTGCACTAATTAGCGATGATGGCTGTTCATACTAATTCAAAGGATGAGTAGAAGGATATGACGTAATAATTAAGAATAACGTTCTAATGAAAGCATTGATCAAAAACTTATCTTACCAGTTGTTTATTGCAGTATGCTTTCCAAATTTATTAATGAAAGGTAATTAAAGAGTCTAGTTATTCAAATAAGTATCTTTTCGCAAACCCAATAACTTGGCAAATTTTTATCAATATCATTCCATCCATTTATGTTAATGTGCACCTGATTCTCTCGTAATCCTTGATTATTCGGCTCACCTGGTTGCCAGCTGGTGAAACTTCCTAATATCTTACCAGTTCCTTCCCAATAGAATTCCCCTTCCTGATTTTCATCTGTTAAACCAATTAGAACAGGGAATTTTTTATCTTGAAAGTATGATTTTTTAACAAATTCATACTCTCTTTCAGTCTCAAGTGAAATCAATGTCATTGTTTGTTTCGAACAATTTTTTCTAGCATAGTACCAAGTCATTTTAATAGTTCGTTGAAAGTAATAACAAGATCCTTCCCAATATTTTTGATCTTTTCCGCATTTTGCAGGTAAACATTTGTTGCTAAATTTTTCAATTAAACATCTATTTGACAGAGTATATACTCTAAATTTTCCATTGTTATCTTCCATAGGTCTAGGGAAACCACCGTGATATAATTTACATACTTTTTCAACTTTTATAAAAAATCTACAAGAACTTTCAATAACGCATAAATGGCTACAAGATAGCAAAGATGCAACTTTAAAAACTTTAATAGTAGTTGATTTTCGAATACGTTTCAAAGTTGTCTTATATGATTGAAATTCACTTATTTTTTCAGATATTGAAGTAGTACAATACTCAACTGAAAATATAAGAAAAAAAATGATAAAAACTTCAACTAAAATCTTCATTTTCATTCATTAAATAGACGAAACGAGACAATAAATTGTGCTCTATATATTGCAGTACGCTTGCATATATTATAAAAAATTATATAAACTTAATATTTCTTTGTAAACAAAAAGTTATGTTTGCACGCGTATCTGTATTTGCACTTGGGTTCAAAGCCCTCTGATTATATATTTTTATACTACTTATTAATAATATATTATTGATGTAAAGCTTCTTAAGGCTTAAAGCGAATAATTATTATGAGTAATACTAAATCTTTAACTAATATATTTATTATATCTAAATATACAATAAATTCTATAAATGTAGAGCAATGTATATATTTACGTTTATTATTATACTTATATCAGGCTTGTAAAGGTCAAAAAGTGCTAATTTATGATGTATTTATATATTTTTTATGTATAATATTCTATATTTAATTGAAATATTACGTTTTCGAATTCTATGTAATCGTAATACTGTTTATATCTTTCTATTATAAATAGTTGGGAAACCGCTGTCGGTTACATTTCTCGTATGATAAATTTTTAACCGCCTCCTTTTTATTAGAAAGACATATACAAAAGATTGAATGTTAATGTAATCTTGATAAGCAACTCTATGTTAATTATAGCCATGTTGAAACTTCTTAAAACTCTTTCCTTTCAACAATGTATTCTAATTTAAACAGTTGAAAAAGTTATTAATACCATATTATATGTTTTACCATTAGAAATAGATATACATATAATCTTTGCACATTTAGATTTTTGATATAGTTGTACACTGCTTTTTACTATATTATTATACAGGCTACAATTATTTCTTTTTCGTCTTCACTATAAAATAAAGAAAGAATCATCATCTTCCTGTCATTGGTTTATTTGAATCTGAAGTCCTTTTTCACTCTTTCTATCTAAAAGTTTACACAGCTGGGGAAAATTTCTCTGAACTTTTTAAATTAAATTATTAAAATATGGAGAGTTTAATGGAAGGTCCGAGACATCGTCTCTTTGATATGATTCATTTATGAGATGATGTATGAGAGAACGTTCACTTAATTTTTATCTTCAGCTTTTTGGCTTCATTAACGTCGGAGGAACCTTTAGAGGAAATTCCTGTCAAAATCATTTAACAATTTCCTCCTGACTATTTCTGGGAGCATATTCTTCTCTCTCGTGTCATGTCAGTGACAAGTCCAATCAACAGATCAATCTGAAATAAACTTTTAAATCGGGTAAATGTGTATTATTAATATAGAAAAACTGTACATAATTTGCTTTAGAGAATTCTAATTAATTTTATTTCTTTCCTAAATCAATAACATACTCTTTTATTGTAAAGAAATTACCCTTTTGCTTTTTAAAGAGCTACAATAGAATTTAACTGAAGCGTTACTCTATTGAAAACATTCTTCTTAGTTCATTATACTTTCAGCATTCTTAACCTATGATCTTACAGCATCGTTAGCTCTTTTTAAAAAGTTATGAGTGTCAAAAAAAAAAGATCTTTACTCTTTTTATTCGTTAAAGATTTCTTATACCTCAGAAGTTTCATTTAATAAATTCAGTATAACTGGCAAGTTTCATGAGTCAGTTGAAAATTTATGCTTCCATAGGTCTATGAATGAAAAGTGCCTATCTGTAAAGCTATTTTAACCTTTCGTTGCGAAAAAATGTGCTGTAAAATGTTATATTTTACAGATTTCTGGGTTACTTTCTATTAAAACATTTGATATGTATATAAAATGTCCAATAAGTTTGTGTTTGCCGGAAGAAAACTCATTTTTATAAATAATCGTGTTAGATTATTAACTGATGTTGAATACGAAGATTATTATTTTCTAAATTCTGTAAGTAAGAATTTGTTTCATTCTTGCAAATCTCAAATACACTTAAAAAATTAATCGCATTAGTTTGAATTTGCTAGAAAAATAGATCAAATTGGTCTCAATATAAGGCGGATAGTTTCACAATTGCTCTTCCTATCATACAAATGCATCCCACTTTAGACTTTCAATAGCACTTCCTCTATATTAAAATACGTACACAATTGCGCCTCCTATAGGATAATATATATTTTGTTTAGCATCAACAATCAAATCGATACTATACGACTTTCTAGTGTCCACAGGACAAGCCGATAAAATACAAAAATTAAGTCAAACCCTCCATCAGTGCTTAGTATGCTTGCCTATTATTCTTCATAGAAGAAACTAAAAGTTTTTCAATAGCTTTCAAAGAAGTGAACCGTATTAAGTCCTTCTTTATTTCTAGGATTGTCGAGAAAGTGACTGAAATTGTAGTTAAAAAGAGCATTAACTAGCTGTAAAGGTAAAATTCATAAAAGGAAAAATGACTTCATCTAGCATTCAGATGAAAAAAATTTCTTTTCAGCTGTGATTACAAGTCAACTGTACTTATTTCAAGCTTTCTTCTTTTCTTGCTTACTGAAGGGAAATTTAAGGCTTCTTGGCTACTATTCTGACATATAGGTCATAATTTTGCAAAAAGTTTTGTCAGGGAAAGACTAGCATTGTATTTACCTGCCTATTACCTGTAGACCTGTTTGGAAAAAAAAAGTTTCTTTTCGAGGTATTATCAACGTCCCTTTCTCTGGAATTGATTTTACGTCGCCATCTACCATTTGCGAGTCTACCATAGTGATAAAGCTCGTAAACTTATTGATTAGTGGTCCAAGTCAGCCCTGTATCTTTGTTATTTCAATTTACTATTCCGTCCCCTAAACTTTCAAAAGTTGATTAAAATAATGACTTCTGGTAGTACAGATTCAAAATTTGAATCAGGAAGAATCTTGTACTGCTTGAACATATTAGAGGTAGAGAATTGTTGATTAAGAGAATTAAAGATGCTTCCTATTTGTTAAAATTATCATTAATTTCTCTATAAATAAAAACAAATGAACTTGGGAGTACTTGGTATTTTACACACGAAAAAGGGTATTTATTCAATCAACATGGCTGTGATAAAATTATCATATTGTATTTTATACAAAATTGAATCATAAATTGAATTTGCTGGGAAATTTGAATGAAATTTTATGAATAAAACAATAAGTTAACACTTTTCAGATAAGGATATGACCAAGTAACAGATATATGCTTCTATCTTTTGTTTTTATGAAGAAACGAATAAATAGAAACGTCGTATTACAGTCACGATAATAAGTAATTAGTACAATGAAAAAAGGTTTTATAATGTGATTATTTGGTGTTATATAATTTTGATTTGCCTTATCATCATATTAAATCTGTACCTGGAGTCTTGGTTGAAAAACTGTAAAAAATTAGTTAATTTGCTTCCTTTTTAGAGTTGGATTATAGAAGGGCATATTTTTCAACTGTTCCAATTCAACATGTAAAGCATAAAACCTTTTTGACATTAGACAATGATATCTGAATAGGCACAGTACAGTTTTGTAAAATTTCTTGTGCTCTCCAGTTTGGTTTAAATCTTCATTTTTTTGGAATCTAAAATTCCATTTTCCTTATTATTGTTTGTGATCTGGGAGATAATAATTCTTAATTGTTAACGTCATAGCAACGGTGTTAAAATTACTTAATAGCTTGTGAAATAATCTAGACCATAAACATATTTTGGTCGTCAAAAAATTCACATGTTTAAAACTTTTTATCCCTTGTTATAATTACTTATTAACGTGACTGTATATGCGTATGGGTCATACCTCGCTTTAATATCAGTATCCAATGGATAGCAATGGCTTGTTAGATGTTTATGAATATTAATTTAATAGAAAAATTACAATATCAAAGTCGGTGTCTTCTATGTAAACAAGAATTGTACAGAACTATCTTTTCAGATATTATTACACCGATTCATCATATGATTTTGACGTCACTGACGTATGCTGTTAAGCGTTACAACATTGAACACGCATCTCGATGGCCACAGAGAAGCATGTACTGTTTTACAGAAATTCCTAAAGGTTGTTTAAAAATCTTTTCAAGCGTTCGTTTACTTTTATTGAATATTAAACTCTTGTTTACGTGAAATATTTGTTATGAAACAAAAAATAAGCGATAAACAGTATAAAACACTATTTGTTTCATATAGAACAAGTCAATGTTTTATTTAGTTTATTTAGCCATGGAAATACAAATAAATTATATAAAGATGGAAAATTTGAACGTTTTAAAAAAAGACATTTAAAACCAACTAGAATACAATTTATTTACAAATCTAAAAAAGTCTAGTTCTAAACAGTTGTATTATAAATTTTTCGTTTAAAAAAGGTATTCAAGGTCAAGTGTAAAAAGTTTATATATCCCACCATCCAAGTTTTCCCCATAAAAGAAAATCATCGAAATAGATAAGAAATTTTGATGTTGACACTGATTCTCTTATGACGGATAGCGCATCTCCTTCTAGATGAGCTACTAATCTTCGTGGAGTATATCCATCTCTTATTGACCTAGAATAGATTATTATTAAATATTTCTTATAATGGAAATAAAACTTAATCTCGTCAATTACCTACAAACGGTTGATATTTTCATATTATCAATATTTCCTGAGAGCATTTTGGCGAGTCTTGCTGTTCTTTTAACAGTTTCAACAGGAGTAGGGTAATGCTCTTGAACAACTGTGTCGTTAGGGGTATTCATACCATGACAAACTACTATTCCCGGTGAATCATCGTTTGGCATAAAAGTCTTAAAAGAAGTTGAGAGACAAAATCTAACTTTTTTAACAATTATCTCAAATTCTTTAATAGAAAAATCAAGAATAGCGTTCGCTAAATTTTTCCAACCTTCCATGAGTTCTGCGTTTTCTTTAGCACAAAATAGCAAAGGATCTCTTTTATACTCTTTTAAAAGAGATTTTCTATATTTTCTCAAAGTGTCATTTCTACTCTCGAACTGCTTGGCTATTAATAAATAATGGGCGGCTTTACCCAAAAATGCATTTCCAAGTACTTCGTGTTGTTGTAAACGGGGACAGAGAAATGGATCTAAAGCTCTATTTAACTTTTCAATTTTCTTCCAATTAATATTATATTTTGTTATAGGTTTATACGCCAATTCAACACCGTAGTAGTCGAGATCAAAGTCAACAACAATAGAGTCATCATTCTATTAAATTCAAAGAATAAAGTTTGAATATCTATTAACGTAATTTCTTATAATCTATTATGAAATATACCTTTAACCAATCGGTTTTGAACATCTTAATAGCTTCAGTTTCCTCAACAATTTCAAATTGAAAATTAGTAGAAGTTGAACATTCATTAATTTCCATTGGTATTATACGATCATCAATATCTTTATCAACATCAACATAATAGCAAGACGTTTCGTTGGAATTTTCTTCGCATAGACAAACATATCTTTTATTTTTAAAGATATAACCTAAAGAAATTTTAGTATTTGTATATTTGGCATCATCTTCCTGCTTTAACCAAGACGGATAAATCCATATTACTCTATTGAATATTCCTGCAATAACCGCAGCCTGGAGAAGACATAAATGTTATAATGATATCTATATTTTGGATGGGTTCTTATTTCATTATTGTGTTTATACTAATATATAAAACATACGTATATAAACATATCGTTTCTTTGTATTGTTATATCTTCTTCCGTTGGACTTTTCGGATATCTAAATAAAGGATAACCTTTATATAGGATAGGAACGTTCATGTCACTGTGACCATCTATATGTATCTGAATTTTTATCATTGAATAATCAAGAGAAAGTGGTTAAAAGCAATAATTGATGACTAACCAAAGTGTTTTGTGTTCTTTTTATTAATCCATCCCTAACAGCGTCGTACCAATAGGGTAACACTAAAACATGTATACTTATTAATTGATAATCATTTATAAAGATTATACTTTATTCCAACCTTCGTGATGCTCTTCCACAACATATATTGGTATGATGCGTTGAGATTTATAAAAAATATGATAGTAAAACAATCCAAGAAATATCAACAGACTAGAAATAATAATTAATTTCATTCTTCTTGTCTGTGACATCGTTAACTTTATTATATATCTTTTTAAACTCATTCTTTTTAATATATATTTTCTTATCCGTCAATTTCTTTTATTATCGCTCATTTAAGTTATTAAAAAAAATAGTATAATCATTTAATATATATTTCAGTATTGCTGTAAAATATTTCAAGTTTCGGATATAATTAGTTTCAAAAATAGCAGAGACAGATATTAGTTTATTTTGTTAAAAAACATAAAAATTATTGAAATAGACAATGATGGATAAAATCCTCTTGCAAGATGTAGACATCTGACGGATATTATAAAACAAAAATAAGCAACAGCTCCATCTGGATGACAAAATAGAGTCTGTTAATCAAGAAAAAGTGTAAAAATTAGATCTATAAACTAGGTGGAACGTATTTCCTGTCCAAAAGTCTACCCCATATTCTATTGTAGGGATGGCAAACGTTAGTAATTTGATTATCATGGTTGAAAACTGGGTGACCATCGTTAATCCATTTGAAAATTCCTCCAGATAGATTAAATATTTCATAATACTTCAAAGAATTGATATCTACAAATAAATAATATACAATTAAAACATGGTAGTCATTTTGAAATGATTAAAGATTCCAATTATAAGAATAATGAAGGCGCATCATTGAAAAAAAAACAACTAGTTACCTTTATCCTTAATATATTTTGTTAACTTTTCAGCGTAACTCGAAGATCTGTAGCCAACAGAACAATAGCAAACAACTGTAATCTTTTGGCTTTCATTCTTTACTAAAGAATTTAATCTGTTGAATGTATCTTCTAAATCATTCCCAGTTTCACTAACAATAACAGCATTTTGTATCTTAGATAGTTGGTGTTCTTCAGATGCTCTTACATCCTAATGAAAATAGATAAATTATAAATGATTTATCTATATATTTAGACTAGAACTTATCAAAGAAAAAATGATAGAAGTGTACACAATCGATCATTTTGACAATAATACAAAGAAAGGGTTCGAATAGATTCTCTAAATCGTTTTATAAGCTAAAAATATATTATTATTGCAGATTTTCACTTCTTAATTACAGTTTTCAATTAGTTTTATATAAAGATGAATCTGTTTCTTTTATAAATAAATAATATTCTTACCAGAATCAGTAATTTATCTTCTAAGTTTTCGTCATTTAGCAATTTCGCAAAGGTGTTGATTGTTATTGATTTAACACTACTAAACTTTTTATTAATTAGTGATATTGTCACCCTCATAGATATTGGAGTTGAAGCTTCTTTACTCATTCTTTTTATATTATCGCTCTTTTTTCTTTTTCCAAGGTGTTTGACCTTTCTTGGAAACTGACAAAATTAATTATTTATCTATTGATGGTAAAGTAGAAAATTAATATGTCTCGGTTATTTATTCATTGTCTAATATCTGTCTTTACTGATTCGTTAGATTGAATTTGTTGATGTCAATATTGCGTCTCCTCAATTTGTTTTCTGAAGGTCAAGGTCATTACATTCAAATTCTTGTAGGATTTATGCCGCCACAATTATTTTCTTTTCAACATAGTTATATATATATATATATATATATATATATATATATAAGATCTATACTAAGATCTATCACTATATAAGAGATGAATTATTGGAAAAAGTTTTATTTATAGCTAAATAAGGAACGTTCTTTTAAAAAAAAAGCCATTAATTAATAATATTCGAAATTGGTTAAGATGTGTTCATATAATCGTATTAAATAAAATCTTAATCTATTACAAATCGCTTAAATATTTTAAAAGAAGCTCATCAATCTTAAGTTCATTGACACATGTTTTTTCTAGATCATAATGTGCCAGAAACTCTTATTTCCAGGAAAAATCTTGTAGCATAAAAAGAAATCTAATCTATCATAGTTAAAAACTATACTTTACTTTATTTTAAGAAGGACAAAAGTATAAAAATTATTAAAATTAACATATTAATTTATTCTTTCAAGGAAAATTTAATATTCATTCTTATTTATTTAGTCAGGAAAAAGGATACAGGATAGGAAATTGCTAAGTCGTTTTCAATATATACCAATTTTCTTATATTGACGATAATGGGTTTTTGTAGTACGTTAAAAATTATAAAGTAAAAAAAATAATAATAAGGAAATGAAGAGGAGAAAATTGATTTTATTTTTAATTGAATGGAATAGGCTAAAATCTTTCAAAAGAAATGATTCAAAAGTTCCTAATTCTCATTAATAATTCAATTTTATTACTTTTAGTGATAGTAGCTATGACCACTTGTTTTTCATTATTCTTTTCCTTCTTTTTTTATTTAATAATATCTAAGGAATGTGGTAAATTCTAAGAGTCGAATAGGGAGAGAAAAAAACTCATTTTAACTTTAAATGCAGCTGTTAATAACAATCGACTATACAATAACAAAACTATAAATATTTAGCTGAAAATGGGTATTTCTTTCCCAAAGGAAAAAAGTTTTTGGGTGATGCGTCTGCATTGACAAACACCAGCGACAAAAACATTTGGTAAAAGTTTGCTATTGTTTAATTCACTTTTAAGTTTAAATTAAGCAGAAATAGCCATAAAGAGAGAAGGAGTGAAAATTAATCTTATTTGTTGAAAAAAGAATATAATGTCAATAATATTCAGAACTCTTTCTTAAGCATTTCAAAGAAGAATTTTGATGATATAGGGAATTTTTTGTGACCTAGTTCTCAATCTAAAAATAATACTTGAAAACCGCAATTGTTGCACCAAAACCAGAATTTGAACTGTTTATTTAAAGACATGTGTACATAGTAAGGAGGAAATGTTTTTTTTACATATCTATAAATATACATTCACTATATACAATTTATATCCCACAACACAGACACAGTTTATTGTTTTATCTCTAAAAGCTTAACGCTTTCTATAGGATTTTAAGTATATAAAGGTACGTGGAAATATTTCAATATTCTCTTCGCCTTCTGAACTAGAAACTCGCTATGACCTTGGAAAAAATTGAAGATCACAACTTAGTGTCGAGGAAGATAGTACGAAAATATTCTTTTTATAAAGTGGAAGTAACTACCTACTGTTACAGTATATTTTAATGGTTTACGTTTAAACATGTATTAACCTTTTATGTGTTAGAAAATTTCTTAAAATAGACTACAGTTAGTTTTTGAAACTCTAAGCAAAAGTTAAACGTATTCTCCTCAAATTACGTAATATGGATTTTTACATATCTTTGACTCTTCAATGTTGATATACCGAAAAAAGTAAAGAGAATATGGAATATTCATATATATATTATTATATGCATGTATATTTTAATATATTGATATTTTAATGCTTTATTTCATTGCTTTTAATTGATCTTGCAAATCTTTCAAACTAAAATTACTATCAGCTACTGTTGATGCTTTTTCTTCTTCATTACTCTTCGGTATGGAATAAGCAAATTGAACGCCTTCGGTTAAATTATCATCCTGTTTTTCTTCATCATCTTTCGACTCGCTAACTAACTCAATACCTGGATAAAGCAAAAACATTTTACTGTTTAACACTTCATATATATAAAATATATGCGTAATTCTTTCTGTATAATTGATTTTTAACTAGATTAAATTGTCATTTCTATAATTAAAATAGCTTGAAATATTAATTAATCTGCATTAAAATCCATCAAATTCTACGTACCCCATTCATCTTCGTGTACTATAACCTCTTCTTTAACCTCGACTTCAACGACTTTAGGCTTATTTGCTTCTCTTTTCTATGACAAACATCTTATAATGACAAGAAACACCGAGTGTTTATTAGCCTACTTTGAATAATTCCTGCTGCTCCCTACAAAATCTATCATCGCACTCTTGGTTTGGTTTTAAAACCATTGTGGGAAAATGATCTTTCAAGGCTCCATAGCCTAGATAATATGAGACTTCACCAAATTTTAATAAATATTTAAGAGTATTTTGAACAAGAAGCCCAGCCACAATTCCCATGGTCGTTGGTAAACTGGCCGCGCAAACACCTTCACGTTTTAAAGTCTTTTCGTCTGTTTTAGTTGCTACGATAAGAGGTGGGGAACACTGTAAATACGAAATATTTTCTTCATTAACGACTAGATAACAGATTTAATTTTCTTAAGGTAAATTTTTTTAATTTCCTCTCTACTACCTTTTCATTAAGATTATTACTATTATTGTTACTATTATTATGTACTACTAAAATTCATTGCTTACGCCAAAACAAGCAGTTTCTCCAGGTTTAATAAATTGGATATGACCCGAAACAGCATTTTCACTAACACCACTTTCCATCCAAAATTGACCTAATTCATTACATGCCGTATTAATCGCCATCCTTGCTTCAAAGTTATCGACGCAGCTTAGTACGAGGTCAACGTTCTTTCCTTCTAGGCTACCACATCTAAATACAATCATTTAGTGTAAGTATAGATGAAATAATAAGCTCAAATAGCTTGTTTACCCACTTTATTCTTGACATAAAATGATCAAAGTTATCCATAGTTGTTATATTGTAATTATGAGCCTCAAAAGTAACATCAGGGTTGATTGACCTAAAGGGTAACAAACAACAATTGACACACACTTGACTATATTGATACAAAAATGCCATATCCTTACTGTAAAGTTTTCACAGCAGCATCTACTTTAGATAAACCAGCTTGGTGAGGTTGAAAGAATAATCTATTCATATTAGCTAATTCCACTTTGTCATAATCAAAGAGAATAAGCTAATTTATTTCAAGAAAACACAAGAAAAGAATACTTTTGTTTAAAATTAAAATTACTAATTAAACGGCTGTAATGTTATACTTTTCCTATTCCACATCTTGTAAGCATTTCCGCAGTAACACTTCCAACACCCCCAACTCCTACTACAGCAACCGTATAATTTCGAATTTTCTGCGAAAGGAAGTATTTAGAGGTTAAATAAAGTCAGAATACATTCAATATTGTACTGATTACAAGATACTTGCTCTGTAAATATTATTGCTTAATAAGTTTACAAGTTGAAGAATGATACAAAATGTAACATAATTTTATATATCATTTTACTTACTTCATATTCATCAACAATTCCCATTCGTTTTAGTGCCATTAACCGACTATGACAATAAAGAATTTCTATATGATAAATATATATAAACATACAAGTTTATTTTATTTACCTATATGGATTAGAATCAACAACTTCAGAGCTCATTTCAACAATTTTTTGTCTTTTTGATTCATTAGCGGTTAATAATTGTTCTTCTAATTCTTTTATTCTTTTCTTCAAATTTTCTACTTCACTCATTTTGATATCTTAACTAAATATTCTTTTTGATTGAACAATTAAACTAGTTTTAAAAGTAATGTATGCTTGTTTTTTAAACAATTACTACAATACTTTTACAAATCGTATGGGAAGAAATAGGAATTGCCATGTGTACACAAATATTGATGACGTTATATATTTTGACATTAATTTTGTAATTTTCACATTTTCAGTATTTTTTACAATTATAATTCGAGTTGTAATTAAATCAGTTGTATTATAAATTTGTCTGATAATTGTAAAAAATACGAAAATAAATATTACCAGCGCCACGTGACTTCCGTCTAAGTTTTTGTTATTTTTCAGCAGATATGATAAAGAAGTTTCTAAAGCTTATTTAAGCGGGTATTTGAGAATTGGAATTAAGTTAATCGGAGAGATAAGAGCTTTATCTACAAGGTTGGTATACATTTTTTACTTGTTACATATTTTTAGACGGTAAAATATATAAGAAATCGTAAATAATCCTTGACTGAGATAAGAACTCGGTTTACTTATTCTTAACTGTACGACATCGATGTTTGTGAAATTGTTTGAGAGACACTCCTAATTTGATTCTGAGGTTGACGATCTATAGCTCGGCTAGAAGTATTTGTCCTTTTGTCATCTTCAAGAACTCCTTCAGGCACTACCCGATACAGTTTAATACAATATTTACCTAAATTTATATATAACATTATCAAAATTAGTTCAACTAACCCGCAATTGTTTGATGTTCTTCTTGATATAAACTACAACATGGACACATTGTAGCTTCTACGCAATCGTTGGGAAACCCCCCCGGTATGCCGTTGTACTCGCGAATTCTTTGCCTGAGTTTCGGTCTGGTTACACAACTATTTTCATTTTTTAAAACAAAACAAGAAGACAACTAAATAATAAGTAATTTTCTGTTATAAGCAGAAATTTTTTAGATATGATACGTGACAATAAATTGTTAGGGATGTGTCTTAGTCGTTTTGATGAGTCATAAAGTTTCCTATTACGGATCTTCTTTATATTATTGCGGTTCAATAGTTAAATATTAGTGGTCATAAAATATCATCTAAAGGAATAATTCATATACCCTAAAATCTGGATATGGTATTTAAAATATTTATTGTACTTGTTAGAGTTCTTATAAACAATTTCTGAATGAAAATAATACAACGTATGACAACTAGCCTATTAAATGCTTATTTAACTTTTGCTCATTTGACGTAAACCTATCCGAGTTGTTAGTTGAAGCGTCCATATTTTTAGTAGTATCAATTTAGTCACGTACTTTATATGTGACATATACTGTGAATAGGCATTTTCTTCTTAGAAAAAATGTGTACTAGGACTAAGGGGCTGGCTTTTCTAGTTCACTTTCTAAAGTATGTTCTATGCATCAAACTGTCGTGAATAATCCTTTTGTTTTACATAGATCTTTAAAGCGCGGGGGTAAAAACCACCCTTTGTAAATAAAACAAGTTTCTTTAACTTGTGCCCTGTTATAATCGATTATCGATAATCCGACAAGGTGATTTTTTTTTCTTACTTGTTAAATAAAAGGCATGTAATTTCAAAAATAATTAAATCTTATGAATATAACTACTTTAAGCATTAATTTAGATCAATGTAAGGTTAAAAACTCCTGCTTTCAATTATTTTACAAAACATAAATATCAATTTGAATATAATTGTATAATAAGTAGTTGTTGATTTTTCCTATTAATCCTACTTACCATAGCAAGCAACCAATGCAATTTAATATATAGTTTCCACCAAATGTAGACGCTAGATTACCAGCTGTTAAGCAGGGACAAAAATATGCCACTAAACAGGACTGTGCGTCCTTCCAACATACATACATATTTATGTCCCAATAACTCGGTTTTTTACCTCTCGCTATATAATCCTTTGGCAAATCAGATATGGTAAATTCGGACTCATCGTCGATATATCCACTATATGACATGTAGCTGGAAGTTTTCTTTGACATTTTTCAGCAATATTTTCTATAGCTGTAGTTTTATATATATAAATTATATACAGTACACATATACTGTATTTATATATAGTTTTACATACTTATATATTAGTGTATAGCTATGTATACATATATAAGTAAATGTATGTATTTGAGATGTTTTTTAATTTTTGAAAGTTGAATTTAGACTTGTATTTATAAAGTAAATATATATTATAATATATTTATATATATATATATATATATATATATATAAAGCGTACTCTTCATAATAGCCTAATATGTTTTATAGGTTTTTTTGTCTTTTTCATGCAATTTATTTTCTTACGTCTTCTTCTATTGTTGAATCCCTTCATCAATATTTTATTAAACAATAGCATATTAAATTTGCAAACTAGACATTATGTCAGTGTTACTTTTTTTTTTTAGTAAATATTCACCTTTAATCGTTCTTAAACAACGGTTAAATGTAGGCTTTTATAAAGGCAAGCTGATCTACTTTTATATAATTAAATACTAGTTATATACTGTTCTCACATTATAAAATCTCACACTTTGGAATGTGCTAAACCTAAAATATTGTCCACTTTTCCCTTGTATTAAATATATTTACGTACTGTCTAAATGTATGAAGTATATTATTTTTTATAGAATTTAATCCAGGTCTCTAACCAAGTGTTTTCTAACGTTACTCTGATAGAGATACTAAAGAAGTAGGATTAGATTTTTTTTTAGAAAACCAAATGATTTATTTAAGTTTCTAAAGGAAAATTATATTGTCCTATTTGACTTATGTTTTTCAGAAAAAGGAAAAAGTCCTTTGAATCCCTAATAGTTTAATGTTCTTTTACGCTTTTTAGTACAATTTATTAAATTAATAAAATAGATTTTATTTACCTGAAAAGTTTAAAAATTTTTAAAATCAAGGAAAAATTGTAAATATAATATTTATTTGTAAAAGAGATTTGTTTATATCAGATTTAAAATGTTTTACCCAAGTCATATCTTTCGATATTGCAATATAAAAAATAGACAAAGGCATATAAAATAGGGAGCTTAAAGTTAATCTGAAGATAATCAGTTTAATAATATTGTTTAATCTTCTTCTTTTTATATAAATAAGAAAAACAACAACATAAATATACCCTAGATCTTAGTTTAATTGTTAGATAGGAAATATTTTCCCTTATCAGGTATAATTTTTAATTCGATAAGGAAAGTTTGAAAATAATAAAATATTAAATATTTTTAAAAGATATTAATAAAATATTTAATCTTAATTATCTACTAAAGAAAGAAGGAAAATATTGTTTTGTTTGTATATAAACTAGTCGATGCATAAGCATAAAAATTTCTTTATGCGTAATGAAGTTCTAAGCTAATAAAGCCTATGATGTCTTCATATAAAGAACTGTTTAGATTTCGTTCTTTTCTTCTCTTCGAATTCACCGACAATCGTAGTTTTAAAAATAACAGACAGCAGTTTTTTTATAAGCGCTTCTTTGGGCTTAATAGGCCTATAATTATTGCGCCGAAATTTTACATCATTGAAAAAGATATATATACTAATATATATATATACTAATATATATATATATTATATATATTCTATATATATATATATATATGCACTTTCAATAATAAACCAGCAAATTGTCTATCTTGACTAAAGTAGAATATTTTATGCTATAAAGACAAGGTAAATATGAAATAGAATATGTTAATCTTAGAAGTATTTAGCGAAAGTAAACCACTATTCCTTTATTTTTCTCCACGTACTCTAAACTTTGACCTGTTATGGTTTGGACTGGATTCTTTTATGCCATTTGTCTAAAACTATAAGAGAGACATTTTACTAACTATAGAATTTCTACTTTGTCTTTTCTCCTTCTGTCGCTCTCTCTCTCTCTCTTCTGCCTATCAGATTAATTTTTATATTTATTTGTAATAAAATAAGGTAGGTAAGTATTTATATACAATGATATTCGTATTGTTTTAATAGGTTAAACTAATTATCAATTTATAAATATTATTTTCTTTAATTATATAATAGTAGATGATTAACGTATTAATTAATTTTTTATTTATAATTAAATTGAAAGGTTATATATTCTCGCTTAATATACATATTTTATGAATTAATTTCTGCTAATTTATTGAGAATTCTCAAGGATCCTTAAATATTTATTACTTTATTGTTAATTTGAATATTTTTTTAAAAAAAGAAAACTTAAAAATGAAATTCATTTTATTCCTATTTATTTGTTTTCTGTTCATTGCGCAAAAGATTATAAAAGCATTTTTCTATTTTTTTTCTTTTTACGACTATTCATAAAAATGTATTCGAATTGAATTTTAAACTGAATATCATAAAATGATTTAATATTTTAAGCCTATATAGGAAAATAGAACGAGTATCCCTTTCATCCATATGTTCATAAATTTTTTTCTGACAGTTTACTTATAAACTAGGGAACATAATATAACAAATATTGGACTAGATTAAGAGGCAAAAAAGTTTGTATATGTATCCCTATTGAAAAATTTAATGCTTGAACACGCTTTATGAAGTTGATGTGTGTTTGAGTATTTTTATTACACACTATTAAGCGGTTGTATGTAAAATTATCATCGTGTATGTATATAAATGTAAGCTTGTTTAAAAGTGTGCGTGTATGTGTGTGAGTGTGCATTCACTAAGTTTTGCATGACTTTGTATGAGTGTACAAAACTTGTATAAACATATTATTCACTTTCCTGTGGTAATACAATATGCTTTTTTATTTTCATACATTTTTTAAAGTTAATTATAAATAAATTAATGTAAGAATCTGGTTCCATTTTTTAAAACTTTTTCTATCTATATAGTATTTTTTAAGTCTGATTAAATATTTATATAATTTTTTATTTGAACCTATACTACTGATTTTAATTAATATTTTTATAATATCTACGTAATTTCTAACAAGTAGTACAAAAATGAAATCATCTATTCTTGCCAATTAGGATAATTAAGTTTAAGTACTAAATACCAGTAGTTTTCTAAATTCTAAAGAGAAAATATTTTTATCTCCTCTGATAATTGACAAATTCTAAAATGCGATCAATATGACAAAATATTATAAATGGTTATCCTGATATTTGGTAAACGAAATCTTTAATGTTCTTTTATAAGGAGAGGAAAACTAGGCTTAAACCTATATCTACAATTGTATTTTATGATCATAGACATTAACATATTATATATTTTCATACATATTAGTATATTGTAATAAAATATTCTGTTTTTATGATAGTATTTATTGTTCAATTCAATAAGTTATCTGAACTTTGTTTCAACGCTTGAATATCTAAACTGTTCCGATAGTTTAAACCTAAAATGGTTAACGCAATTAAAAGTAATCATTGCAACGTGTACGTTGGAATTTTTTCTGGAGACTCAGCATTCTCTATGATATTGATAAAGCTTGAATAGATAAACTTCAGTAGTTCATCTTTCTACCTCTGAATGTCTATTGTTTCCGGTGAGAATATTTAAAGCTTAAAAACGTGATAGTACGATTTAGATGATATATACTCTTAATTTATATTTACACATAAATAGGCCGTTTCTAACTGTGTATTGAATTCCTTTTATGTTGCTTGCTCATTCATACTTGTAAAAAAGAGAGTAACGAAGCGTTTTTTATTTTGTATTTGAGAAATTTGTCGCATATTTAGAGCAATAATTATATATATGATTAATGGATATGTAAAATATATTGACCCCACTTTATATATCAACTTGAAAAAATTAACGATTTGATACCTGAAATTGATTGGAATATCTAAAGTTTTTATATTCTTACATCATAAAGGTATTTGACCTAGGACGTATGTTGAAAACGTGCAAAAATAAAAAAAAAGGCTTGTTGCCTACATCATTTCTATTCATATTATTTCGTTACAGGTACGATACACTTCTCCATTTTCAGAAGCTTTTAAAAAGATTTAAGATACGCGCTTAGCGCGAAACTATGGCTTCTCCATGATGGCTTCATCGGGTAAGTTAATTTATTGTTTAAGAACTTAACACCTGCACTGTATTAATATTTCGTAGTGAACCTATTTTCAATAACTCTATTATGTTGAATAGTAGTATTGAAAAGGAATAAAAAGAAGTAATTTACTGTATTAATAAAAATGAAGAAAATGAGGTTGGGGAGATAAAGGTAGACAAAGATAGACAGTCAGAGAGAGACTGAACTAGTTAACAATTGATGTTTTGAAATAATACTTACTCCCACATTTTTAATATCAGTAGAATAAACAAAGAAAACTGGATGTATAACCCAATATTTTGTTTATATAGTTTATAATTCATCTTTATTATTAATCTTAAATATAAAACAGAAATTTAGAAGATAATCAAAATTATAATATTATTTCATACATATTTTACAGTTTACATATGATTAAGAATATATTTATACTTGTATATACAAAATGTTTATAAGTTTGACTTTTTTCTTTCTTCTTTTAAACAATGTTTTATATTCGTTTTTTATTGTAATTTAATTTGTTGATTATTTTAGGTTTCTATTTAATTTAAGATCAGAATAGAATCTGTAATAATATAAATATTTAATTTGATTTTTATTTAGCAATTTTCCCATACCTTAATCCTAAAGTTATGACTTAATCCTTTATATGGGCTTATTATCCGTATAGCGTGCTGAGTTTAACAAACTATTAAAATGGTAATTGTTGATACACTTAATACTACAAGTAATATAATTATTAATTAAAAGGTGTAAACATTTAACAGAAATATTACACTTTTACTTAATATTTTATATATTTAATAATATAATAAAATGTTTCGAAACCTTGGGCAACATATCCAAAAATTATCAATACAGAGTATCTGTTGAATGTCATTGCTATGTTATGAAAGAAATCTTGATTCAATCTATTTTTTTCTTTTACTTTTTTGAAAGCCAATTTCAAATGAAAGTAGACTTACGAAGTAAAAAAAAATTACCTCAACTAACTTCATGCTTTCTCCTGTTTCTATTCTGTCGTCAGTTAATTTTTCTTATAAAAAAGGTATACTATATTTTAATAAACGTCTCATTAATTTTTATAAATATCTTAGAAAGTAGGAATATTAAATCCAAGTCGTTTCGATTATTTTAAATAAGCGCAGTTCCTATTCACCTTAACCATAATCTTTAATGAATGTTTCGGTCGTTTTTCTGTTTGGAATATCTGCATAGTCTGTGAGTCTTTTATTGTATTTATTTTATCTTTACGAGAATGACAGTAAAAAATTTATATTTGAATTAATAGAATCTAAATGATAGAAGGGAATTAATATCCATTATCATTATATTTTCTTTGCATCGTTTTGACATGTAGCTATTGATGAATTTAATAAAAAGAAAACGTGATTCTTATAAACTATTTCAAAATTTATCAAATTGAGCAGTTTACACGCCTCGTTAATTTTGTTGGAAGCTATTCAGTTGATATTTTCTATCTTTATAATGACTTTCGAAAACGATATTCAAGCACATTCTATCTATAAAAATATCATGAGCTTTAAAATTCAATAGGTAATAGTTAAATGAATGTTAAGTAATGGACTGTTAAGACTGTTGTTATTCTTTCCTGTTGTGAAATAGTTTAGTAATGTTTCTTGATTTTCTCAATCACAGTGTAATATTGAAACGAAAACAACAAACCGTATTTATAACAAGAATAGATATCACCGTACACCGAAAGTAGTTTAAAATAGATTTTTATCATGTTATCACAGGTAATTAAAGTTGAATTATAAGTTATTTATATCAATAGAAGCTTTGAATCACCATTCCTTATATTCCATTCTTAGAAAATGTCCAAATGCTAAGCTTATAACTTATTACTATTATATAAACATATATAGATATGTATTGTAGAAGTGTTTATTTTGTAAGATGATATTGTATGGTTAAAGAAATTAGCCTAATATTCTTTATGAATTTTTGTCTGCTTGGAAGTTGTACTAAGATCTGGTTGTATACATAATACATAGATAATATAGTGTAACATTGAAAACCGAATTCTTCGAAGACATCTTTGAAAGTCTTGGAGAAATGAAACATTAATGTCATTGATATATTCTATAGAAATTATTTTTCCCGAAGTTTTTATAACACGGTATTTAAAAAAATAAGAAACTGTTAAGGTTCTTTATCAATTCTCTCCAAAATTTCTTAAAAATACACAGATTTTATCAACACTATATGATTTGGGTGCTATGCTTCATTGAATTATTTTTGAGGGGTTCTACTTTTGAGGTCACGGGAACGCAAACAACCCTGTCGTTCTTAGGCTAAGCTATTATTGGCTCTTCGATTTTTACTTAGAAATGACTATATCTTAAATTTCTTTTTTCACCTGTCAAGGTTCTGATATATCATCTATAATTGTTGCATATTTACCGCTTTTCCCTTTCGTTGATAGAAAATATCAATTTATATAGATTTCATTAATAGAATATCTTGTTGTAACCTCTCCAATCATGACAATAATTATATTGAGATCGGGATTTCTTTACAGCTTGAATGCATAACTAATAGAATCGTCATTTAAGAAAATATTTCTTTTTGTAGCATCAGTAAGAAGCTGAAAAGTAGATGAATGTTTAATAGTTTTTATAGCAACTTTTTTAGTAATACTGTGTTACATTTTGATATGTTGTATTTTAAATCAATAAGAAAACCTTAGGGAATGTTCATTGAGCTATCTTCTCTTCGAAATATATTGACTTTTCTTGATAAAAAAAATCCCACAGATTTTAAATGTTATCGAGAGAAACATGCTAGAGAAGCTTTTTATGTTTAGCTTAAAAGCTGAGAAACGATTTCCATTTAAATGTAAAGATTAGTAATAGGAGATGTCACTAATTCTACGAATAATCTATTTTAAACAAATTCCTCTTAATTCTACCTGATGAAGAAAAAAAATAATCAGATTTATTCTAGATAACTTTTATATCTATAGGCTAAAATCGTCAATATAGTGACGTCTACAAGCGTAGACTAACAGAAATATGTACTTAGTACCAATCTTGTTATTTAAATTATTTTAATTTATATTATAATGGTACCCTAGTGAATTTCCTTTGTTAAAATTAAAAGAGATTTAAAGCTTGTTCGCTTTCATATAGTTGTTTAATTGTTTTAAAATTTTGAAAAAAGCCCTTTGAAATTATATTTCATTTTTTAATCAATAAAGTTTACTATAGTCTTTTCTTTACTGTATTTTTCAATATTTCTCACTAATCTTATTAATTTAAAATACAGTATGAAAGAATAATGAAAGTCTAGCTTTATGTTTTATCAAATATGCTTAGGGGTTAAACACTTCAAAATTTTCTTTTTAAGCGAGTAAAAAAAATGTTGTTGAATTGAAAGATTGAATACTTTTTGAATGTTATAAGTAGTTTAAACATCTTTTTTTATATTAGAATTAGAAACTTCTGAGGACGTTAACAAAACCATTAAAGATGGTTTATTAAAGGGCCTGAACTCCGGAATTCAAAGGCAGCGATCAAAAGTAATCAAATTATTAAACTTTAAACATTTCAAATAATCATTTTATACGCATCTAGTCATACTTACAGACTGATCTGAAGGTAAAATGTGAATATAAAGGCGAAACGAGAGCCTTTTGCATGACGAAACCAGTGAAATATGAGGAATTAGTAAAGAAGATATGTGAAATATTCGGAAAGCAATTGTCAATTTGTTATACACTGAGAAGTGGAGAAGTATTAAATATCTTTTTTGGCTAAAATATCTCAAAATTAAATGAAACAATTGATAATTTTGTAAACAGATTATTACTCCTGTCGTGTCTCAAACTGATTTAGATAAAGCCATCGATCTGTTCGATAGAAATAAAAAAATGAAGAGTCTGCGACTGATATTAAGCTCTGAAGTATTACATTTATTAAACGTTTACAACATGTTTTATCCATCAACAATACATTTACTGTATTAACAGCAATTTCCTTCTAATAATAATGACCCACCGAAACGATATTCTCCTCCTCCGGGTTGTCTTCCTGATGAAGATACGGCAAAAATTTGTCGCCCACAGCATGTAACGCCCGGGGGCGAATTTATTCCTGAGGACTTACCTGTAAGTATATTAAAGAATAATTAGGCGCATTTAATAATTTCTTGTTATGAATGTGAAGATAATTTTTTTCTGCTTTATTTATAGAGTCAGCAAGAAAGCCCATCTAGCGTTAAATCAAGTGAATACGGTGCAAGTTACAAAGGTTCCCTCAACAGTGTACGGACTTCTTCCACTTCTCTAATGCATAATAGTGATTATCGTAATTAATCAACAATGAAAATTATCTTAATTATTGTTAATCTTTATATTTTCCAGGCGTATTAAATAGTCCTGCAGGGACTTTTCCACGAACGAAAACTAATAATATTTCCTCAGAAACTGCCTTAAATTCGGCAAATAGAACATTTCCTCGGTCAAAAGAAACTGGCAGTTTCATGCCATCATTTTATGGTGATAAAAGTAACGGTTCCTTTCAAAGAAATCAAAATGGTGATACTTCTAGCTCAACTTGCTCGAGTGGCAGCGGAATGTCATCTCCTTCGTACGTATAAAATTTATACGTTCCATTATATAATTAAAGTAATTTTAATGAATTTTTTCTCCCAGATTTAACGAATTCTATGATAAATTATATCAAGTGAGGAATAAAATGAACGAAAATAGCTTAAGTTGTAAGTTAAAGTAGAGAAATGTGGCCTTGGCACAATTTACTCATTAACTATTATTTTTGTTGCAGCTCCTCAACCTCCACGTCACTTTAAAAAAGAGATTGCCATAGGCGAAGGAGGTTTTGGCAAGGTGTTCAAATGCTATGACCAAGACACTGGACGGGAATTGGCAATGAAAGAGGTTAAATTATGTAATAAGAATAAAGAAACTTCAAAGGAAGTTAAAGCCCTTATGATGGAGATCAAATTACTAAAAGGCATTGAGCATCAGCGTATTGTACAATATTTTGGCTGTATGGCAACGGAAGATTCTTTATGTATCTTTATGGAATATATGGCCGGGGTTGGTTTCCTTATAATAATTAAATTCATTTCAAGAATTCTAACCAATTCTATATATTTCTTGTATTGTTGCTTATTTAGGGTTCAGTTAGGAAAGAAATTATAAAATACAAAGGTCTTTCTGAGAATGTCACCAAGCGATATACCAAACAGATATTAGAGGGCTTGGCATACTTACATAGTTTTGTTATTGTTCATCGTGATATTAAAGGCGCTAATATACTTAAGGATCCTAGTGGAAATGTAAAAATAGCTGATTTCGGAGCTTCAAAGCACGTACAGGTTAGTTTAAATTACTATTTGAAAAAACGTTCTTTTATTGACGTTTTTTCTGTAATTTCTCTTTTTTTTAATAGAAAAATTGTATTGTCTCTTTGTTTATGTTTTTTAGAGAGAATTAATAAATAAACTTGTAAAATTTAACTATTGAAATCTATTTTAGGCCGTTTGCACATCTATGGGATTACGAACAGCTACTGGCACTCCGTATTGGATGGCACCAGAAGTCATAAATGGTCGGCCATATGGTCGACGAGCCGATATATGGTTCGTGTGAAACTTGAAATATTTATTAAGTTAAAATTAAAACAACCCTAACTTTTGTATTACTATCTTTCAATTGTGAATTTACCAGGAGTCTCGGTGCTACTATTGTTGAAATGTTAACCACAAACCCGCCAAACCATGACTTAGAAGCTATGGCCGCCATATTTAGAACAGCAACAGAACTTCCAAAATACGAATTACCAAAATCAATTAGTCAAACTTCTAGAGACTTTATAAAACTCTGCTTTACAAGGGATCCGAAATTTAGACCAACAGCTAATGAATTGTTAAACGAACCTTTTGTTAGAGATGTTCTTTAAATTAAAAAAAAAAAATACTATACGTTTTGTGTAACAGTCAGTTAATTATATATTGTGTGTATGTACATATACGTATATGCGTCAACAAATATACTCTGTATTGTATTTATGCATATACTTGTATGTATGTATGGCTGCGTATATATAATATATGTCTTGATATATATATATATATATATATATATATATATATGTATATATACAGTAAAAATATACATATTAATATGTATATGCGTCTTGAATGATTTTTATTTGAAAAAGAAGCAAACTGTAAAAAAGAAGTCTGACCTTTAAGAAAAAAGAAAATATCGATGAAAAAGGATAATAAGGAAGCAAAAAAGAAAGTCAAAAAATTGATAACATTGATTTTTGTACGTGCTGGACAATCTTCTTGTATTTTTTTCTTTTTTCTTGTTTTCCCTCTCTTTTTTTTTTTCTTTTTTTGCCGATGTTTGCAGAGAAGGGGAAAAAAAGAATCTGAGGAGAAAGAAAAAAAGAAAATATTTGTTATTATGGTGCGAATAGTTAACAAAAAAAGATATCTGCAATATTTCTGTGATGCATATAAGCTAATAATAAAAATTTTATAATACATTTTTAAAACATAAAGAAACAACGGTAAAATCAATTCCGCTTACAACAGTTATATACATTATATATTTGTATATACTGTATATATCCAGTTAATTCATCTTTTTATTGGAGATATACACATTTTTTTTTAAATATTTTTAATTTATCTACTAAAAGCGTTTATAAATATTGTTTATTTGTATTTATAATATCTACTGTAAATAGCAGTTTTCCTATTAAAAATGTATAAAATATCAATTAGTTAGAAGGAAAGTCTTCTCTGAAATATTAAGTCTAAATTAAAATGCAAGAAAATTATTAAAGGTTTAAGAAAAGTGACGCTTGGATTCTTTTTTTTTTTAATTAAATTTAGATAGCTAAGGTATAAGAATATCCGGACAGAGAATAGTACTAAATGGTAATCTTAATAACGGCTGTAACTTTCAAATAACCTGGATGAGGTAATCAATGATAATGGCAGCGATAAGCAATAATCACTAGAAGGTATAATCTTCAAAGACACCCTGAAATAATCACATCGTTAACTTTTTATATTAATGAAACCATTAAAAGTTGCAATTAGCTTTTCTGTTATTCGCAATACCTGGGATGCAAATAGGAGGATTATTATTAAAATATTTCTCAATGACGTCATAGCCTAATGTGTAATTACTTTTTCCTTTTTTATAGGTGGATATAAAATAAGTATATATGACTTATTTATCCATAGACACACATTTTTATAAAATGTATAATACTTGCTATCCTGGGTTTTTCCACGAAAGATGATACACCACGTGTAGATTGGAATGGAAATTATAAATATAAGCTAGATGAATTATGAGAATCCATATAAGTGATAAATGCTGTAAATATAAAATATATGTAAATTAATAATATAACCGAGGAGTAATTGTTCTCGCATTGAACCTTTTTACAGGCAAAAATTAAGGACATTAATAGGTGAAATCATATTTCGCATATACGATTAAATGGTGGAAAAAACCTCTTTTAAAAAGCAAATTATCAAGTTTTTCACATAAAAACTTACTAGTTTAGCTGATAAAATCCTTTATGTAAAGTAAAGTATTAGTAAATTACTTTCCTAGAAAGGGAGGGGGAGGGGCGAAACTGCATATTTTTCTTTAATAAAGCAAATAGCAATCAATAAAATATATATATATATATATCTGTTCATATCATACAATTTTTTGGTACTGAAATAAGATGAATCTAAATTTCGAAGGCTACGGAAGGAAAGAATGCAATTTAAATAAAATTATTTGATTATTTAACTAATCATTCTATTATTTATAATAAAGCCTAATGCGCACGGAAAATTATAAAACAATAAAGCAACTGTTGTAATTTTTAATTTATTCAAAAACTATTAATGATATTCAAATCGTTAATTATGAATATTTATTTCTTCCTTCCTACTTTGTTGTATTTTTTCTATTTTTCATGGTTAAATAATTAAGAAAATAAAAAAAGAGCAGCTAACTTCCCTTAAAAGTATATATATATATATATATAATTATAGAATTGAAAATTGTAACCGCTAGATGGCGTAAACTCTAATTTCAATATAAGTAAATAGAGTATAACAATAAAATTACCGTGATAAAGTTAAAATCTGACAAGAAAAATTCCAGATTTGTTAATTAAAAAAGGGCGTTTTCAAGTTATGAACTTAAAATTGCGGGTCAAAAGTATGTTTTCTCATTATAAGCACTAATTTTTATACTGTCCTTGATCTCCTAGCATCATTTTAGTAGGGGAGCGAAAAGAAGCTAATTGTTGAAAAATAAACAAGACGAATTATACAATTCTATTGTATAAATAATTTTTGTTGTTTAGAAACTAAAAAGTAAAAAGCATGAAAGAATAGTATTCTGTTAAATGAGAAGAGGAAAAATAGTATTTTTTCTTCAACTTACAAATCGTAAACTGCTTCTACAATTCAATTTTCAAACTAACTGGGCAGAAATGATGTTTTAAACATATTTAGCATCATATACACAATGTGTATATATGAATATATATGTGGATAATAGCGTAGCACTTAAAACTGGAATTTTTATAAAAAAAAATATCATCTTTAAGTGAAATCACACCTTTTTGAAAACAGATTAATAAGACGTCTGTAGATAATTTGATATTTTCCCAATTGAATATTCATTATCAAATCTCTTCGAAAATATTATAATTTTTTTATATATTAACAGTAATTTAATTGCGTACATCAATTATTACTAAAACTACTTTAAATAGTCCAACAAATGTGAATAGGGAATTATCTATTACATAAGACCAAACGATTCTTCGTCTAGAATAACAACAAATTGGTAAATTACAGATAGAGTGAGAAAACGGTAGTTTCGAATATCACAGAAAATTGCTATGACGTACATGGATATTACAAAGGAAAAAAATGCGGTCCTGGAAAAAAATATGTATATTAAATTTTAGTAAGGTTTATCAGAACTTAAAGATTTTTTTTATTAAAAAAAAAGGAAAAACTAGGTAAAAAATAAAAACGACTTTATAAGATGATAATATGTTTTTTCTATAAAACATCACAAAAAGAGATTAGTTCTCTATATGTGTAAGTATATCCTTTTCGTCTTACTGTCTTAGGCCTATACCTTTCCATAATATTGTCTAATTGTAATATTAGAAAATTTCTTTTATCTATCAAAAAAGAATGGAAACTAGATATGTTTATTTTCTTCCCGAAGGGTAGAATAGAAGTTTAGTGCAAAAATTCAACGAGCAGGTTAAATATAACTAGGATTTAAAAAATGAATAAGAAGACTAAGAGGACTGATGACGTCAAAAGTATATCCTAATAACTGTAGCATTTGCTCTAGCTATAAAAAACACGATAGACGCTTCATTGATTATGATAATAAATTTAATGATTAAAAGTTTTACGTAAAAGAGATGAATTGTAGTACATTTATAGAACAATCAACCGCATTGAAACATAATGGATAGCAAATAACGAGTAGCTATAATTAGGTTTCCCTTTTTTTTAACAACTGCAAGAATTTAAAGAATGTAGCATTTGATTATTCTTTATTCATTAGATAATGAAATTAAGTAAATTACGGTCTTTCTATATATATACTATATACAAATTAATATATGTATACTGTATATACTAATAGATATACTATACATATGTTTTAGAGTTGATTATGTCTAGAGTATATACAGCTCGCTATCTGTTTAGATATATCAGTATAAAACCACAATGCTCTATGCAGACCGATTACAGTATACTTTATAAATGTAGCATCCCATTTTGTTAAGACTGTAATTAGACTTGAATCTATTTATAAATATTAATATACACATATAAATAAATATATATGTATATTTAGCAGAGTATAGTATATATATATATATAATAGTTATGTACATTGCATACATATATATGTATACAATTTTGTTATATTGGAATAGAATAAAAACGTATTCTTTTCAAATAGACACGATTTATTATTTAGGGAAAGTGAAAAAAAAGCTCTTTTTTAATTCAAGTACGAAATTCTAAAAATAGCCCAGGTATTTTTAACTTTTTCCTTTGAACGATGATTATAAATATATTTATTATTTATTCTTTTTCATTATTCAAAGGTAATTAAAAACGATGGAATATTATTCCGATATATTAAAAATAGCTGATAGTCTCTATGTATTGTTTCTATTTACTATTTTTCTGCTCATCATCAAAAATAATCATTATTTATTTATTCACTTTTGTTCGTAGATGTATAAAATATACTTTATTATATATATATATTGTATATAGAAAACTTAAGAAAGTGATCTAGACATTACACTTATAGTATATACTGTACATTTATAAACATATTTATACTCTATAATAAACTGCCCGAGTAATTACCCAAGATAGTAGAAACTCATACTATTACGCAAAAGTGGCTTATTTCTGACGACGAATAGGGCTAAGTAATGAGGTTCCTTTTGGCTAACAATAAAATTATTAGAGAAACACACTAGAGAATATTAACATTGTTTTGAATAGACAAAAAGTAACAATTTGTAAAAAAGCATCATTTTCGTCTATTAGGCTAAGCACCAGCATCAAAGGAATTTTATACTATTCCAAAATTCACACTATTGTACTACTCATAGACGAATAATTCTTTGGCCTGTTGTTTCCTTCTAAAGGTCGATTTCAGGGAAAAAGAATGAATAAAACTGGAAAAAACTACATTCAATCAATGAATAAACTTAAAATATCGTCCTCTTCACTGGTAGATATAGAAACGTTTTCCACTGAGAATATTCTTAGACTTCATACGTAAATCATGAATATTCATTTTCCTTACGTCATCAACCTCTCTACATTTTCCCCTTCCCTTTTCCAGATTACAAGATTTAAATCGATAAATTGAAACTTTCTAATGACTTCCTCATCTATTTTGTATAAAATAGACAATAAATCTGAATATTTTAAACATTTAATGTTTTTGATTTCACTTAAATTAGAGAACATAAACTAGAGAAGCTTTTAATCCAAAAAAAAAGATAATTGATACACTTCTTATTTATAAACTGCTATTACAGGAATATTACAAACTATCTTGTGTTTGTATCATTTAACAGGAAATAAATCAGAATTGTATTTAATATCATTTTATCTAGTTATTTTAAAGAATACAAATATTTAGTATAGTTGTAACTAATAGCTATATAAAATGAATTTAAGACAAACTCTGAAACAATTGAAAGATAATCTATGAGCAGTAACCATGTGTAATAACATCTGTAGAGTCAAGGATATGCATATTTATTCTTTATAAATTATCAATAAAATACCGTGTAATTCCTGGTATAAGATCAATTCTTTTACTATTTTTTCATCTTTGAAAAAAGGTAATAAACGCGGTAACGTCATAGAAATCTAAAGCGTCTTCTTTAGAATTATTTAACATTTAATTCATTTATATTAGTTAATAAGAAGAAGCAACGATAATGTCGTTTTCATTCACAGTCTGTGCCGTAGTTATTATTGTATAATTCATTTTCCAATAAATAATTAATAGCACTACCCTTGAATTAAAAAGTCAAGAGAAAATTGCAGAGCTAGCAATTGCAGTTGTTTTAAGAGTAAAATTAGAAAGTAAACAGATATATTTAAAAAAAAGCTCTATATCGTAATTAAGATTATATTTATTGGCAATTTGTTTTATATTTTATTAAAAGAAAAAATTTTGCCTTATCTATCAATTAGCAAAAATAAAATGAAGCGAATGCAGAAAGACGTTGATCACCGCAGTTTAATCATAATTTAATACGGTCATGTTTTATTTAACTTTGTTTTCTTCTCGAAATAAAAGAATAGATAGTTTATATTGGTTCTTTTTATAGAATGGAAAAGAGAAAAAGTAATTAATTACTTTTTTTCAGCAAATGAATTTTTCTTTTATTCAATTCTTATGCGAAAATAATATAAATTATTACGTAATGTTTTTATCTAATTCTTTTTTATTTTTAAAATGATAAGATTTCTTATCAAAAAGTACTGAAAATCAACCATAAATTGTAATTTCAGGATATATCAGATTCGTTTATTATCATGGAATTTATTCGAAATATATATTTTATGCATTTCGATAGCTATATACAAAAAAATGTGAGATTGTGAGAGCGGAAAAGATGACGAAAGTAGTAGATAGTGAGAAAGAATCGAATGAGCGAGTACGTGAAGAAAGTAATAGATAGCTAGATAGATAGATTAAGGGAAGTAAAGAATTCCATAAACGTGCGAAGAAAAGGTGAAAGAAGAGACGTCGCTACCAGTACTATATCGTTTAAAACTGCTCGAGGGGAATGTGATATAGAGACGAAGTAAATTTTCAAATATCTTTTTCATGCTGTATTCCCATTCAGCAAACATACATAATTATATAATATACAGAAAACATTTGCTGTATAGTACACTATACACATGCAATATATATATTTATATAAAATATATCTGTTATAAAAGCATATATGGGCATTTATTGAATACAGTGCTATATAGATTTTTTTAAATGAACTTTTAAAGATTATTTACTGCATGTTTAATTTATATGCAGAACATATAATGTATATTGGTATCTATGCATGCAATTAAATTACAGGATGTATGCTCTATTGGGTATACCTGTATATACAGTGTATATATATATATATTGCATATGTCTTTATATACATTAGTCTAACAATATATAGGTGAGAATTATTCTATTTAATTCCCTCCTTGTGTTCTTTTAAACGAAAATGTACTTGTAATAATGTAAACTCTAATGTCTCGATATCGGTCAATAAGCTGGAAGAATTCTTTTTGTATTCGAAAAAAAAGTGTATAGTCAATTTTACCTCAAACACATGCATTAATTAACATCCTATACATCTTAATGTATGTGGTATAAAAGATGTTTGTGACAGTGAACTTAGCAAATACGACGCATTTTCTATTAAGAGCGTAGGCCTAAGCAAATAAGAATAAAAAATTCCGCCATGTAACTAGCATCAACCGCCCGTGAACTCCTCCCTTTCTTCATCCTCGCTCTAGTCTTCTCTGTACTTTTTCTCCCAACGTTACTTTGATAAGCCTGAAGCTATGGTTGGGACTAGTAACTTTCTTTTTATCGAGCGCTTCTATAATGACACGCAAACATTCGTACTTCAGCGAAAAAAAATTACTCTGACGTCAATGGAAAACCTAGATTCCAGGATAGAATTCCTTTATGCATTTAAATATGCTTAATTTTAAAGACAGCGTACGACATTAACTATGATCTGTCTATATTTTCTTCTTTTAACGTTGTTTCCATAAATTTCATAATTTTGTAGTTTTTTCGTACATTTTTTATTAGCCTTTGAACATCCCTTAAGAGCAAGGTCAATTTGTTTTGTAGAATATTGCCAAGGTGCTTTTCACCCTTTAATTAAACACCTGTGACATGTTCCATTTCTTACAAAAAGCAATAAAATATATTTTGTATTTGTGTAAAGAATCAACAGCATATTCTACTTTTTTTTACTAATATGAACGAAAAACACAGCGTTCCCAATCAATTTCCTGGAAAGTTGGAAAATGAAAATTTACTATGTGAATGACCTAAAAAATACATAACTTGCTACGACTATAAAAATAAAAATAAAAACAGAAAACGAGAAAATACAACAGCTGTTCAGTTCAGAATTCAGCCTATAATAGCTTAATTCCGGGGCAGTTCGTTGTTATCGATTATTTAGCGGGGGAGGAGTGTTGAAAAAACAATACGGCTCTAACTCCTATTCGATTTGACTATAGCGTCACTAGACAAGAGGTAACAGAGCCAGGCATCTTAGGTAAGCTGGTTACTAGTTGAGAAGAGAAATCTTAATGATAGTAAATTATCAGGAACGCGTAATCGTACTAGATAAACTAAAATAGGCTTAATTAATGCCCCTGGATAGTGACGTCAGCAGCGCTACTAGGTCAATATTGACGTCATCGTCCCGCTGCAGTCGTCACAGCAAATTTTTCCGAACCGAAGTAATTTGTTCTCCAACTATCAATATATATATATATAAGAGAGAGAGAGAGAGAGAGAGAGAGATTAGTTTGGGAGCTAGGTGTAATGAACGTCAGGCACGATTCATGCAAAGGTCGCTGACCTCTAATAGGAAATTTATGCAATTTTTGACGTAATAAGAGTAATAGGAAAGTGTTCTTTTATATTGTAAAAAACACGAACGATCTAATTTTTCAAATATATGATCTGATTAAACTAAAAAGTTTAATCGACAAACCACTTTCATTGCCATTGACAAAACCCTGGGAATCCTGACGACGTCACACACCAAGGGGAATTCAGCCAATCAGCAACGAGTATGGGAGGATAATGGTAGAGTACGAGCCGCCTTTTCTCATTCGCTTTGCTGATAGCTAAGAGGACGGTACGAGTTTTCCGTTTTCTTTTTCAACTTTATCTACGGTTCGTATACAATTTTATTGTAATTAGATACTAATTAGATTGTTCAATGAGACAATGTAACAAATCGGTCCTGAAAATCGATATAGTAATAATTTATTAACAGGATATGCCTTATCTCAATCACCACCTACTGAGTTCTTATCTATACACAAGCTAGTTCTTTTTTATTTGAAAAATTCTTTCTTCTTTTTATCTTTAATACGAAATATTTTACTAGTTCTTTTACTTGAGAATTGGATTCATTACTCACTATGAACTTCTACGTAAACAAGATTAGGCTTAAATATGTATTTGGATCAAAGGCGAATGATCTAATTTTAAAACTTTTTTTTTCGCATGAATGGTCCCTTATACACCGGCATAATTTAGGTCAAAATACATATTCAAATCGATTTCGTTTTATGAATCGACAACGAAGTACCTTCTATTTACTTATACAAAACAGTTACATTCTTTCAATTAAACTGTAAATGTTCACCGATTACATTTATCTATAAATATATACATATATAAATATACTTATAGTTCTATACTCTCGTTTACTACTCTTTGAATAAGCCTTTAATAGGTAATCTATTAAAAAGATCGTTAAATTCCTGGACGATTGCGTAATTAGTTTTCTCGTTTAGAATTTTATTAATTGAGCTACTACGAAAATATCTAATAACTTTACATACTTTTATTGAAACAAGTTTTCCTAATGATTTTACTAGTTAAAAGATGAAACTAGACTATTTATCAGCCTATAAATCAATAGAGAGCTCTTGCACATGGTACTGAAATATTTTTGGATACGATACCACAACGATTCACTTACTCGTAAGTGAAAAATTAGTCGAATTTATACTTAAATACCAAATTCTTTCTTATACTTTGATAATTTTTAAAGATTTTTGAAAAATGTCTGTAAAATTCTCATAAACAATTGTTAAAGAATTAATTTCCCCTTCTTTCTTCTTATCTAATTAGTAGTCTTGGGTTAAGATATGGTTTGAAGCTAATATTTCCGATGTCAAAGGTTAAACTTACCTAAGGCTTTGGTTTAGAATGAAAAAAATACTATTTCCTCAGCAACGTATTAATTATTTAACAATCCTTCCAAGTAAATGAGGCCAAGCCTACAGAAGACTAGTCAATTAGAATGCTATCTTTCCACACAATAGATGGCATTCAAAATTGAATACTTTTCAGTGGAAGACAAAAGAAGAACTGTAATTATTTATTTAAACCTTACCCAATAAGAATCAACAGGCCGTGTTTAGTTTTGGATGTGTCATTCAGTTTTTCATTATTGATTCAAGAATTAAAAAAAAAATTTTTTCTACTTGACTTTGATGGCTAAATGTAAATATTAAGGTTTATCAAATTGATACTAGGCCAATTATATAACTTGCAGAATAGTTCGAAACCTTACATTCTATAGGATAAAGGAAGAATACAGAAAAATCCAGCACCCAATAACCCCTTGTGCATATTAAATCAGGGAGAAATAAAGAAGGGTAGAGAAAAGGGAGAGAGAGCGAAAAAAGAGTGAGAACGAGAAATAAACAAGAGATAGATCGAGAGAGGAGACTGAGGGAGAGAAGAGAGAGAAAGAGAAAGAAAAGAAGAAAAAGAGTTATTAAGTGAAAAAGAGTGAGGGAGTACGCATGTATCTGTGAGAGAGCTAGATCATGTTTTCGTATTTAGGGCGCATCGGCGATTTCTTGGAAATGGCCGACATAAAGCTGAAAATTCTATAATGTAGACTAAATGGCTAGCCTTTGAGACCCTTAATTAATTTATTTTCAAGTCTTCCAATGGCCTAATTATACTTTTAATCGTTTTCCTTATCAAAATAAGCTTCATGATTCTTTGGTTATTCTATACGACAATATATTAATTTCAATATTTTCAGAAAATCATATCCATTTTTAATGAATATTGATTAGCTGTCTAAGAGACTAAATAGGACTAATATATATATATATCTATATATATATATAGATATATTTATATATATTTTATAGTATATTATAAATATACTGTATCTTTGCTTACCATTGCTTGAATAAATTCGTCCAAACTGAAGCACATTGGGTTGTATTTTGTCTGGTGATCAGTCGAGTGTAAAATTTTTGTGTGGTAAAGATTGAACTACATTCTTAATCTTTGTCTCCTTCCTCGACATAAGCATTCGCTTATTAATCATGAATATATTATCATTCTGATATTTTTAATATCTAATAATCTTTATTGATTAAACACTCTTAAGAAATAAAATGATTAAAAAAAATAATGGGCAATTTTTGAAAGATGTAACCTATACGTTCCGCCGTGTATTGTTTTTTTTTCTTTAGATTATTGTTATGGAAAAAATGGGAATGTTTTTTGTTTACAAAATCAAATAGACCTATTGAAAATGAATCTATGTCAAGGCGTAATAAACCCATATGGTGACCTTCAAGGCACTGGATTTCTACGGTGTCTTATTTTTTTCTTGAGTGTAATTACTGAATACACTGTATAATTTCCTCGTATAGAAAAAGGAGAATATTGTTGGCCTATGGCTTCATATATTATCAGCAAAGATGATTGATATATTAAAATTATTCATCACTATATCACTATTTAAAAAATATCAAAAGTTGACGTTTTCAGCACCTCCCATTTTGCAAATTCACTAGGCCTTTTAGCATAGAAGCATTGACCGAATAAGGCTCACATGAGCTTATTCATGCGGTTGGGTGTCTATAGTTGGTTTTATATTTTTATAAAAACCTGTTAACTTGGTTTCATCAAATGCATAATAAAATAACTAAAGATACTGGAATTTATTAGAGGACAAATAGGACAAACATACAATAGAAGTTATGTCGATTTGTTTACTTTTTTAACTGGGTCTATTGACTGACATAGCTTATTTTCTTTTCTATAAATTCATATTTAAAATAGTTTTTCCAATTGACTTTCGGTTCGATAAGAAACAAATTTAACATGTTTCTGCTGATATATATATATATTAATATATTTCTTGCATAGGTTAACAAAAAAAAACTATGCATATAACAAAAAAACAGTTATCATACGTATGTAGCAGCAACTGCTCCTTATTGACATCCGTGTTTGTTCAACCTATCAACGAAGGTCTTAGTGGAAATTCTTCAAGTAGGTCTATCGATTATATATCAATGTCAAAGTTCCGTAAAGTAATTGAAATCGAAATATTTCCATTATGAAAAGAAATTTTTCTCCCTATTTCTCCAACCAAATTGTCTACTTCTTTATGTTATTGAAGTAATAAGGATACGAAAATTCCTATTCTTTTCTAGAGAAGAGGCTATTGATTAAAATTAAATTAGGTAGTTTTATGCACTATTAAGCAAATATGCCTCATAACCTTTCTCATTCATCTTCGTGTAGCAATTGAATAGAATACCCGTCTATAACTGTTCTAAGGACTACGTAGATATAACATTTTTTTTAAAATTAATCGTTACAATGAATTAAATTATTAATTAATAACTACTGTATATATTCAGATATGACGTCAATAAGCGACGGGTAAATTCTATTAGATACTTGTTGAGGGGGTGTACTGTGTAAAACATACACAATGCATTAGTTGTTTATAAATGAAACAGAATTACTATTTTGAGAGGTGAGTGTCGGTGATAAGGTATTTAAAGTAACGAAAAAAAGAAAAGTCACTTAAAAACTGTTAATGTAAGGAGACATTATTAATATTGTATGCTGGTTTGTGTGTGAGCGTGAACGTAAGTGAGTGAGTGACTGAGTGAGTGTGTGAGTGCGTGTGTGTTATATTGGTGCGTGTGTGTATGTGTGTGTATGTGTGTGTGTGTGTGTGTATATGTATAAATACATAAGAGGGTGTACTACTTTTCACATATACGAATAATGTCAAAGCCTACTATTTAGAAGCAAATCTAAAAGACAGTTCATTTCTTACTTCCTTTCCCTTTCATTATATCTCTGTTGACAGTTATTAGAAAAAATGAAAAACATTAGAAAAAAACTAGCAATACTGCCAACAGTCTTTATTTATTCGTTTGCGAATCATATAGAATTATAATAATGCATCAATGTCAAAGGCAATTCTACGTACGCGTCGATATGGCATTCATACTTTCGTCAATATTTCAAAATTATTCTAGTAAATATTAGTAGGCCTATGTATGTATCTAGGCCGTGGACCGGTCTTATGAATCAACACCAAGTACTGACATATGGTCTATCGAAAGGAGGAAATAATTTTATTTTCATTATTTGTTTTGAACAGAAAAAGGCAAATAAAAGGAGACGAGAGAAATATTTAGAAATACAGGAATTAAAGTAGACGCTATGCGAGAATGATGTTAAGCCAGAATAATGCGTTCGATCGTGGCTTTAAGAAAAACCTTCAACAGCGTTATGAGCAAGAGAAAAACCGTCCAAAACCCATCGAATTACATGGTGATTTAACATCGGACGAGGATTCGAGCGACATTGGGACGCCGAGTGTTTTCACACCCACACGCAGCCCCTTCCATCTAACTCCAATTTTTAGCTTCGATCCACCGAAACGATCGCATTCCGATAGCGATACAACTTTCCCTTTAACGAAAGAACCAAAACGCCACCTATCAGATAGCTCGGTAGTGAATACCGACCGAAAGTGCCCAACATGTTCGGCTATTTACCCCAACTACGACGCATTCGCCAAGCATGTAGCTACTCATTTACCTACAGAAACGGTTAGTTACCTTTTATGATTTATTTTGTAAATTCATAACATGAATAGAAAAGAGAAACGAAATTATTCATTCGTTTCAAAGACCAAGCCCCCGCCTCCTCTTTCATTGAAAAAGCCTCAAATATTTTAGACCATCTCTCGACCACAATCTGTCGCTGAACCTTTCATTAGTTCTTTAACGCTTCACTATACTAAAGATATTCTTTTCAATAATACGGATATTAGAGTTTTCCCAAATAAATTCTTTTATCAGTAAATATACAGTATATATATACTGTATATATTGTATTATTGTATATATCTATTTAGGCTTATATTCCTTCTTTAATATATGCCTATAACGCTTATTGAGTAAGGAAGGGAATAAAAAACCTATGACACGATTCCTAGTTTAATACATTCCTATAAAAAAAAATCAACTGATCACTTAAAGGAGTTTCCTGCTATGCTTACTAATTCTACGTAGTTTGTAAATATAATATCCTCTCTTTGTTTCAACTATTATTAAACCTTATAAAAATTACATACAATTTTATATTTTATAAAGGTATAGTCAAATTTTCTGCTCAATTATTAAATATATATATTATATATATATATTTCATTTAGAAAAGAATCCAAAGCAACTAATTCATATAGAATTGATAAAGAAAGTTTAATAGGAATTCTCACAGCTACTTGTCTAAAAGAAATGCTTATCTTTGCAGAAAATTTCATTTGATATAGTTAGGTTTCTTCAAAAGATAAACCAAAATGAATAAAAGACTATCTTTATCTATAATTTTTTTTGTAGGCTTGAATATTCAATAAATGAGTAAGATAAATTTTTAACACAAAAATACTCTCTATTGAACGACTTTTATATCCGTACTACGCTCTAGTAAAAAGGTTTGAAAAGCTTTCTAGATCGGGAGAATAGTGCTTCCGATGTTTCTTTAACTATCTGACTAAATTGCTTTACGTATTGTTTAGATACATAGCAACTGCGTAAAATTTCCCCGTAACTGTTTAATCAGCCGCTTATGTAAGTGAAAGTGGAATAGATTGGCCCTTTCTTCCCCATCGTGCTAAAGACATATATGAGCGAAATGAAAAGTTTTTAGAATTTGCATATGTTACAGTTTTGCAGAAATTTTGAACAAAGAGCTTTAGGTTTTTCAGCCATTACTAGATCTATATCATAAATCGAGAGATATGCTAGTGCAACTTATTTATCAATTGTTCGAAACCGAAAAATTTATTTATACCTAGGCAGATGCCGCTAAATAATGATTATATTAGAAAACAGAATAGCCGTTTTTTAATAGAGAATGTGTTCAAAATATGTGTTAAAATTAATTGATTATTCATAACGCTGGCATAAATTACTAGAAGTTTAGTAACGTCAATGAATGATTTAGTAAGTTAAAAAGAACATGTTTTTTGTGATCATGTAATAAAAAAACTGTTTATCGACATTTCATACGTTAACCTCACCTCAACTGGTTATATTTAATTTAAAAATTCTTCCTTTGTTGCTAAATTATTGACCTCGATCATAATGTTTATAGCCAATCCGTTATTTTAATTAGTAGTCAACAACACCTTTGAGCTATGACACCTTATACAGAATTATTCATATTAATAATGGTGAAAATGTATACGCTATTAAGATACATAGTCCTTCTCTCTTATTTTCATTTGCTTTCTGTCCTATTTAAGCCTGTTCTATTGAAATTTGCGTGAGGTATACTAAAATAAAGAATTGTTTAGATACTTTGCGGGGGATTAGAATGTGATCTTGTTTTTTAAATATATATAAATAGTTTCTTTATTTTCAAATATGCCTTATCAGGCTGGTTTCTAATGGAATACGATCAATCAAAGATTTAAGCATTAAGTGGTGAAATTTGCTTTTTTAAAAGAAATAATGAGAGAAAAACAGCATTATTCAGTTGTAGACAATGATAGATAAAGAGAAGGAAGAAGAAGTAGGATTGGATCACTTCAACAAAAAGAAAAGTTATAAAGTTGAGCACTTACATTAAAGAGCCTACACTATACACTATATTATTTTAGGCCATTATTCTGGTGTTCAATTCCTTTATTAAGTTTATTAAAAACTGCACTTAAGGAACTTATGAGTTCGTATAACTTGTACGATAGTCTCTGGATCAGTTATCTCAGAAAGTGCAGATAGATTACACTCAAACCTTAAATTAAGGCTAGATTATCTCTACTTCGTATGTACTTAATAGTCAATATTGTTAGTTTTTTATTCAGTATCTTTTTCCTTCCTTTTTGTATAATTGGAAATGAAAAAGAATTAGAGAAAAAATAAATGAATAAGCAATTAGCTATAACAAAGCAAAATTTTTTATAATAAAATATTCATCCAGTTTATAAATTTGGCGTTACTTTAACGTTCTAATTATTCATAAAGTTCTTGTGTGTTACAGTGTAGCTCAACACGCAGCTGTTAGATTGTTTTATGTATAAATAAAGGTAGAAATAAATAGAGGGAGGTGAGAATGGGGATTTGCTCTTAGATTCAGAATGAGTTTTTATCATACATTTTTAAAAGGATTATGATATAAGCGATTTATGAAAAAATAATAACAAAGGATTGGAAAACGAAACGCTTTGTAGCAAAATTTATAAAAAATCTCCCAAAAAGATTCGTGATTAACTTATTACAAAAGTTAGTCATAACCAACGGGCGTTCCCAAACATCGCTGGCTCTTTGATTCAATGCAGTTCTTTATACGCCCACTATTACCTCCACCCATATACAATAGTATAATACATTTTAATGTCTTGGTTCAAATGTAATAAAAGTGAATACTGATAATTCCCCTCTTATCGTTTTTCCTATTTTGTTTTTAAACAGGTTAGAAATGGAGACGCAAAAACCCATTATTGCCGTCTCTGCCAACGGGGATTTGCTAGAAGTGATATGCTTACGCGTCACATGCGACTGCATACTGGAATCAAACCTTACGAATGCAAACTTTGCGGTCAAGTCTTTTCTCGGAGCGATCATCTCAACACGCATCTTAGGACTCATACAGGTGAAAAACCCTATCAATGCCAGCATTGCTCATACGCCGCCTGTAGACGAGACATGATAACTAGGCACCTACGAATACATGCCAGAAAAGGTCAAGGTCAGATAAGTGGTCAGGGAAATCGAGGGAGGAGAACGTCTTCAGGTAGTTCAGACATTAGGAAAAGTTCTGCGTCGTCCTATGAATATGAAACAACCGATTTAGAAAGTCCAAAATGGCCTCCAATCTGGAATCATCAGCGTTCGTCAACTTCTAGTGTCGAGAGTGGCATAACTGAAGAAGTCCACTTAACTGATAATTCAACGCCTAGTCCTCCAAAAACTTGAATCTTTTTTTTTCATAGGAAAAAAACAAACAAAAGAAAAAGTTAGAAAAAAAAAACTAATTAGAAAAATACAATTTGAAAAACAAAGACTAAATAACTTTTTTTGTGCCATAATTTGTCAAGCACTTGCATTCATCACAAGAGAAGAGAAAGAGACCTTTCCACCATTTTGATGGCTATCCAAGCACATTTTGAAATGCTCATGAAAGAAAAATGCGAACCTGCAGTAAGGAAAAGAAACTTGACAAGGCGCGTGGCGTATGACAAACAATTTTTCTGTGCAGCTAAAAAGAGAACGTTTTCGTCTAGTCATATGTAAATTATAGTATATATATATATATATATATATATATACACCTTTCATTTTTTTTTCAACTTGTTGTCCGACCTATAGTTTGTTTCATGTACGAATATGTGCAAACGGCTTTAGGTTAATCATTGTTCTCGTGCCTTTTACTTTTGATTGTTATTTGAAAGCTGCTAAATAAAAAAAGTGATCTTAAAGATCGAATTTGTGACAGAAACAATAGAATTACTTTTTTTTAGTTTTTTTCTGATTTTATAAACAGGCAAAAAACCCACACACACACACAAATCGATTACAATCTATATAATTAAAGCAGATAATTTATTCTTTCATTTCTCCTCCCTCTTTCTCGTACTAGTCTTTACTATTGATCATCAATGAGACATGTGTATGGTAAAAATTGTATTCTATCAGTTTTTGCGCGAAACAGCTTCGTAAATAAAATATCTTTATTTAGATTGTATTAAAGTCAAATATTGATGGTGTAGGTTTAAAATATTCCATTGACAAGTATTTAAGAAATTTGTACGAAAATAACCATACACCCAAGCAAGTACAAATATGGCGGCTTTTGCTTTGCAAACGATGCTCTAGTCTATATTTTTTTTTTTATATCAATCACTGTAATACTTAATGGATGGACAAAGCAAAAGCTTAGATGCTTATTATGAAGACGATCTTCGTCATTATTATAAACCAGGTTAATATTATTAGAAAAGCATGATTCATATTAAGATGTTCAGTTTTCCTTTGTTTTTGTCATAAGAAAGATCTTGAATCCTGTCATTTCAGACACATCCTTTGCCCTAAATCAAAATATAGGCTTATCATCAAATATATGACTTAATCATTATATAAAATGTAAAATTTTTATTTCAGCTCCCTACGTATCGGATAGAATTAGGGCAGTTGACATACTACCCATTTTGAGAGAGAGAATAGCTTATTTGTCCGGTAAGAAAGATGTTGTCCAAAAATAATTGAACAAAAAGGAACCATATTAAAAGTACATCACAAAGATATTAATTTCACATAATTAAAGAAATGATATCAATTTAAATTGAAAAGAAGCAATCACTCTGTTAAGAGAAATATCCATTTTAATTATTAAGAAATATATTAGGAAGAAAACTATTGATAGTATTAACATTCATTTTAAAAGTAATGAAAAAGCTGAATATACATTTATATATTGGTTTTTATCATTTTAAAATGATTATTAAATAAGAGAAATCTCTTAAAATTTTAATACTTTTTCCTTTCTTCATTAAGTATCTTATTGAATTATTTTAGCTAATAAAACAGTTTTTTGTCTAATTGAAAATAGAAATGCGGATTTTTTCAATTTCAACTGGGGAATTTATTTCTCTGTCATACTTTTTCATAGTAATTTAGCAATTCAAAAGAATAATTACGTACAGATATCTATATATATATTACTGCTTATTGCAAAGAATGATGGAAGACGGGTTATTAGTCACTATCTTCAGCGATAAGAAGGTGAAGAGTACTTATCAGTAAAAAGTTTTACCACAGAAAAATTTTTTTACTCTGTAATCTCTTTCATAAATAGAAAGGCTTTCAATCATATGCGTTTATCCTTTCTTCAGCTTCTTTTTAAACGACTGCAAAAATTATTTCATATTCTTTTTTAACGACTCTATCTCCATCTCCTTTTTGTTTAATTCTCTTCTTAAAGAAAATAAATTGTATTGTAATTATTTACTGAGAATTTTTTTCTGAATTTATATTAAAGGTGGAAGGGACAGAAGGGGAGGCCCTATACTGACATTTCCAAACCCTTCAAAACTTGACAAACTTTCATCGGATGAAATAAAAGCTGTTGTTTGTTATTTACTGGCATTACCCTCAGCTGACGTGAAAGAAAAAGGATTTGCCGTTATTGTTGACATAAGAAATGGTAGTTGGAGTCAAGGCAAACTAATCCTAAACGTTTTGCAGGTGTTGTTGAAAAGTTTTCAGTTATGTTTGTAAATATACTTAGCTTTCGCGTACAGGAAACTTGTCCTCATGAAATTTATGCTACTTTTATTCTGAAACCTGAGAAATTCTGGGAGAAACAAAAAGCTAATATTGGATCTTCTAAATATAAATTTGAAGTTTGTGCATTTAATCCTATGAATCTTTTATTGTATTTTTATTAATTTTATATACCGTTTGATATATTTTATAGACTCATTTAGTTTCCGGGGAGCAATTACACAAATTTATACAACCTGCTCAACTAACTGAGGATATCGATGGAATTTTAAGATATAACCACGAAGAATGGATGGAAATTCGCGTGGTATGAATTTCTTTTTATTAGTTTAATTCTTCGCGTACTTTTTCAAATTTTTTTTTATTATATAAGCCTATAGTATTCTCTACAATTTAAATAAGCCTACTAATTCCTTAATTCGATAAATTAATTCCATTCTATGATCATTAAGGGATTATTTCATTGAAAATAATAAAATCAAGATACTCTAAACCTTAATAGAACGAAAGCAAATTGGGAATAAATATTATTTAATTTCTGTTATTCCAATTATTATCATTGTCACAGTTATTGTTTTTTTTTATATTAAAGTCTTTTCTATCATTTTTCCAAACTTAACCTAAATAATCCATTGTAATGAATAAAAATATCTTAAAAAGTCACGTAAAGAAGAAACAGCTATTCAAAATGTTTTAAGTGTGTCAATTTAGAAAAAGTAAATGCTTTATAGAAAGTAAAGAAAAGATAATGTTTGAACGTAGGCGAAGGAAATAAGAGGCAGAAGTGTTTTTATTAAAATTGTTTAGTTTTTAGTGAATAACCCAAAATAGAGAATATTTTTTATTTTTATGAATGAGATTGAATAATTTGACCTAGTATCCTATCAAACTATGCTTTTAGTGAATAGCTCTTTTCAGACAGAAATCCCACGCTAATTTTTGTTTGACAAATACAAAAAAATCTACACGTTCTATTAGGTTAAGTCCATTAAAAAATAGCTGTTCTACTTTCCATTTTCTTTTGTAAAATATAGAAAAAAAAAGAAAATCCTGTAAAAATATTACAAGTAAAGTTTATTTTATTGAATGCAAATAGTGACGCCCAAAATTGTAGCTAAAGGTGTATTCTGTTCTAAAAGAAATTAATTTATGTGTTTCGGATGCATTCCCTAGTTGGCCGAAACTTTTGCGTGGAAAGCTCAAGATCTTCATACGAAAATGGAGCAATTAAAATCTCTGTTAACCGAATACTCTCTGCCAGATGATATTAACGAGTCGAAACGTGTTTTGGAGGAGCATGACACGTTCATAAGGTATGCTGAATGCTTAACTATTGCAAAACATTAGATTTTATGTGTCTTTGTTGTTTTCTTTTTTAGAATGAGAGTGACTAGGTCCCCTGTTGAAGTTTTAGACAGCGAAGGTCAAAAGATCTTGGACAAAATATGCGAAGTTTCTAGTAGCTATGATCAAGGTGGTGCTTGTACAACGGGTTCATTACCGCATGATTCAAGAATGGTTTCAAATGCTGATCTACAAAATCTTGCTCCGAAAGTGTGGGCAATGGTTGAAAGACTACATCAGAGTAAACAACAGCTGGTTCAATTGTGGCATAATAAGAGATCTAAGTTAGAACAATGCGTTCAGCTAAACATGTTTGATCGAGACACTGAAAAGGTAGTTGATATATTTTCCATTAATTTATTTTAATTGAATAGATCGATAGCTAAAATATAAGTACTACTCTCTGGCAAGACTTCTCTATTGTAGGCTAACTGATAACCTTATGTGAACTTGTTGCCAAATTGAAGGAGTTCGAATAAATAACTCTAGGCTCAAAGTATCTGAATAAATATAATCCTTCACATATAAGAAGAACAAGAGTAGTGACATCTGTCATTAATCTTTCATAGATGATCGTCGAGTAGAACTTTCAATATTTTGTTTACGAATCATACTGAAAGCTAATTGAAAGTCTATTTTCAACAAATTCCCAAACATTATCTATAACTATTATGTTCAGAACAAAAATATAATATAATATCTCTATTGTCTTATAATGAGCTTTGTCTTTTATTTCTTCCAATTCAGCTCTACGATTGGATGAGCGCCAAAAAACAAGAATTCTTAATTGACTACACAATAATCGGCTTAAATATGAAAGAAACAAAAGAACTACAAGAAAGACACGCTCAATTTACATCAAACGCTATGGTAATCAATAGTTAGAACAGTCCCATAGTCAAAATATAAAAAAAATTCTGATACCCTTTATAGAACGCCTACGTAGAAGTGAACAAAGCGGCTACAGTTGCTCAAAAACTATGTGAATCTGGTCATTACGCTTCTGCGGGAATCAAACAGCAGGTGAATATTTAAACAAAAAACGCCAAAAAAGAAAATGTTATTGCCAATAGAAACACATTATTTATCTTGTACTCTCCCCTGTCCCTCTTTTACTCTTAAACTATCAATTGTACCAAGGGAGGCTTTCTAATAGACTTCTCCCCTATTCTCTCCTTTTACCCTTGCCAAACGATTAAACTTTTGATTATTGCCCATGGTTGTGTTCGATTACTAGTGTTTATGGACAAACTTAAGTGCTCTTTACTTAAGTTTCTAATAATTCTCTTTCTTTTTTATGAAAACAATTTTCAAACGTTCAATGTTTTTACTTGAATGAATACTTGTTTTTTTGTAAAAATTCAATTTTTCACCTTTTTTAAATACTATTACTTATTTTTGTTATAAATTTCTAAATATATATCTATGTATACATTGTTGTGTATCTTCAAACTTAGATATTTATATAATTGTAAACATGTTAAAGTTTACTTTTATCACGAATTTCTTCTAAAAATTGTTTACTTTTACAGGCTAATAAGTTAAACAAAGAATGGCGGAATTTGGCTGCCGCAATGGATGATAGGACAACAGTTTTAACTCTTAGTCATAGTTTTCATTGGAAAGCTGAGGATTATTTAAACTTTCTACCTAATTGGATAAAAGAGTGTGAGAATCTGCAAATACCCGAGGAGGTGGGCCGCTTAGAAGATGGGATTCATCAACACCAGGCTTTGTGGGATTCTATTATGCAAAAATATTCAGAAGTGTGTTCCCATCCCTTAAACACGAATAAAAAGAGATTGTATTTCTTATCAACAACTAATGAAGTTTTTTTTATCTAGGTTTGCGATGATAGTAAGTCATTACTGAATATTTTGCAAACTCCTGTTTCAAGTGGCAGTGACGATTCCCTGACGGCAAAGGCTGATTATTCAGCAGGTGCCGATCACGTGATCAACGTTTTACATAAGGTAAGAAAGATTTTGTTTGTCTTACTTGATATTGGTTGGTTCAGTAGAATTTTTCTTTATTGTTAGGTTTTAGTTGCTCATAGAAACATGGATAACATATGGACTTCCGGCAAAGTTAAACTTCATCAACGCTTGGGTTTAAAAATGTTTCAACAGGATGTTCGACAAGTAAACTAATTATTAATTAGTCCTCTTTATATTATCAACTTTCACATGTATTTAAATGCTTTTAAAATAACTAGGTCCTTGTCTGGCTGGATGAACACGGCGAAGCATTTCTACTTAAAACAAGGGCCGTTGGCCGATCTAAACCGAAAGCTAAAACTTTGTACGCTAGTCATCAGCAATTCGAAAAGGTTGCTCAAAACACCATAACTAATGCTGAAAAATTGCTAACGGCCGCTAAAGAACTAGCGGGAACTGGAGAATGTAATCCGAATGAAATATTTCAAGAAGCTCAACATTTAGAAAAGAGAATGGAGCATTTTCTAAATCAAATGCATGCTAGAAGAGAAGTTTTATTAGCTACAGTCGCTTTTTATACTCATGAAGAAGAACTGAGAAACTGGTTTGATGAATTAAGTAAGGAATTAGAATCTGATGAGGTTGCTGATACTTTAGAAGTTGCTGAGGAAATGCTACATCAGTTTGAACAACAAAAGGTAGTTTTCTAAATATATATTACAGAGTCTTAAAATATTCTTACATGTTTATATTTATACATAAGTATATCTTAACCTATAGTTTGAAGTCTATTTTAAGAAACTTATTAATTTTCAATGATTAGATATTCTATAAATATTTAATATTGCATTTTATAGAAGTACTACTACTTAGTTAACGTCATTTATGTATGGCTTATAGTGTACTTTTGATGCAATGGTTATTTTCTTTTGTCTAGTATTCATTTAATCAAATAGTACCTGAGCTCCGTTGATCTGCCATATATGATGCTATAGTTCTTTTATAGAAGTTTTTCTTTTCCCTTTTAACTATTCTTACGGTAACTTCTCAGAAATGGAATAAAAAAAATCACGCAACGATAAACAAGTAGACCTAGTTATGCTGTTCCTATATTAGTCTCTAGAATATATATGAGTATACGTATATTCTTAGAATTCTTATAACTATAAATTGTAAACTATTCAAGTGTACAGTCTGTTAACGTTAATAATATTTATCAGCTGCTATATTAACAGATGGTACTTTTATTCATATACAGTTATATTTTCAATAATTTTTATTATATTAGTATCTTTATTATTATAAATTGACTTTTTATGTTTGAACTGTTGTTTTTCTCGGGACAAGAATCTTGGAAATTTCTTTATGTATATATTAATACTGTATATTATATATACATATGCAATATAAAAGATATATATGTCAAATATGAAACATAGATTTACAAAGATACTAATGCCATCTGCAGTGATCTGGAAATTTTCTTTTGTTAATTATTTCTTCTTTGTTTCTAATTAGGAATCTACTGTTGAAGCCACGGTCAATACTTTGACAAATGGTGAAAGGTTAATTGAAGAGCTACAGCAAGGCGAACCACAACCGAACAATGATATTTCTCACATTCAAAGTACCTTTTTATTATGAATATAATTAGATATCAGTTATTAATTAAAAATTTTCACTTCTTAATCCATATAGGCTGTTTAAAATGCATTGAAGAAAAGAGAGAATCTCTTGAAAACTTATGGAATGGTCGGAAAATGAGGTTGGACTTGTGCTTGGAGCTTAGAATTTTTGAACGCCAAGCTCTAGAAGTATGCGGTCAGATGGAGCATTGGCAAGCGGAATTTGGCCAAGTAGAACTTCCGGCGGACGGAGATCAAGCTCAAGCACTTTTGAATAATCATGACGATTCCGTTGCAGCAATGCAAGCATTTGTTTTTGATGTACTTCAACAAGGACTTGATTTAGCTCAGAGATTGGATGGAAGTGGTTTAGATTTATCGAAGGAAGAAGGTAAGCGAAGCGTCTTAACTAATAAATTCTGTAACTAGTGTAGAGATAACATGAAAGAAACAAATTCTAGGTCAATCGGCTGCAACTAGGGTTCAAATGTTACTTGATTTTCTTCATCAACGAGAATTACAAATAGAGGAAGTTGGAGAGGAAAAACGAATGAGATTAGAGGAATTTATCCAATATTGTATGTTCGAACAAGATGCCAAACAAGTTCTCCAATGGATAAAAAACGGAGATGTTATGTTGACGGCTGGCTATGTTTGCCCAACAAGTTTATCTGACGCTGAAGGCTTGCAAAAGGAATTTGACAAACTCCATTCGGCCATCAAGAAAACGCATCAAAGTGCCCAAGAATTGACCAATAAAGCCGAATTATTAATTAATCAGGGGCATTTTAAGTAAGCGTTTCCTCTTACATATTTCTAACATTAAAGATAATCATCTTATATCCTTAGAAATGAGGCAATAAGAAATCGCATTGAACATATTACTGCCCAATGGCAAAAGTTGACTTATCGAGTAGAGGAAAGGAAAAAATTAGCCATGGCTTCCAGGAATTACTTTAAAACAGTTGAAGATGTACGTTGTTCAACTTGTTGTGAATGACATAATTGATAAATTAAATATTATAGGTCCTGTCCGTTCTACAAAATCTTGAAAAAGAATACGATAAAGAAGAAGATATATGCAATTCTGAAAGGGCACTTTCCGTAAAGAATAAGTTTGATTATTTAAACGTTGTATTAGCAAGACATCAAGAAAAAAAGGATGCTTTTATGAAAGTAAGTGCTATACGATAGTTGCTTTTGTAGTTGGAACTATTTATATAATGAAAGCATAACTAGCTTCTTTTTTGTGCTTGTAATTTTTCGAAACTTTACTTTTTCCATTCAGGAAATTTTAAACCTAAGTTTTCTCTTATTTGTTTATTAATAAATCTCTTTCTTCTTAAAGGCCTGTACTTTGGCAAGAAGAATGGCCGAAGTATTTCAAAAGTATGTTCATCGAAATATCCTCATGTTGAATATGAAATATACAACAAATCCTGAGGAAATGATTCACAATACTTTAAATAAACTCAAGCAACAAGAAGATGTTGTCATGTACAAATGGACTATGAGAAAGAAATCACTTGAAGACTGCCAACAATTTACTCTGTTCGAGTCTAGTGCCAAACAGGCATTAGAATGGTTCGAAGAAATTGGTGAAAAATACTTAACGTCAAATCTTAATGAAAGTGATAAAGATGCTTCAAGACTTTTAAACGAACATAATGAATTTAAATCAAATTGCAAAGTAGGTCAATTCAACGTTTTCAAATTGATTATTTCGGGTTTATTTTTGTCACATTGTATAAAAGTTTTTAGGCAAAAAACTTCATATTTCAGATTTTAGGCAGTTATTGCGTGAAAGAGGTGAAATAGCTTTATTTTTTACCACAGAAAAATAAGTCCTTATGCTTTGTAAAAAGTTTTTTATTCTGTTTTAGCTACTACTATTCATAAACTTAAAGCTAAAGCTATTTGATTAAACAAAGCAAAAAAAAAAGATATCAAAATAACAAAAAGTCTGTTTTTATATCTTTTTTTCTTTGTTTCTTTTTTATGACCCTTTCAATTTTTTAAGGTCAAAATAAGCTTTAAGTCAGTATAGTGTTCGGCTAAATACTTGATATTTAACTACGGAAAAATTGAGCTTCAAAAATGCTATCAGCTTTAAATAATCCTTCACCTACCTTATTTCTTACGAGCTTCTTATATTAAGGATCAAAAAATTCGCTTTCCTAATTCCATCAAAAAGAAAATAAGAAAAAGGAAACAGCTAACTTACTTAATGCTTTTCTTTAGTATTTTTTTCTTTTTTTTTAAAGGGAAAAGAAATCTATTGATTGATTTATGAAGAATTTAATAGATTACATATTTTTACATAAAGCTTTACATGCATTTGAATTAATTTTATTTAAATATTTGCTTTTCTATTTTTTAATAATTAGGAAACTCATGAAAAAGTTCTACTTTTACGACAAATTGCTAAATCTACACTAGAAAGTGGACATTCTCACGCTGTTCAATTTTCGTATTGGGTTAAAGCTGTAGATGGAAAATATAAAGAATTTTGCGCCAAAATGAAACAATACAGGGTTAAATTAGAATCTCAAATCAATGGTGATGACTCTAGTATGAAATCTCCTGAAGAAGCTGAAGCTGTAGAAAAAAGTTCATTATCTAGTGAAACGTCTGATCGTACACTAGAGGAAAGAATTCAACAATCCGCGTCCAAAATAAATGAAGCCAAAAGAAAATCAGCTAGAAAACGAGAGTTTATTCTTGCTGAATTAATTCAAACTGAAAGGGTTTATGTTGATGACTTAAATACTTGTATAAGGGTTAGTTATTAATTAATTAGCTTCGTCAAATTTTATATATATATAAATGTATATAAATGATTAAGAGTGTTAATAAGGTTTGGACTAATATTAGCCAAGTTGATTACAATACTTAATGTCGATGTACGTAGTTCCCAATAATTCTAAAGTCCTTTTCACTGATTCAGTGCTATAAACGTCAACTTGAAACGATGCAGGATATACCAACTAGTTTAATCGGTAAAGTTGATATTCTATTCTCGAATATCGAAGATATTTATGCTTTTCATCAAAGGTAAATAATAAACTAATTCGCTTTATTAACTAATATGTATTATATATATTTATAGAAGTTTGAGTATTATCTAAAGATTACATATTTTCCTTTTTTATTTAAAGCATTTTCCTAAAAGAATTGGAAAAGTATGAAAGTATTCCAGAAGACGTTGGTCATTGTTTTGTCACATGGGCCAAAAAATTCTCAATATATGTTACGTACTGTAAGAATAAACCAGACTCTAATCATTGTTTGGTTAATTGTGCATTTGATTATTTTGAGGTAAAGGCTTTTATTGAAGATTCATCATTTTATCCTTAATTGAATATATCTTTTGTAGAAATTACAATATAAGCAAAACTTGCCTGCCCCTCTCTCCTCGTATCTTATTAAGCCTGTTCAGAGAATCACTAAATACCAGCTACTGTTAAAAGATTTGCTCTCCTGTTGTGATGAAGATAAGGGAGAGTTAAAAGTAGTTTTCTTCATCTTGAGTTTTATATAATATAAGCCTATTAAATAATTCTTTTCCCGCCTATAGGAAGGATTAGAAGTGATGCTCAATGTTCCTAAAAGAGCTAATGACGCTTTACATTTTAGTATGCTAGACGGTTACGAACAGGTAATTATATTTGTAATTTACTTATTTTATCCACATAATAGGTGGCGTTATTGTACTATAGAGGCGATTTTTAACTTGTATAATATATATGTACAATGTTCATTAAATGTGTATATGTATCAAATTTCATTCTATGGGATATTTAGTTTGTCTTTTTTCGCTGTTTTTAAATTACATCTAATGATGCCAAAAACGACATCTATTAGGCAGGAAGACAGAGGGGATGAAATCGAAAAAAACTGCATCTCTACTGTTGGGTTTTAAAGCTGTAAATTATCTGATAAACTTATATTTAGCATAAAATAAGAAGTTTGCTTTTTATGTAACCTGATTTAAGGACAAAAACAAAACAGATTTCTTTTGTAGCAAAGTATCTGCGCCAGTTGCTTATTACCCTATTAATCGAAGAGAAGACGAGAAAGAATGCACTTTTAAATTCAATTTGTTCCATCAATGGAAGATCTCTCTGTATTGTATAAAAAAAAGAAAACAGTTTCACAGACTGCTTAAAAAAAAGAAAATTTGGCCAATTTTCACGTAATTAGCAATATATTTTTATATAAGAATTCATTTATAATTGCATTCGTTATAATACTCTCTAAATGGGAATGGCATAAGCTTTATAAGAAAAGTAAAGTGCTATAACATTTTAATGAGACTCTTAATTAATGTGCTTATAACATTAAATTTTCTTATTTTATATGATAGTTTAATACCTTTCATGTCCAAGTTAAAGCTGATTTTTGGATATTGTCATCGCAATTTGGTTAGTTGTTTTTTGAGTGTAATTTCCGGAGACAGTTGGCTAACGATGCTGTCTAAACAAATAACATTCATAGGAGAATCTAGTGTTGATGTAAATTATTTTATTAATTGTTTGCAAGTATTTTTACCTTTACCTTTTCCGGACCTGTTAGGGGAATGGAAAGGAAACTTGCTGTAGCTACAAATATATATATATATATATATATATATATATATATATTTATAGATAGATACATAGACAGAGAGACAGAGACAGAGAAGGCTACTGTACACTTTCTATTTTTAAACACAGATAGTTCTTTTTATGAAATTGGCTGTAATATCTTTAAACATGTTAGAAAAATCATCTATTCGTTCGTATTGTTGCAGAAAGAGGGAGAGAGAGAAAAAAACCAGTATTATCCTTACTGTACAAAATGGATTTAAGTTTCTTAGAAGTTTCACGCTATTGCTTCTATAATTTTTGTTATTTTCATGAATCTCTCTCCTTGTTTTTTTTGCTATAATTAAAAATAACTATAAAAGTAAATCTACAGTTTTCTACTTTATATATTCTTTTCGTTATCTATTTTTATCCTATGCATATAAAAGAAAAGAGAAATCAATTATAGTATTATAATACTACCTTAACTCTTATAATTGGTTGTTTTTTTTTATTTAAATGTATATTTCTATGTTTCAGCATTAATTTCTTAATTGATTATAAATTGTTTGATGCTGATTGTTTATTAATAGTAAACTTTTATTCTATTTTTCTTCTATAAAGCATGAATATTTCGGTGACGTTATTCTACAAGACTCATTTACGGCATGGGATCAAAGACAGTTAATAAAAAAGGGAAAGGAGCGGCATCTGTTTTTATTCGACGTCTGCTTAGTTTTTGCCAAGAAGAGTCTGGATAATAGTGGAAAGGCTAAATATAGCTACAAATTCAAGTTAATGGTTTGTATAAACTTGTTGAGATGTACTTAAAAATACTAATATTCTCTGCTTGAAATAAAAGGTGTTGGTATACCAACAACATTTTACTGTAGAGGAGCATGTCAATCATTGATTGATATAGACTTTATAGTTAACTACAAAAAAAAACAGAAACGAATTAAACCTAGTTTATTATAGTTTTTCCATAAATCGATAGAATTCTACTTAAACCTAATCTATCATAAATTTGCACAGAAATATATATTAACTGAGACTCATCTGTTCAAAAATTTAGATGACAGTCTTTTCTTGCATTAGGTCTTCTTAAAGAGCTTACAATTGGTATATGAATATTGTATAAGGCCTACATTATACCGCATTTGATAAATTGGAAAGTTTTGTGAAAATATTAAATAGCTTTATTCCCTTTTTAAATAGATAAATGAAATGGGCAATCATATCAAGGAACACATAGAAGGCGACCAATGCAAATTTGCTATCACTCTCACGTCAAATTTGTCTGATAATAAAATCATTTTAAAGGTTATCTGTCCAAGAACTACCTTACCCTAATCGAAATTGATTGATTACGATTTATCCACTCTAGGCGCCTTCTTTGGACACAAAATTAGCTTGGACTAAAAAGTTGCGCGAACTCATTCAGGAGCATGTCTTTTCCTCACTACGTCGTATTTCAAGAGAATTGGATGACTCCATTTCAGTTGATGATCTCGGTCTTGATTCGTCAAGGTTGCAAGCAGGTTCAATGACATCAGTAAATACAAATGCGTCCACTGGTACGTCTGACTCTGGAGGATCTCTTTGCGGCTTACCACCACCTCCATCCGATTTGAGGGTAAGTAAAAAGTAGACTGATTGCTAGAAATCGTCTTCTAGCTATTAGAGATGTCACCAAAGTTTATCGCAATCATTCGCTTCAAACGATTTATATCGTATATATATACTGTATATATTAGTATATTAGATATGTATAAAATACTATGCAGTATATCTCAAATGTTTACATATGCAGAGGGAGTTTGTAATTAATAGTTGTAGTCGTAGCTAATCGGTTTATCTAAAAATAATGGAAATTTGGAGTGTCATATAATATTGCTACTGTTAGATGATATCCTTCCTACTTGATTAGACTACTTATTTAATTTATGCATAAGGAGCATCTCTAGAAAATGAAGAAGTAAAACTTGGTTTAGCATAAAGTTTTCTTGAAAGTTTTAACAATAGCGAAGCAATTTTTTACTTGTAACTATTGTTGATATAACAAACTCTTTTACTATACATATATAAATTGCTTGGATATAGTTCTGTCTAAACGTTACTTAGTCAACTGAAAGAGAAAAATTCCTCAATGTGTCCAAGTTCTAATTTGCGTGAAAAACCTTGAAGCGTGTGTAATTCTTGTACGCCTTAAAATGGTATATATTGTAGGGGGCGCTACTATTAGGATCGATAAGGCCACAGATTGATAGGAGTTTGCCACTCAAAGACATACCAAAGGTATTTGTCTTGTAAAATTGTATGGTTTAAAACAGAACGGGTAAAAACCGTTTGACGGTGGCGCTAGTGTCACCATTAAGTTTGCACTTAGACGACTGGACGCTACTCGACGGTTTGTATTCTGCTTAGGCATATGAGATGTATAGGCGTTTTTTGATTAGTTTGTCCACCTACGACAATTTTATCATTCATTATGTTGACTGTTTGCCGCTATCTGATAATTACAGTCAATTTATACTAAGAGCCAATTGACAGTTTGTCAAGTTAGTTGGCGTAACTTATTTTTGTATAAAAAATTATTCCATATAAAGGAGTGTTAATACTTTCCATTCGTCTCTCTTTGTTACTTATCTAATTTAATATCATTTATTTGAAAGTTTCTTCAATTGTAAGTATAAATACTGTGCTTGAAAGTTTGTCAGCAGAATATGTTTTTTATTATTTTTCTCTTCCGCAATTCGTGTCGATAATTGCTTTCGATTCTCCATTTAGAGCATACCGAGTGTATATTTTTTATTGATCTCTCCATAGTTTGTCATTTGTGTTTACTATCCAATGGTGTAATTTTAAAAAAGTCAGATAAGCTCCTTATCGGGATAATATTGAAAAAGAGATACCTGAAAGAGCACGATGAGTCGTGACACGATTTTTATATAATGTCTTTGTACTGGTTATGGAACTATCCGGTAAGTTTTTTCCATTGTTTGTTAAAATCTTACGGTAAACATTTTCTATAATATCCTTTACTTTCCTTTCGTCTCTTAACTATTCCGGTTCTTTTTACCGGTATAAAGTTGGTCTTTTATAGCATTTATTAAGTATGTCTATTTCCTTTAATTGACAACGTAAATTTCCCAGTGACTATATCCTGATGACTTTTAGTCATGATTTCTGAAACTAGTAAGCCGTAAAGAGAAAGAAAATCTTGAAATAATATATAGATGCTCATTTTAAGTCAGACAAACCATAGTTTGTAATAGAAAAAGCACGGCCTACCGCGTAAATATAGTGCGTTTGGCGTTTGTTAGGCTGCATAGTGCAGTCGGACTGTCTGCATACACACTTTGCGAGTTTGTACCGTTTCGTAGAATAAAAAATACTGTTTGGTTGGTAATGTGACAAACAATATGCACAGTTGGGGATCTTTTGTATTACGAGCTTTACGCTTGAAAAAACGAAGGGATTTTGGTTCTAGAACGCAATCTGAGAGTTTAGACGCAGAAATTAGTGACATTACGGATTGTTCGTATTCCGGAGATGAGGTAAAGCCATTATATCGTTCACTTTGCAACGCTTTTTTTAAGAGGAGTTAAATTTTTACCAGATAGGCTAAAAGTAATAAATTGCGTTTCACGTCTTTGTAGCATGTTTTGTTGATCCTTTCTTTTTAAAAAAGATCTTAGCCTATATTGATCGAATGATCTGATAGATGAGTATAATTAAAAATTTAACAGTAGTTTACATAGCTTTTTAATTCTTAATTAACAAAATTCAATTAAAAATGTAGTTGAATCATGCAAACGTTTTGCTTCGGTTTAATATGTTTGGTATCTTGTAACGGTTTATATGTACATGAATTAGAATATATATACTATATATATATATATAAATATATATATTTATTTATAGAGAAAGAGAGCTAATATAACGTGTATCTATAACTCATTATAAACTGTAAGTATACTACAGTAAAAGCAAGTTAATTAACCCGGTTTTTTAAAATTTCTCACACACGGCTCTTTATTTCTTCCTAACTCCCTTTCTCTCTCTCTCTCTCTCTCTCTCTCTCTCTCTCTCTCTCTCTCTCTCTCTCTATCTATCTATCTCTCCCCTCTACGGAGTATGTTAACCATGTACAAACTCTATATTTATCTTGTATGTAAGAAATCTACTGATGTAATTGCTTAGTCTAGTCGAATAATTCTTTTGATTGTGTAACTTATTGTCGGCGATTTAAAAGATAAATGGTAAGACAATTTTTTTTCTTGAGCTTAAAAAGAAATCATTTAACCTAGTTTATACAAAAAGAAAAAGAGAAAAGCGAAGTTTCTATTTTATCAATCATTCTCCAGAATCTCTTTCTTTGTCATATTAAGATATTGGAAATAAACGTTACTAAGGAGGTCTATTCAAATATTTCAATGGAATATTTGTTTACATAGCATCCTATTTTAATTAATAGCATTTTTCTAAAAGTAAAATTGAACGGAAAGGTAAGAGGTGCGCTCCATGTTTTTTTTTTATTGTACTAATATCTTGCCTCTGCTATCTACCTATGTATATTCTACTCTCTATTATCCTGTTTAGTAGACAACTCTTGTCCGATTAAGCTCAAAAAAATCTCATTATATTATCTCATATATACTGTTGTTGAAAGACAAATATTAATTTTACACGTATATTATTAGACTGATACATAAAATTTTTGGAAAGAATCCTGGCAAGAAAACTGTAATTTAATGAAAACCCAACTCCAATTTTTTCTTGTATTCAAGGAAAAAAGATACCAATTTATTCCTATTTTTTTCTTTATTCTATCTTTTCAAACTCGATATTTTTAAATTAGTAATATTTCCAAGTAATACAGCATTTAACGAAAATTCTCTATACTAAGCTTAGGAGTAGGTTACTGAATGGGTGGAAAAAGAGTAAAGAAAAAAATTGAAAAGGAAAATTGCTTTATCTCTATCTCTCTCTCTCTCTCTCTCTCTCTCGGCCTCTTTTTCTCTCTTCTTCTTCCACTCATCTTAGGGGGGAAATACTTTGAATAAATTAAAATATATATATATATATACAGTATGTATTGTATAGACAAATTTTTAATTCTTTTCTATCAACTCTAAGAGGGTTTTTGTTGATTTATAGGTCGACTAAAAAGTATCAATTTACTGTTTTTTTTCTCTCTTCAATATCAAGAGAAAACAAAAAGGAAAATGTAAAAATTTATTGATAATATATGTTTTTAAGAAATTATTAGAAAAAGAACAAGATTTTCTATTAGATATTACTTTCTTTACAGCACGATTTGAGTTTCCCCTTTAGTAATAGCAAAATCATCTTTCTAATAAAATATTAGTATTGGACGGTTCTTTTTTAATTTTTAAACTTATTTAATATACAGTAAGTTTTGCATATATAGTATATGCGTCTCTATATTTCTAATATAAAAGTACAGCGTCTACTAGAGCCGAGTATAATTACAAATATATTGCACTTCTTATTATAAAAAATTGTATGTTTTTTTTTGTCTTCTATGAACTGGAGTACAACGAAACCTCTATATTTTCTTAGTGTAAGAACTTAAACAACGTTAAAAGATACTAACTGCGAAAAGAAATACAACCCTTTTTGATAACTAGTTCAGTATAATAACTAATTAGGAGCTTGAGACATGTGTAAAACATATCTTGAGGACTAGCGTCCATATACAGGTAACCTTCGTAATTTATATAAGTAAAATTATACGTAGTACACAATAATATAATTATCAGTCTTGTTTTGGTTAATTAATTTAAATTCGAGCTTGACGCTTTCTCCTTCCTCCTTTCATTGTAAAATAGGAAAGAACAAATTGGACTATGAACGAACGGAAACAACAAATGATTTAATTAAAGGAATTGGAAAAAGCAAAAAGAAAGAGATATACTTTAAAAAATAAAAAAAAAAAGATAGGGCTGTTTTTTTTAAGAGAAGAAATAAGGGAAAAATGAGATATAGGTTTTAAACTAATTCGTGATAAAACAACTGTAAATAACAAAGGTAACGAAGAATATATCAAACGTTTTAACATATAAAATATGAAAGTAATTATTGTATAAAATAAAAGAAGATATCGGTTACTAATTGAAACTAATAATTAATAATAGCCTAGAAACGAGAATATTCTACATCTTTAGCGATATATTTGTCATAATAAAGAAAGTAAAGCTTAAGTATATATTAATGTATACTGTATTTCGATTTCCTTTTTACTGCAATCGCTTTCAGTAAGGGTTGTAGCAAAGTATAAAAAATTATTCAAGGTCGTTTGAATGATACGATTAGACACCATGCTACGCAATATACTGTATATAAACACTAGATATACTACTGTATATATATATATATATATACAGTATACAGTATGTATTCCTTTGCATATATTTGATATAAAAATATATAGCTGTATAGAAAATTGACATTAATTTCCTTAAATTTTATTTTAGGTTTCTTCCGCAACTCATACTAGTCAACAGAAAGCCTTAACAGCTCCAATCTACGTCGTCGTCATATCACACAGAGCGCCACCTGGTAGCGGACAGCTAAGCGGTTCGTATGTCAACCTAAAATTTTAACCGACGTCTTTTTCCGTGT